TGCTCTGCTTTGCTCTGCTTTGCTCTGCTTTGCTCTGCTTTGCTCTGCTTTGCTCTGCTTTGCTCTGCTTTGCTTTGCTGCGAAGTCGTTTCCAGATAGGACCAAAAATGAGCACCTTCACTTACACTTACACTTACACTTACACTTACATACCCAGCCCAGTCCATGAGTATAACCTGCCAGTGTGACTTGCCAGTATAGTACGACTTGCCAGTATGCCGGTATGATATGTTTATGCTATAGGAACGATTACAGGCTAGTCACACAGACACACACGTGGACAGACAGAGAATACCAGTAATATACGTATCTAGTATCTAGTATCTATGTCCTATGTCCTGTCTTCCCCACATGCCTCTACGGCGTCTCTTCGCACGCCCTATGACAGATCCTCGGCCAGTCGCTGGCGAGGGAAAAAGTCACTGACTTGTACGTCTGTCTCGTCTTACACACGTAGACTTTCCGCCTTCCACGACAACGTCATCTTCCTCAAAGTCCGAAGTCAAGACGAAGTCCGAAGTCAGGTCGAAGTCCGAACTCAAGTCGACGGTGACCCATTGAGCAACTTCGTCCAGAGTTGTCGAGCAGGTCATGTCGCCAGGACCTTGAGCGAGCGGCCTGGACACTGACGAGGAAGGCAGCGGAGGACGCGGTTCAAGGATCCAGTTAAACGTGGCAGGGCGTTTATAGAGGTTATAGCCCCTGGTATGTACTCCACTGTGTATTTGTCGGAAGTAGTCTGTGGGCTCGTGTACTCGTCTCCGGTTGATCCGAGGCTCCTAGACTTTAAAGCCCTTCATCTTCGACAGAGAGTGACTTGGAATGGGAGTTGCACGGACACATACAAGCAACCCAATGTGATCTCTGGCGTGTCCGGGGTTTGAAGAGTCCCCAGCGTCCTCGGAAGGAGAGAAGAGCTGGGTTGAGGAGAACATAGAGCCTCCGTACATCCGAGAGTGACAGAGCTTGCACGAAGTGGTGGTGCGGCTTTCACGTCGCCAGCACAAGGCCCGTGTCGAAGAGGATAAGTCACACCAGTTTCGGGGCAAAGTACCACAACGCTGCAAGTCCTGAAAGGACAGTGGCTCCTCCCACCCGGCGAGTCCACTGGGTTGTTTCAGATGTCTTCATTCTCCCCACTGGATTTTGCGTCTCCTTCGTCCACTGATTGGATCCCTTCTTGCTCGCGCTTTCGGTTCTGCGCTGCAAAACGTCCGACATTTCCGTGGCGTTGGATTCTTGCGTGGTAGCGAATGCCTCATACTCGTGGACAAGACGCCTCAGGCCTTCAAGATCGTCTCTCAAGAGCTCCCGGTCTGACCGGTTGCCCTGAATCTCGACGCTCTGAACATTGCCGAAGAAGTCCACCACCCTTCGACTCCGACCGGCTTGCTCTCCTCCAGGAAACAAATCCCACCTGACACCCGGGTTGGAATGGATTTTGTCGACGTCGTAGCTGTCAAAGAGGTCGCCGAGAGTCTTGTCCGAAGTCGGACCGCTGACCTGGGTCTCGAGAAACTCCAGCACGTAGTACGTCCAGCGATCGATCACGGCCACACCGACGTCGTTGTCGGCGTGGTGGGAATATGAGCTCTCGTCCTCCTCCGACGAGCCCGTGGCAATGATTCCCGGAGCGTAGAACTGTCGGTACATCGTGTTGGCCTGGCACGTGTCGATCATGAACAGCATCTCATTATATCTCTTCTTCTCCCTCATCTGTGAAAAGGCGTCGGCGAGGTCCCAACTGGAGATCTCCTCGCTGTCCTGAAACTTGAGAAACTCGCTCCCACCGTGCCCGGTCATGTAGATGAGGATATTGCTTCCCTCGTCCGTCTGCAGTCTCTTGCTGGCTGGCACGCCCTCTTCCCATCGGTCGGTCAACAAGCGAATGAAATTCTCCACCGTCACTTCGTAGCCACGGTAGTCGACCTCGACGTTCTCGCCATACAGGTCCATGCGCCTGTCTGCGTTGGAGTAGACCGTTCCGGAAAACGCGTTTCGCGGGTTGCATGCCATGTCGTCCGGGAGGAGGAGGAGGATCTGGGAGTCAGGAATGCCCAGCCGTTTGACTGTTCGGTACAGGGACAAGGTATTGGCGAGATGGCGGTAATTGAACCAGAAGCGAGACGTCGAAACGAGAACTGCCCAATTCGACGTGTGAGCGGCACACGCGGCCGTCACTATGGACAACAGCGCACATAGGAACGGTGAGAGCCGCATGGCTGGAAGAAGAGCCAACGGGAGGAGTTCGTAGTTCGTAGTCCGTCGTCCGTCTATGCGCTATAGGTGGTTTGACGTTGGGCTGTGCATGATAATGATGAGAGCAGCACGAAGTCCGCACAGAGATCAGAAGAAGATGGGACCTACGCTCCCTAGACCCGGACCGCGTCTTGTAGAGACGACACTGGTGACACCAATGACGGTGATGAGTTGATGAGTTGATGGAATTGGTAAGCGTGGAAAGGAGCGGCGGTATCGGAAAGGAAAAACAATCATCCGATGCCCCTTTCTGCTGCTTGTCACCAGGCACCTAGGTGTTTAACCACCACCACCACCATCACCACCACCACGACGGTATTAAATATTAATTACCTAGGTAGCCTATCTAGCCAGCAAACGGGAAGAGTAGAACCGGGAACTCTCGAATAGGGACACGACAAGACTCCAAGTACGCAATATCTAATCAACTGTCAACGATGTGAGCATGAGGATATTCTATACTCCCTTCAAATACCAGTATACACATGAGGATGAAGATATTCTGTACAAATACCAGTATACACATGAGCACATTTAGTACAATACCAGTACACATACATCGGGTGCGAGGAACCCCTAACCACGTTCTAGACCTTCTTGCTCGCCCTGCTCTGTCGCCTCTGCTCGGTTCTCGCGATCATTCGCTGACATTATCTTTCCCAGCGAAGAGTTCTAATGCTAGTCTACGTATTTCCAGCTGCATCTTAAAGGTTTTTGACCATCCACGCGCGCAGGACCTGCTCAAACGATAGGGAATGCAAATGCAATGCTCAGCGACAATCCGCATCTGCCAGTATACAGATCATGGGTCGAGGTCTTCCCAAGAGCATCATGTGCATCCTCGTAGCGCAGACAAGAGCCGGTTCGGTTGAATGTACATGGTATTGCACAGTTGATCATGGAACCCAGTTGTTGGCTGCAATGCTCGATCTTTGATGACCGCCATGTACATATCTTTTGTTTATCGTCCAATTTGTTCTTGCCAATGTACACAACGGCTATCTCAGGAAAATGCCACAGGCAGCGGATTTGCCATTAATTCTCCTCCCGCTTCTTGGATCCCTCCCGCCTTTTCTTGCGCCTTGCTTCTGGCTGCTCGTTGTGGTGCAGGAATGGACGAATATGTTGGTGGTATTTATCTGTGTGATGACTTCTTGAAGCAGATCGCTGAATCTGTGAGACTGCGAACTCGGTGCAGTGAAATCGCGACTGATCGTTCGACATTCGGCCATTATGGCGGGACTCTGCTGCGCGAGAGTGGTGTCTTGATCTTCAGGCACCAGGGTCCCGAGACCGTGTTACGCGGACAGCGGTGGCGCGATAGGTCGATCCTTTTACTCTGAAGATAGATTCGAAGGAATAGAAGCCGAAGCCGGCGCAAAGGTAGGAAGAGAACGTCGATTGAATTTGGCCGGATCCGCGAGTGAAGTAACTTTCATTCTGGTCCAGATCTCGCCCGTCGAGATGCCTGTCGGACATTGATAGGATGTAACCGGTAAGCTTGGATTTCGACAAGGTTCAAACGTGCCAGTCCCGGCCGCTGACCAGAGGAAACCCCTTTCGACGGTGTATACGTCTATCTCAACGTAAGCACTGGAAAGAGGGAATCCTCCGGCCTGGTGGCGACATCCTCCTTTTTACCAGTGTAAACCCATTAACGACAGCTAGCCAACATGCTAAAGATAGTGGGTATGAGGGCAGGTTCTTGCCACAGGCCCTGAGCCCTAGTAGCGAGCTTGGAAGCCCAAGTGTCGGGGAGCACCTCCTTCGATCGTGATGCTGATCCTGCTCCTCTCTATACCGTCGATCTCCATGGGAGAAGGCGGTTTCACAGGATGGTGGACTTCGAAAACACGAGTTCGAGTGGCGCCGGGTCGGCCTTCGACTATTGATTTGGTGTCAAGTTCGTAGGTGGGTGGAGGCTCACTAGGATCGGATCGGTGGACAACACGTTCGCGTGATTCCCCGTCGAGTCTTTCACTACCTGCCATCGGATCCCGTCGGCGCCTCTTGATGCGCATGTACAGGGCAACAACAAGGGCTCCGCCAAGCACCAATGCACCAATGCCGATGCCGATGCCCGCCCCGGCCGCCGCGCTGAGGCCGCTCGAGTCTTTGCTCGAGGACGCTGTTGGGACCGAGGAAGGCCGTGCGTCGGTCGTGTTGGGGTTCAGAGGGCTGGAGGGTGGACTTAGTGGCTGGGTTGTTTTGCAAGAGTACAGAACGGCGACTCACCTATCGAGAACCTGCAAAACGCCGTTGGACGTGAGATAGTCTCTCGTGGTGATGAGCGAGGAATCAACGTAGAAGTCTCCACTGACATTGGTCATGGTGCTGGAGATTCTATCTAGAGTGGCGATCTTGGTGTTGTTCCGAAAGTTGGACGAGTATATCACCGTGTCGCTTTGGGATATACTGTACTCCAAGATCGAAAGCCGATCGGTGTCGGACAGGCCATCCCAGCCGGTGAACGAGGCGCCGAATTGGGGGTTGTTGGGCGCAAAGATTGAGAGATCGGATAGAGTGTTGATGATGGTCACGGCCGGAGAGGACGGATCGAGCCATCCTCCTTTATCCAACAGAGCGATGAGGTCTGTGAGCCCTGCTTCCGTGATTGTGGCCGGCACCGAGATCGGTATGGTCAAGACCGAGTCCACAATGTGTATCAGACCGCCGGCATAGAGGATGTCCTGTTGCCGTTAGTGTTCTGCTTCCGCGATAGAGCGATCCGGGATCAGGATCATGAGATGTCACCCACAGCCTCCAGTAGGTGCGATACGGCCTTCACTCCCGACACAACGGCAGGCTTGCCACTGTCGGTGGTGATTTCTATCACTTGGCCCCCCGTGACGTTGGCGTAGCTCGCATTGTTCAACAACGTATGCGCAAACAGAGGCTGTAGACCAAACGTAGCCGATGGATGCGTGCCATTTGCGAGGTGATATTGCAGCAACGCCCGAACAGCGCCGTCGTCCGATGTTATGTTTGGGTTGTTCGTGACGAACGCGGCAATAGCTTGGTCGTTCGGGGCAAGCACTGTCATTGTATTGTTAGTGGTCATTGTGCACGCGCCCATGGCAAGGTTGTGTACCGCTGAAAGTCCCCTGGTTCAAAATGTCCACCAGGTCGTCATATTGCTCCAGAAAACCGATGAAGCTGGCAATGCCACGCTGTTGCCTCAAGATGGTGAGGATATCTTGGTCAGCAGCGAGACAGCAAGCCGCGACGGTCAGGACAACACCAGCTATCCTCCAGTATGACATGGTGAATGTTGGCAGCGCACTGACAGCTCGCGCAACAACATCCTACGACAGAAGGAAAACATTAAGAGGTGAGCTCGAATCAGGGGACGTGAGCTGGGTTATCTGTTAGGGCACAAGGTAGTAGCGTAGAACCTTCTCAGGAACGATACTGAAATGTGTTTTTTCACCTCGCTGGTGAGACGCGTTTTTCAGGGGACCGTCTTGATTTCCAGGGCGGGAGGCCTTATGGTCGCGGGTGCATGCATGGTGTCGGGGTCCAAACATGGGTTGGCGTTCTCGCTAACAAAGGTAGAGGGGGTTTAGGTTCAGGGTGTCGGTATGTCGGTATGCTATAGTATGCCCCTTAGCCTTGCGTATGCCGCGTGGGACTGCAGTCCAGCAGGCAGGTATATGAAGAATGATGGGCCGAGCAGATCCAGAGAGCAGAGCAACCGTGGCATGGTGACAATTGGCCGTGTTAATAATGTTCAGACGGCGTTGACGCATATTGATCGAGAGAGATTTTTCATTGTGACGACGACCTCCAACCAACAGCTCCAACAGCGCCACGGTTTGGTCACAATTTAGCTGTGTTTCATGGAGATATTGAGTGTTGATTATGGGAGGCGCCAAACCATAAAAGGCGCTGGAATTCTACCAATTTGGGGGATTAGGAGGGTGGCGCTTTGGGGGCCTGATCCTAAGAAGAGCTGAACCCTAAGTCGAAGGGTCGAAGGGAGTCTTTGTGGCCAACATGGCCGTGCAAGAGCGAGCTGGACCAGTAGTAGTAGCAGCAGCAGTAGTAGTGATAGTCGCCATCGAGGACTGCCCAGTCTTTAAGGATGTGGTTTAGATGAGGTACATACCATCTAGCAACCACGCCAAAGAGCGGAGTAGTGTACCAGTGAAATGAGGTCGGCAGACTTCGAAGGGGCCGAAAATGGAGAAAAGAGCCAGCGCCCAGTCTAAACGAAGGAAGCGTGCGTCTTGTCTCTACACATTTCTGTCCTTGGTGTCCGATGGCGCATCTTCAAACAAGATATATATGCAGGATATAGGATATGCAGGCTGGAGATGGAGGACGGAGGACGGAGGACATACCCTTTTCGGGTCTATCGCCTTCCTGGAGCCTACTCTATTTAAACCACAGCACCTCTCCAATCTACCCAACGCTAGGTAGTACGTACATACATTACCATGATCTTCTGATAGAGATAGACGACTAACAGGGGGAGAAACGGAGAGAGAGAGAGAGAGAGATTCAGCCTTATTGTGGACTCGGAACACGAATACTGCCCCTCTTCCTCTTCCTCTTCCTCTTCCTCTTCCTCTTCCTCTTCCTCTTCTCCCTCGCTCTGATCCTCAAACAACATACTGTAATCACCACAGTATCACCATCCTCAAGCGCACGCGCCGGAGTCCAACAAACAGACACTGGAGAACACAATCCGCACTGCGACCGATGCCGATGCCGATGCCCGATGCCGATGCCCGATGCCGTTACCCCATGCCGTTCACGACCATCCTGCCCGTCGTCTTCTCCTGCTTTGGCCTTTGCTTCCTTGTGCTGCTCTACGTCATCTACAAGCCCCCCTCATGGCTGATCGACCAGCTCCAACGTCGCTGGCCTGATGTCCTCTTCCAGGTCTCGACCACTAGCAGACAGAAGATGGTGGCGCTGACGATTGACGACGGCCCATCCGCGTCGACGGCCGAGATCCAAGCCATCCTCGACGGCCACGGCGCCAAAGCCACTTTCTTCCTCATCGGCTCTCACATGCCGGGCCGTGAAGAGACGTTGCGGGAGCTGGTTCGCAGCGGACACGAACTGGCCAACCACGCGATGCGCGATGAACCGTCTCGCGCCCTCCCGGCCGCCGAATTGAGTGGCCAGATCCGCCGGGTCGATACACAGCTCCAAGAGATCTACGATTCCAACCGGGCCGGGAGCGGGAGCCGGCTCCAGCAGCCTAGTAGTAGATCCAGATCCAGATACTTCCGCCCCGGTAGCGGCTTCTTCAGCACGTCGATGCGGAAAGTCGTGGCCGACTCCGGTGGCCGCATCGTGCTGGGCAGCATCTACCCGCACGACGCCCAGATTCCCTTCTGGAAGCTCAATGCCCGCCATATCCTCAGCATGCTGAGACCCGGCGCTATCATCGTCTGCCATGACAGGAGCTGGACCGCCCCGATGCTGAGAGCGGTACTGCCTGAGCTGAGGACAAGAGGCTACCACGTCGTCACTGTGACGGAGCTGCTCAACGCTACTGATGGCTGACATCCAAAGTAGAAGTCCTGATTTTGTATGATCTTAATCGAGTGCGAGACGCAACGCAATGCAACAAGCTAGCCTTGACGCCGTCTTTTCCAGAGAGAATTCCAATGGAAGCGTCGCTGAAGAATGCCAAATGCCAATGCCCATGCCCATGCCAATGTGTGTTCAAGCTGCCCTGCAACCGACGGACCCGACCAGTACATCCAATTGCAATCAGATCATGCATTCATTCATCTTCACTCGTCCACTCTCGCTCATACCAGCCACGCTATAATTCTTTTCCTTCCGGACACGAAGCTGCACCCTCGCTTTCGACCCGGACCGCAGCAGAGAACCATACAATAGATCGGAATGAGATCTGTACAGTCATGAGGGCTGCTCTTTCCATCCAGATCAATACTGCCGCTCGACAAGTCATAAATACATCAACGCCCGACGACAGCCTTCAGACTCAACCCCTCAAGGAATCCACCCAGGTCTTCTTTCTTGACCTCGACGATGCAATGATCGAAACTGTCAATCTTGACCCGAGCATTCGTTTCTTCCACCACTTCTTGAAAGGCGATCCCAAACCGGTTATGGCCATAGCCGCGCTTGCGCTTCTTCGCCAACTCAGCTTCATCTTCTTCATCGGACGACGAGTCGGAATCTGCTTCGGACTCGGACTCGGTGTCGTCCTCCAAGTCACTATCGTCGCCGTTGAGTTCCCTCTGAGCTGCTCTTGCTGCCTTCTTTTCGTCGCGGATCTTGCGTTTCTGCGCTCGGTCGGCTTCTTTTTTGGCTTTGCGCTCCGCCTTCTCTTTCCGGGCCTCGAGGTCTTCTCCGCTGCCAATGCCTCCGCCCGTGCCGACAACCATGTAGGTGCCTCGAGCCTCGTCGAGGGCAGCAAGCACAAGTGGCGTGGCACTATCCGGGCCTTTTTTCTCGCGTTCATTCACTGCAACTGCTTCACCAACCCAAAGAGCAAGTTTGACCAGAGCGCCCGGGCTGTTCGCGAATAAGGCCAAATCGGGCCCGTCTTTGACGACACCCATGCGGAACGCACGCAGGTGTCGGATTTGATGCTTGACGAGTAGAGAGGAGCCTGCCCGGAGGATGGAGCGTAGTAGGTGCTGGGCAGCGGGGATTGAGGCAAGGAGGTGGTTAGGATGATTCGGTGCAAGGGCGTCGTAGGCGGCAAAGAATCGTGGAAGGAGTGCTTCAGAGCGGTCTAGAACTTCCTCGGTGGCAGCGATAGCTTGGGATGAGCCGTTGTAGGTTGCAGATGCACCAGTCGTGCCCGAGACCTGGGATGGACCGACGTCGAGTATGGCGGCAAGTATGACTCCCACATCGACGGCGGACAACTGTGCTTTCCAGCCCCAAGAGCGAATGAAGCCCCATCCTTCTTGTTCGTATGTAGCTCGGCCCGATCCGGAAGGGATGAGGTCGTTAAGACCGTACACTGCTGCATATTTCAAGAGACGTTCTCGGAGTGTCTTCTTCAGATCCATGTCCATATGTGTATACGTCTGCTTACATTGACTTAGGGAAACGCCCATTTTTGCAAGCAGTTTGTGCAGTCGCTTGATTCCCGATTCGTTCCATACGTGTAATCGTGATGCAAGATATGGGGAGTGCAACATACTATCGTATAGGGACCAATGTCTCAGTAGGAGGAACCGCGGATCGGGCGAGAGCCGAATCGAGGTGTCACTGGGCGAACTTGTAGCACCAGCGCCAGGAGATATTGAGGGGGATTGATCGGCAGGAGGAGGATTTAGCCGCCTCACTTCGTCACGCAAGAGTGCGTAGGTTTGAGAGGAGCGCGTTGATCGCCACGATTTATGATGCTCATGCGGAAGAGCGGGCGTTGTCGTGGACGTCCCGAGGCCTGTTGACGTGTGACCAGAGAGCTCCAGGGAGGTGGTGCCGATAATGGCCAACCAAAGAATGTCATTGTCTTCGCGGCCCAAGTCTGCCGCCAGAGAATATGCCAGTGTCGAGACCGGCTCTGAATAGGAAGTACCCAGATTCCTGTATTCCTCCAGCACGAGTTCGTGCCTGTGTCGTAACTTTCGCAACCGTTTTCGGAGTTGCTTTGCTGGCGGAGGCCCTCCGGGCTGCTCTTTGGACATGGGTGAAGTCGGCTGAGAGGAGGATGGAGTCTTACTTCTCGGCGTAGAAGCGATGGATGATCCCGAATTGCTCCTCCGCCTTTGGCGAGGTCTCTCCTCGTCCTCATTCCCATCACTTTCATCGTCCTCATTTTCTCTATCAGACCAGGATTTTCGCTTCCTCGACGAGGACGTGTCCTGGCTGTCTTCCTCTTCGTCGTCTTCCTCATCACTGTCGTTCTCTTCGATCTCAGGCATTTCTACCAACTCGTAGTACGCGTGTCTTTCGGCGTCGAGCTCACTCATGATATCGCCGTCATCAAAGACTATGACACCGCCTTTGCCAGACTTGTAGGACTTCTGGATGCATCCTTTGTCGACCCCGGGGTGTCTGTGCCTCGTGTTCACGTCGACCTCCCCGAGAGGAGATTCTGTTGGCTGACCGCCAAAGACGTTGGACAGGTTCCAGGGTCTTCTGGCGTCCAGAACCCATACCTCGACACCACACATCGACTCAGGAGAGTCTTCATCTTCTAAGCCTAAAATGGCACCAAGATCAACCAGAGCACCGACCCCGAGACAGATGACGACACCTCCGCCACCGCCTTCTGTGGTTTTCATGGGTCGGACCAGCTCTTCGCCGGCCTTGGAGAGGTCTGCATAGCCAGAGACCGGTTGAATCTTGTGGGGAATGTAGTCGCGTTTGAGAAGTGACGTGAGGATGCGACAGGCACATAAAGAGTCTGGTTCGAGGGCGACCAGCAGGAGAACGGGAGGTGACAGAGGATGATGCGAGCGGACGAGGTTGGTGTAGAGGTGTGAAATCAATGGCCGAGGGAGGTACATGGTCTGATAGAAGTGGCCGACACGACTGGCGACTGCTGCGCTGTTGTGTTGGTGTGCATCGCGTGGAAGGACTAGCAAAGCATGGCGAGAGCAGAAACGGGTCGACAAGCTCGGAATCAATAGCGGGAATGGGCTTGTGACAACATCGTGGGATTTGAATTTGGTGCAGTCAACACAGGCTTTCCGAGTGTGTGGTTGAGATGAGGTCTGAAGAACGCAGCCGCGCTGGATTGAAGAAGCCGCCGTACTCGGGTCTCGCGTTTGCACTGCAAGACGCGTCGTGGCGGTCGGCCAATCACACGGCTTCCCCACCCGGATTACGCCTACGTCACTGTCACTGTCACTGTCTGCGATCCAGACCGACTGTCCCAGGCCCAGGGGAAGCTCGAAAAGATAGTCGATCGAAGTGTCTTGAGAGATTAGTCCTTGCTTGGTGGCCTCTATATTATGGGGATGCCTTTTGAGCTAGATACCAATCTCCTCTGAGATCCTCTGAAGCCCCAGGGTGCTACGCCCTCGATGTCAGTGGGACGCTCTGCGAATATGACCTCTGGGGTTGATGGAAAGAAAGTATCCAACATTGACTGGACTGTATATGAAATGTCCTGCAATGAAAAGTACACAGGCGTCGTGTACACATCGTTATACTATGGCGTGGAGAAGCGAAGCATTTCAATGCAAGGGCAAGATCATCATGATGCACAGCACTATGACGAGGAAGATGAAACTCCTGCCACCTTGTCTTTGCCGTCCTGTGCCAATCCACCAGCAGACTTCGCGGTATCATGAACCGTTTCCTTTGCAGCAGCGTTCGCATCTTTGCTGTGTTCCTCAACGGTGCCCTTCAACTCGGACGTGATCTCTTCCGAGTCGTGCGCAGCATCCTGCAATCTCTCTTTGTGGGCTTCGATGGCATCTGCATGATACGGGTTTAGTATGTGTGCTCGGTGCCAACAAGAGTCTGCTTGAGAAGGCGATTCTCACCTTCACTTCCTTTGTTTCCCGTGAACATGCCGCCTATTTTGCCGGCACCGGCACCAAGAGCACCTCCTGCGAATTGTACAGTGCTTCCAACGCCGTCGCCTACACCTTGGACCGTGCCAGTCAGGCCTTCACTGAGTGCTCCAACCGTGTTTCCGAGGGTGTCAACCACTCCTTTGACTCCGCCACCGACGGTGCCTCCGAGGGCAGTTACCGCGCTTTGGGTATTGGATGAGATTCCTTGAGCTTCGCCCTGAGGCACTTTGCCGGCAATTGCAGCTCTACAATCCCGTCAGCTTTTGTGGGACATGGGACGTGGGACTTGGGACATGGGAGTTGCGGGCCAACAGCGGTCTACTGCCTCACTTACTTGGTTTGTTCCCCAAGCTTGTCGCCGGTGGGATTGCCTGGAAACAGGTCAAGATCAACCACTCTGTTCTCTGCTACTTTGACCATTGTGAGTTACCGGGTTAGCAGTCAGTCAGTCTCTTAATATGTGTCGAAAGTCAGTCGCAGAAAGCGGGGGAGCGTTCTTCAACGCCGACATGTTGGAATCAGCCACAGCCACAGGCACTTGTGACGTAAGGGAAAGTTTCATGTGCTTTCATGACACCCGGCGACAAGAGATGCTCTGGTTCCAAGGAACCTTGGGCCGGGTGGCCGTTGGGTTGGTTGGACAGAGCAGGGATCAGTGGTTGGTAGGTACGGATATGTTGGCAGCGAAACACAAGTACGGAGTTACTGTTCGTTAGGTAGGTTAGGTGGTAGGTAGGAGTGATGACTGCGTCACGTGGGCTGGGCGCCTACCCAGGGCAGGGCCTCCCCTAGTCCTACGCCTAAGGCCACGCCGGTTTTAATGAAGAACCTCCTTAAGAGCGCCTAAGAGCGCCTAAGCCCCGCCTATGTATTTGTATCCGTAGACAGTGTCGCTGGTTGAGTACTCCGTACTCCGTCAATTATACTACCTGGGCTGCTGCACATTCTGGATGAAAGGAATAAAGCAATAGCACGAGTGCTAGTAGTATTAACATCGAGGTCTCTGCAGAGTAAGATTTCTCTGCCGCCGCCAATGGCCGCCTACTCTAGACCTCACTTGCGCTTTAACGGTGCTACCTACTAGCTACTAGCTGGTGGCTGATATCTCTCGATCTCTCAATCTGTGTCTCCTATTCCTGAATCCCTGGTCGTCGACAGGTCCAACACCTAAGCCTTCAGCTTCAGCTGCACAAAAACGTGGCAAAGACGACCTTGGTTGCACTCAGCTGGACCGAGACCAATGACGCGTAACAGACCATGAGTTCGGACGAGGTTCGGCGTTCTAAAGCGCTCATCAGCACGGGCGATTCCGACACAGACACTCTGGTGCAAAGGCAAAAGTAACCCCCGTACCCGTGTGTACCATCCGGACACGCCGGACGTCATTACTGTCTGCCAGATGGACACCGACCGAGTATATAAGATATACACAGGTCCTCCCTGGCTTCTAGAATCGTTCCCGCTTGGATCACCAATTTTTCAGTTGCATCTTCCATCTTCCAGGGTATCCGTCCAATCGTCGAAAACACCATGTCGGTGTCTCCAACACGAGAGTCGATCATGCCGCAGTTCGACAAGGACTTGCGGGACTTACATCTACTCTACGACTACGACGCGCAGAATCCGCAAACCGGCGCACCGGAAAAATGGCGATACGAGATGTGGTTCTTCTCCCACGATCGTATTGTTTACGCCATCCACGGAGGTCCGATGGCCGGTCGGAAGAACTACCAGACGGCGACATATCAATGCATTCGGCCTGGAGAACTATGGCAGTGCAATTGGCTGGAGGAGACGGGCACGATCTGCTCCCTTGTGTATGATCTGAAGTTGAATAAGATCACCACGCTGTTGGGCTTTAGTATCGGCCACTGGGCGAATGCCGACCTCGCCCACGGCGACAAGAGGAACCCGCAGGATTATGAGAGGTGGAGGGGTCTAGCCAAGCAGGGCACTCAGATCGACCGATACCTCCTCAGCGAGCAGGCCGATATCCTCGAAACGTTCCATGGGAAGGGCGACTTGGAGCCGATCGAAGAAAGCTGGCCGACGTTCTGAGAGTGCGAACGCTGCGCACCCGACCAGGTGCTACCGAATCCACCGACCTGGGTGGCTGGTGGATAGATTTCCAGTTCAGAGACGTTGACCCCTGACTGATGATCGAAACATTAAACATTATCATTATCCATAGCAAAGAGATCTACGGGTCAAGGTCAATCAAGGCGTACGGCAGTCTCTAGGTTCCAGCTTCAAGGCTTCAGGCAGTCTCTAGGTTCCAGCTTCAAGGCTTCAGGCAGTCTCTAGGTTCCAACTTCAAGGCTTCAGGCAGTCTCTAGGTTCCAGCTTCATTGTCATCATCTCCCTCAGGTCGCGATCGCGGTCGCGGTCGCAGGATATCACTCTACGAAGTCAAGATCTTACCTGGACGAACGTGTCTCATTGGTTTGCTTCATCATGGCACTGCAACTGTAACTGCAACCTCAACCTCAACCTCGGCCTCGGCCTCAATCTCAACCGCAACAGCAACTGAAAAAAGAAAACCGCTGCAGATTTGCAAAAGCACTACTCAGCAACGCCCGAATAGCAGACTTCTACAGCACGCCGGATGTAGCTGTCGTCGATAGGAACAGTTACAGTTGGCTCCGCAATCACGCTCGGCAGATAGGCTCGGACATACTGTATGTACTACTAGTAACTATATACGGAGTCCACGATCACGATCACGATCACAATCAGGTTGTATCGGGTAGCCGAGGCTCATCTGCGTTCTTCGATGTCAATGTCAATGTCAATGCCAACGTCAATTCTAATTCTTCGGCGAGGATGAGGATGAGCATGAACGATTGCGAGGGCTTTTCGCTCTAATGGATGTCTATGTCACAGGAGCTTAGTAGAAAGGCGACGTATAGAAGTACTCGGTACTCGTGCTGATGGCTTGCTACCGCTTCTGTATCTGTATCTGTCTCTGGGTCTGGATCTGGATCTGGATCTGGTTCCGTTTGGTCTTGCTAGATATACGTACGTACGTACCTGAACTTGTCTGTCCCGGGCCGGTTCCGGATGTGGCCTGTCTGGGGGTTTCTCCTTCTCCTTCTTCCCCGGGCGGAAAATGCAGTACTCCGTACACTGCTTACACTAGGTACAAACTTCGTACTGGTACGCGCGCCCACCCAGAACGACGGGCCGGGATATGGCATGACTTGCAAACCTGGGGTAAGGGGGTGGATTGACTACCTATCCAAGTCAAGACAAGACATATATTGGAGGGATGTTGCGTTCTTCGATGAACTGAACTGAACTGAACTGAATCCAGACAATCAATCAATTGCTTTTTATTGATTTTCTAATCTTCTTAACCCCCAACACTCGAACCCTGACCCCAACCCCCCACTATTACATAGTATACCTTATACCTTGTACAGCAGCACAGCTCATCAACCGACAGACCGCCATGCCCCTGACCACGCATCACCACGTCGCGTCGGAAAAGGGTCTCTCGTCGGTGAGCAGCCTCATTGTCGGGTCGAAACAGTGTGTGCTCATCGACCCGCCGTTCCTCATCCAAGATGCCGAGTCGGTTGTCTCGTTCATCCGATCTCACACTGCCCATCCGCTGGTGGCGGTCTTCGTGACTCACCACCACCCGGACCACTACTTCTCGGCCAACCCGATTCTGGACGCCTACCCGTCGGCCAGGCTGTACGCTGCACCGTACGTGCGGGCCGGTATCGACCGAGAATATGACGAGAAGGTCTCGTACTGGCCGACAGTGTTTGGAAAGGAGAGTGTGCCCGTCAGCCCGAAGAAGCCCGAGCCGTACCCATACAGTTTCTTTGTGCTGGAGGGCGACGAGAAGAGCCCCGTGTGCTTGCTGGGACCCGTCCAGGGAGACAGCGTGGACCACACTTTGTTTTGGCTGCCGACGGAGCGCACCGTCATCACGGGCGATGCAGTTTATGCAAGGAGCACTCACGCTTGGTAGGTGGATTCAGTCGTTGCATTCTCTTCCATATTCTTCCCTTTTATTTTCCAAGTCACATTCATTGCCAGACCCGGCTATTCGTACAGAGCCTGGGTCTGGATCTAGGTCTGATCGAACTGAATTGACGTACCTGGATGGGTGGGGAACTGCAGGGTCGAGGAAATCGAAACCCCCGACATCCTCCACGCGTGGTATCTTACGCTCGATCTGATCGAAGCCCTGCAGCCAACCAAGATCATCGCCGGCCATCTCGAGTCGGGTTGGGAGCTGGATGCCAAAGCCGATCTAGCATATATGCGCAGCTATCTCGACCTCTTTAGCCAGAAGATCACCTACGCGCCCAAGAAGGCGACGGTGGAGGAGCTGTACGCCACGTTCAAGAATGCCTTTCCGCAGTGCGACAAGAATCTGGATTTCTTCTTGGGCCACTTGAGTAATCAGTTTGGGGAGGGCGGGCAGGTCTGGGAGGAGAATCGGCATCATGCGGTGGATCAGAGGAAGAGGGAGCAATTGGAGGGCTTTTGGTTTGGGCTGGGTAAATAGGCAGGAGGGGTCAGTATGGATATCAGATACCAGATACCTGGCACCTATGGTAGATGCCTGGTCTCTGCTTACAGTGTACTGTTGGACTGTTGGACTGTTGTACCACTTGCTGTGCCATGGGCCCACCGAACGATGCTCGCGTGCTCTTCAGCAGCTGGTGAGAGAATGGAATACTCCGTAGAACATGGCGTTGTCTCTTCATATTTCCCATCAAACACGGCATTTGTCAGGGAATCCGGGGGTATCTCTACTCTGTGGAGCGGAAACCCCCTAGTTCGGTGGCACCCGTGGGAAGCTTCTGTACGTATAAATATTGTGGTATTAGAGGGAAAGATCTCTCTTCTCATCAATCAGTCGAGGAAGAGTGAGACCGCGACGTGGGAGAACGGAGAATGGAGCACAGAGGATTGGTGAGGAGAGGGATCAACTGTCCACGTGAAGCCAAACGCGAGAATGTGTCAAGTTCAATCTCCGGCCTGATGCGATCATCGATCACCAGACACGAGGATGAGGATCAGGACGAGGATCAGGATCAGGATGAAGATGACGTGATACTCGTTGTCATTGGGCGAAGTGCCTTGGCTGCCTTGGCGCCTTGGGACCTGTACTCCGTAGTCCTCCATAGGGCGGCGTCGCCCAGGCTCAGTCCTGAGTTCTGACTGGTAGGTGACTGGGCCTTCATTACACCGAATAGTGACGCCGCCCTGTCGCCCGGTGTCCACACTCGGCTCCTTTGGGCCGAGCAGGTGGAGCACGTGACTCTTCCCCCTGTGGGGGCGGCAGGGGGGTGTGGGGGACGTGGCGGTCTAGCGACTTAGCCTTGTATACTAATGTATATGAGTCGAGATAAATACGACGTTGGGTCCGCCTCCCCCGGCGATCCATACTCCAGACGGCTATGATTAACTCGGCTAGCGAATACAGACCACGTCGATCAGCTTATATCACTCTCTAGAGTCTACGGAGTTATACTAGGAATTCTTACTACCTATGAGGTGCCAGCCACCTGCCGGGTGCCTTATGCGCACTCAGCCTTCACATGCGTTCGCGTCATCACTGATCACTGTCATGTTTCAAACACACAAGGGCGACACCCCCTTGTGCTAGCTCGACAGTGAACGCCTGAACACTGAACAGCACTCCATGATCCCTGATCCCTGGTCCTGGTTCCTGGGCAGTGGCGGATACCGTACCGTGTCGTGTACACCAGCGTTATCTGCGAATATGACTGGACTTGCGGCTATGACGGCGAACAATGGTGGACGAACGCTGAAGGTGAAGGTGAAGGTGACCATCGGCTCAGTGGCGATGGAGGCGTTTATGCAGATCTCGCATTGTACTCCGTACAGACAGTCCGGACTCCAGAGTACACAATCTTTGATCCATCAGCATGGCCGGTTCTAATTCGGCGGAGCCCCATGCTTCTTGGTTACATTTGACGGTGGAGTGTGCTTCCTCGCAGCGCGTGATGGTACCACCTACCACCTACCACCGTGCGGACACTCCGTACTGTTTGGTGTACGGATACACTGCGCGCCCGCGACCAGAGTCTTTCCCACAATCGCGCCCCCCACAGCCTGGGCAAAGCGCGGAGTACCCAGACCTAGTAAGTACAGACGATCCGTATGTCCATATAACTACGGTACATAGGGATGCGGAGCCCCGGCCGATTGAAAAAGAAGGTACTCCGTACTCTGCCCTCTGCCATCCATTTCCCCTTTGCTACCCGACTTCCGTCGCGTTTTGAGTCTAAGATCAAGATCTTCGGGATTTGCCTGCCATTTGGTTGTTTTTGGAAAGTAATAACCAGACAGCATTGGGAACAACTCACCTCTCCACCAACATGGCCGAAAAGGAATCCCCAGACTTTGGCAACGTGGACGTGGCTCACGACGAGAAGGGCGCGGCTCAGTCTCAGAAGCCCGACCTGGGCGCCGCATCCGGGCGGCGCCATTCGACCGCTCTCAACATTGTCGAGAATCCGCTGAGGGTGAGTGAGGCTTGCAACGAATATCCTGTCCTTGGCCCTCTGCCGTGGTTATGATCCCATATCACTCTTGAGCATTGATGCTGACCGGGCCGTCTTCCCTTTGTCCCACAGCGCTGCACAGCGGAGCAGACGGTCAACGATGCGCGGGTTTTTGCCGAGGAACACGGTCTGGCCGAGCACGCCGCTCTGTTTGGACGCGCCGCTCTGGTGGCGCGTGATTCAGCACGGTTCGAGATGGTGACGGAACTCGACGAGGAAGAGCGCACCGCGCTGGCGTACGAGAGGGACCACAAATGGCACGGCCCAGCCATGCTGTGGTATTCCATCTCCCTGTGTGCCGTCGGAGCCGCCACGCAAGGCTGGGATCAGACCGGATCCAACGGCGCCAATTTGTCGTTCCCTCAAGAGTTCGGTCTGATTCATACCGGCAGAGATGAGTGGGTTGTTGGAATCATCAATGCCATCATCTTCTTGACCGCCGGTCTCATGTGAGTACTTACCTGACAGTAGCCACGATATATCACACACAGCATGCCATTCATTGCCCAGCAGTACCATTGCCATTGCCCCCGGCGGTGTGGTGCCTCTACCCTCTACCCTCTACCCGTTAATTCTACTACCTACTACCAAAACTGGCGTGATTGTGAGAGTAGTTGACTGACTCACCTGATGTACAGTGGTGCTTGGATCGTGGATCCCCTCAACCACTACCTGGGGCGTAGAGGCGAGATCTTTCTCACTGCTTGCTGTCTCACCGCGACACCGATTGGATCCGGGTTCGCCAAATCGTGGGAAGGACTGTTTGCCGCCCGGTTTGTCATGGGCATTGGCATCGGCGCGAAGAACGCCACCGTGCCCATCTACTCAGCCGAGATGGCACCCGCTCGAATTCGAGGTGCCCTGGTCATGTTCTGGCAACTTTGGGTCGTGGCCGGTGAGAACCCTCTGCCCAGCCCAACCCAGTCCAACCGTCCAAATCCCCCTCTCGCTCGCTTCCCGTTGAATTTTTTACTGATTTGCCTCCTTGTTGTTTCTCGCAGGTATCTTCTTGGGATTCTGCGCCAACGTCATTGTCAAAGACACCGGCGACATCTCCTGGCGGCTGCAGCTCGGCTCGGCCTTCATTCCCTCCTTCATCCTCATGATCGGCATTTTCTTCTGCCCCGAGTCGCCCCGCTGGCTCATGAAGCACGGCAAGTACGCGCAGGGATTCCGATCCATGACGCGCCTGCGAGCCCACCCCATCATCGCCGCCCGGGACTACTACTACTCGTGGGTCATCTACCAGGAGGAGCTGCGCGAGACTCGTGGCGCCGGCTATTTCTCCCGTCTGCGGGACTGTTTCACCGTGCCCCGGATCCGGCGAGCAAACTACGGGGCCTCGACCGTCATGATCGCTCAGCAAATGTGCGGTATCAACAGTAAGTCCAATTGTGTGGTCTGGCCTGCTGTGGTCAAATCAGTCCTCACCTTCTCCCTCTCTGACGCTGTATGTCGCTCCAGTCATCTCGTTCTACAGCTCGACCATCTTCGAAAATGTCGGCTACACCGCCCCGCAGGCCTTGTACGCCTCTCTGGGCTACGGCGCCATCCAGGTCATCTCGACCATCCCAACCCTATTCCTCATTGACACCAAAGGCCGGAGAACCTTGACGTTGATTGTAAGTGTCGTGTGGCTTGCTCCCTCCTTCCCTGCCCATGCGAAACTATATGTGTATATGTATAGGCTTTTCTGAAACTGCACATAACTAACTCGGATTTAGACCTTCCCTCTCATGTGCATCTTCCTTCTGGCCGGTGGTCTCTCTCTTCTCAAAACCGAAGGTAGCCGTGGCGAACGGATCGGTCCGGTTGTCTTGTAAGTCATGCCCTGCCATTGCCACAGTCAAGAAACCAATCCAACACAACCATCGACTCTTTCTCGCTCAAACGAGACAACCAACATGACATCTCGTCTAGTCTTGGACTGATCAATTTCGATTTCGATTCTAATTCCCGCTTTTTTTAGATTCGTCTACCTCTTTACCATCTGCTATTCGTTGGGCGAAGGCCCCGTCGCTTTCCAATACTCGGCCGAAGTCTTCCCCACCATCCAGCGTGAGCAAGGAATGGCCTGGGCCGTCTGCATCAACAACACTTTCGGTAAGTACCAGCACCAGCACCAGCACCAGCACCAGCACCAGCACCAGCCTCTGCATGTTCTGCAGACCACCATTCCATTCCATTCCATAACCCTAACCCTAACCCATTCCATTTCAATCCGCCTGAGATGGATATCGATGATCTGTTGCTGACAAACTCCGTCTTCTCTACTAGCCGGTATCCTCAGTTTGACCTTCCCTCGCATGAACACCGTCATGACGCCAACAGGAGCATGTAAGTCACTTGGCGACGCCTTGCTGTTGTCTGTCGTAGCTGCTGCACTGCACTGCACTGCATTGCCTTCTTCCGGCGTGCAGTTCGGGCAGTTCGTGCAGTTCGTGCGATTCCAATTCGTGTCCATTCGCTGACTGTTTTGCGATGCTCTAGTCGGCTTCTATGCCGGTCTCAACCTGCTCGCCTGGTTCATGATCTTCTGTTTCGTCCGAGAGACCAAGCAGCTCACTCTGGAAGAGTTGGATCGTAAGTGCCAGGCCTGCCAAACGGGGACCTTGATCCCAACTTTCTTCTTCTTGTTTGTTCTTGTTTTTGGTGGCCCCCCAGTGCTGACCATATATCTTGTTTTTGGTGGCACGCTGACCATGTATCGTTTTCTCACAGAGGTCTTCTCCGTCCCCACCAAGAGTTTCATCTCGCATGAGTTGAAGGTGTGGCTCCCATACTTCATCAAGCGACATATCTTCCGCCAGGACATTCCTAAGCCGCCACCCATCATCGAGAAGGCCGACAGGTCCCAGGAGACTCTTCTCGAAGCGTAGATTGAGACGAGACGAGACGCCTACGGGTCCCTGAGGTTCGAAGCCTGAACCAGCTCGGCTCGGCTGAGCTCAGCTCGGCACGGCTCGACTTTTCAAGATTCAATGTCCGCGCTCGCTTTTCTCACGCCATTTCCTAGTTCGTGTCTTGGGTAGACGGCCTCAGTCACAGTCACAGTCACAGTCAAAACCACAGTCACAGTCATTACCGGGATACCAGGATCAGAGACAGGAAACGTCGAGCCTGACCTGACCTGTGCGGATACAGTGTCGGACTCAGATTTGGATTTAGATTCGGATTCATCTCGTAAAATCCATCGATCGACTTTTTCTAGTGCGAACTCAGCAGCCAGAGGTATTAATGATGAATCTGAATGAATGTGAATCGAATGGAATGCGACGATGGACGGACTCACACCACGACCGAATCAGCGAGCTAGGTATATTATATTCTTAGGGACTCAGGCTGCATGGCATGCTGCATACACATACACATACACATCCAAAAACATACAAACACACTACAGAGAACAAACACTGGTTGCCGGAAGTGTGAGCAGGGGCAGACATGGGAAAAGGAAATACCTATTGGAGGAGATTCTACAGCCGTAGAGGACTATCGTTTAGTAGTGGTAGAGTATGAGTATGATTACGACTATAACTATGACTACTATGACAAGCCACACAGTAGTTGATACAGCGAAAGGAAGTAACGAAAAAGAAAAAGAAAGAGGAAAAGAAGAACAGTAGATGAATTCTCGTGGAAAGGTAGGTCCTAAAGGTATATTCTGTGACCGTGCCGTTACTATTGCGCGTGTACACCCGAGCCAAGGTCAATGCCAAAGTCAAACTCGGCGTTGGCAGAAGGGGAATACAAGAAGTCGTAGTGTTCCAGAAACGTTGCGTCGGCCGGACTAAGCCACTGGTCGTCTGGATTCATATCCAGAAGAGCAGACCGACCAGAACCAGAACCAGGACCAGGACCAGAACCCAAATGGTCTGTCAATTCTGTGCCGTCTGCGTCTGCCTGTTGCCCCTGCCCTTGTTTCGGCAGGAATCGGTCGAGTAACTTGCGCATGCTGCTCGCAATGCTGGTCAGTAGATGCCGAGGGTGCGTGGTGACGGTGACGTCCTTTAAGACGGTGGCTAATGCATCCAGTGTTTCCGACACTGCCACCTTGTCGATCTGTACGTTGGCTGGGTTCTTGATCGTCGTCTTGAGAAGAAAGACAAAGGCGAAGGCGATCATTGTGTCGAAATACGCCGGGAGCCCTGGAAGGTAAGACTGTATTTCCTGGTCGGCCACGACGATACGCAGAATCGAAGTGGCAGCGTGAATGGCGAAGCTGGCGAATTCCTCGAGGTCCGGGTCCAGCGGCTGATGCTGATGCCGATGACGCTGTGCTTCCGCTAGGGTTGCCCCTCGAAACAAGTGCGAATAGAGGAACAGCTTCGCGAAATAATAGTGTAGGTCAGCCGCTTTGCGAGGATAGTTCCCTCTATATTGCGAGCCCTGAAACCGTTCGTTCCAGTCGGCTCTCCAAGTGTCCAACGCGATACTCAACCGTCGGAGTTGAGGCGTCAACGAGTCGGAAAGGTGAGCCTCGGGGTCAAGGCCAAACTGATCAAAGACGCGAGTGCTGATTGACCAGATTTCCACCTGACTTACCAACCTCACATCATCCTCGGTTACATATTGGGATTTAAGGAACTCCGCGGGGGATGTGATAGAGGCGAAATCCCGAGTCAACGGTGGCCTGCCGTAGGCGATGGAGAAATGATGGTCACAGACATACACAAGATAGTAGAGCCGAGTGCGTAGGTAACAGGCTTTCTTTGTATGAGGAGCTTTGGGTATACAGCGGTGTAGGTTTAGTTCTCCTGCAAGGCGAGCCGCTTGATGGCAGATGAACATCAGTCGACGTCCTCTTCGGGGGTGAGGCAGGACTTCAAAAAGGAGACTCTTTTCGTCTCCACCAACGTGCAGCCTGATCGACCAAGCTCACAGAGCAAATTGCAATAGAACAGGGTAAGGGCATAGCTCACTCACCTGTTCCAACAAGAGCCCAGGATATATCGCTTAGCCAAAATGCGCCTATGCAGAGAGCGCGCACATCATCGTGACTGTTCGTCTTGGAGAACATCCGAGACGAAGCCAAGTTGACAAAATGCTTGTAACATGCTTGGTAAAGGGGGGATGGAGTGTGGAGTGCGGCAACCGCACAGATCGCGGCAGTCAAGAGAGACGAGCTTTTTCGGACGCTAGCCAAAGAGTCGTGCTCGGCAAGGATACCGTAGAGGAAATGATCGAGACGTCGAATGTACAAGCTGAAAAAGGCCTCGGCGTCGTCAAGCCCAATGATACCGCAGTTGATCAGATCATTGTTGTCAGCAGAAGGCTGATCAAGTCCTGGTCTGGATGTTGAGGTAGACAGTTCAAACACGCAAGATGCAGGGACCACAGCTGGGCCTTTGTTGAGGTCCATCACGACCTCCCAGCCTTGCTCCTCTTGTCCAGGACCTTCAGCATTGACAGTGCCTGTCGCATCTAACTGCCCTGACTCGGGTCGAACTTGGGTCGGGATGCGTTGTGGTGGCGGCTCTATAACATTCTGAGTTATCTGGTCGATCGAGTCTTGTAGCATACGGAGTTTCTGCTCGACGTTGCTTTTCCATCTAGATAGATGGCCATCCATCAGCGCTTGCCGGGCGGCGCCTCTCAGGTTACAAACGTGACTCACGTAACATCACTCTCAAGAAGCGTCTGGAGGCTCCGATTGACGACGCACGACAGTCCGCGCTTCTTACATCGAGTACAAGGAGGGCTTGCATCTGTCATCTGGCATTTGATTTTCTGCCTCCGACAAGCAACGCAGGCAGTAATTTTCCGACTGATGTCAATGGGTCTGCGGTCCCCGAAAGACTCTCGTAGTGCTTGGGCAGCTGCCGAGCCAGAGTCCATTGCGTGGTATGACTGCCAGTATACTTGTTTTGCTCCGAGCCAATGTCATCAATGACAGCCGTGGAAGTAAGGAGGGTGGATGGAAGATGGCGCCATGCTTCCGGCAAAGATGTCAGAGTCTATACGGAGTAGTCTATAGGTAGAATCTCCTCTTCTTGGTCATCTGCGTGGCCCCGAACGCGTTACTGGACTGGTCAGGGTCACGGACCTTTACGAGAAAGACTCTAGAAGAGACAGCACAAGGAGAACGAAGAGTTATACCAACATATTAGTAGTGCTGTTCGAAACGTATAATCTCTTGAACCCGGTTGCGCCAAGGGTAGTCACGTGGGGGATCATGTCATGTGCCGTGCACGTGACTCGACTTCTCATCTGAGAGATGTATAGCAGCGGACCGTTCGCAAGCGGGCGAGTCGCGACATCCTGCACGCTACAACCAGGCAGAAGCGAGGACATTGAGACATTGAGCACGAGGCTGCGACGCTGCAAGTGGTGACGAGAAGTTATCAAGAAAAGACCCGGGGTAGTATACTCCGCCGTAGATTCTTATCGATAAGCAAAAATTTCGAGTGGAGGGAACCTTCAACCCGCGCTCGCTCTGCAACTTCATAACTTCGTGCCGCTGTATTTGTTTTACTCCGTCAACACGCCCTTGCAGAACAGCATGGCCAAGCCGAGGAAGAAGAGAAGGACACATGTCCCCCGTGATGATGCACCAGGGAAGCCAGGTCAAGGAAGCCGTCGCCCAAAAAGCATGGTTATCCGAATGGGCGCTGGCGACGTCGGCCCCAGTGTCACCCAGCTGGCCAGAGATTTTCGGACTGTGATGGAACCGGACACTGCGAGCAGGCTGAGGGTAGGGCGTCTCTATCTACCGGAAGCTTGTCTTTCTTTACTGACTCCTGTGGCAGGAACGGCGAGCGAACAAACTGAAAGATTACACCGCCATGGCTGGCCCTCTGGGGGTAACGCACCTTTTCCTCTTTTCACGATCCAAGACCGGCAACGTCCATCTCAGGGTTGCATTGGCACCTCGGGGCCCGACCCTGACCTTCAGAATCGAGCGGTACGCCCTGTGCAAAGATATAGCCAAAGCTCAGAAGCATCCTCGCGGAGGAGGGAAAGAATACTTGAATGCTCCCTTATTAGTCATGAACAACTTTACCTCGCAGGCCGCGGGCGAGCCCAACGCAGATCCGATCAAAAAACAACTCGAGACCCTGACTACCACCGTCTTTCAGGGCATCTTCCCACCCATCAGCCCACAGACGACATCGTTGAACTCAATCAAGCGAATCCTGCTTTTAAACCGAGAAACTCAAGCAGACGGAACGTATGTAATCAGCCTGCGACACTACGCCATCACAACTCGCAAAGCAGGCGTGTCGAAACGAGTCCGGAGGTTTGATCCGAGCGAGCAGCGCCTCAGAGAGAAAAAGACGGGGGCATTGCCAAACCTGGGCAAACTGGACGATATGGCAGACTACATTCTAGACCCGTCGGCAGCAGGATATACCTCAGCCAGTGAGACAGAACTCGACACCGATGCAGAGGTCGAGGTAATGCAATCAACGACCCAGCGTGTGCTCAGCAGACGCGAGCAACAAAAACAGCAGGGTGATGAGAAAGAAAAGGCGAAAGCCACAGAAGCTGGCTCGAATGTTGAGAAGCGAGCAGTTAAATTGGTCGAGCTGGGTCCCCGGATGAGGCTGCGCATGGTGAAAGTGGAAGAAGGCATCTGCGAGGGGCGAGTGATGTGGAATGAGTTCGTGACGAAGACAAAAGCCGAGGAGAAGGAGTTAGATGAGAGATGGGAGCAGAGACGCAAAGAGAAAGAGGCGCGCAAAAAACAGCAGAGGGAGAATGTGGAACGGAAAAAGTTGCTGAAGAAGAATACAAAGGCGAATGCTGGACAGGACGGCGAAGAAGGCGAAGATGAAGACGAAGAAGAGGAGTGGGATAGCGATGAGCTTGAAGATTGGGATGATGCCGACGATGTGGATGACATCGCCGATGGTGATGAGGTGGAGGCCGAGGCCGAGGACGAAGAAGACGAAGAAGACGAAGAGATGGAAGGCTGAACTTAGGGTCTGCGGAGGCCAAGTTTCCTCCTTGCCCCTGACAAACTTCCACCCAGCCCGCCGCCGCCCCAACTGTTTCTGTTTCGCCGACCTCGCGAGCGTTGCGTGTGGATCAGAGCGCTGGCGAGGCACTTCCAGGCTACAAACTTGACTTTGGCTGCCACCGAGATTTTCGGGCAATGGTCGACGGCTGCTGAAGACACGGAAACCAGGACCATAGAAGCCTTCCGATCAGTCCTGAGTACTGGGGCGCTTTGGATGCCAGTGGTTACTTGGTGCCTGAACCGACTGCTCGCTTTCTACGGAGAGTGTACACACTCTACATGTCGGCAAGCTTCTGTCCCGGGCCGAAGACGCAGGGTGTGCCTCGCGAAAGAGATCTCAGAGGGTGCAAGAGCACCCACGGGATGTGCCAGGAGGACGGAGGACGGAGCATGTGCATGTGAATTGGTGGAGAGTAGATGTTTGACCTAGATACTATATTCAGACCGGGGATTCCAGCATTCCCCAGATGCAGGAGCCACCGCCTCAAGATGCATGGCGCTCCATAACCCATAATTTGCTTCACGGGAGTCTGCGCTCCGTTATCGTTATTGCTGGTCAAGTCTTCGATTCTGCCGAACCAGCGTTGAAGGCACTCTTCTGCCATCTGAGGGGCATCGATAGGTCTGAGCGCCAGTGACAGGGCCGGTGTCTCAGCCGGACACCTCAATAGGCATCTCAGATTAGCAACAACTTTAGTAACCATATCTCATAACCCATTCCACTGCAGCAGAGCCATCTAATGCATTTTCCTAGCCCTTCTTGCTAAGATCTGGGCATCGAAGGCATCGACTCGTTTCTCCACAGGCGGACCGTCGAAGCGTCATATCCGCTTTCATTTCTTTCCGCTCGCGTACCGTTTCACCCAGTCTCTAGCCTCTTTCTCGTACGCGCCGCGGTCGTTGCGATACTGCTCTGCGATCTTCGTTTCAACGGCATCGTCGGGATTCGGTTCTAGATGATGTCAATGAAACGGCCCACGCACGAACCCAAAGTCCACCCTGGACCAAGGCCATGTCCAAGTCGGTTGTTCAGCGAGGAAAATCGAGGCAGAGACGAACCTTTGAGCAATTGCCTTGCAAACTCCAGCACCGCGCTCATCTTGGTACTGGGCTTCCACTCCGAGTCCTTGAGCATGCCCAGACACATGGTGCCGGAGTTGGGCGGCGAGTCGTTGGAGATGTTGGGGTGATAGATCTTGGTGGTGAAAACGACGGTGGGTGGTTTGAAGGGGTAGTTTTGAGGCAGATTAATGGACAAGTCGAATTTTCCTCCCTGGTAAAGACATTAGCCAAACAGGTATGTAGTGGCAGCCTTGCAGGGAGTCCTAGGCTCGCGGTCCGAGAGGAGAGGACGTTATGTCGCCTGGCCAGGAGAGTCCTGGGTTTGGGTCCCATCGCATACCGCCGTGAACGTTCGCGGATTCACTCACCGCATAAGGCGATCCGGCAGGCCCTTCCATGGTCACTTTCCATTGGTACAGGTTTGCCTCGTCTGCTAAAGCCACGGCGATCCCGGGCGGCGGCGAGTTCATCAAGTCCCCGAGTTCCTGGGCGGGTTAGCCATCCTACTGTAGGCAGTGTCGCAACCTTGGGCGACACTAGCAATATACTCACTTTGGTGATGCGTTTCTGGCTGGCCATGATGGCTGATAGAGGCCGGGGCGCGCCTGATTGCTCCCGCAACTGTCACTGCCTGCCTAGTAGTAACCCTTTCGGCAGGGAGACCTGCGGGCAAGCGGGCAAACGGCCCGATAGCTGGTCAATGGTACAGAGAAGGATGGTGCAAAGTTACTACAGACGGAGTCTCATGAGGCCCTTCTGTTGAGGCGTCAATACATCAAAAGTCAAGCAAATCCTTGTGGTCTGTCAGGTTTGGATGAGTGGACGTTGCGAGGATGAGGATGAGGATGGGGTCAGTGTCAGTAATGCGAGCGACGTTACTTCCGCCCATGTCAAAGTACGGTTGTGAAATAAATATCCGCCGTATTACGGGTGGACCTTAGCTGCCTGTGTACTGCGGAGTATTTACTCATTTTTTGCAGGGGTATGTGCAGTTTGGAGCAGGGCGACACAAACCATACAAAGATACAATGAATGAATTGTCCAGCCCCGGAAAGTGATAAGTGAGAACAACACGAGATTCTTGCATTGCTTTCTAGCCTCTCTTTATTGTGACGCCTACGCTAGACTCGAAAGCGCCCACGGCAATTAAGACTATCCCATCCCATCCTTTTCCTCCACGTGTAGGACCCAGGACACACACGATGCGGTAGAGTCATGATTCGTCCCTCACCCGTCTGTACCACTGCTGTGGAATGTCACGCACAGCTGACAGTACTCGTGTGTCAGGTCAAGGACATGCTGCGGCAGATTGGTGGATTGTACGATGCTGCGCACTTTGACAGCTCCCTCGTCTTCGATGAGCTTTCGTATCGAGTAGAAGAGTTCTGGCGAGAACTACACCACAAGTTAGTACTTTGCCGGGAAGCACGGCGGTCGAATCTTACCTCAGAATACCACCGGTATTGCCAGGTGATCAGACGAATCAGACATGCTAGGGTACTCCTCGTGTCGCCTTTTTTCTCATACATCCGCATTATTCCTCGCATCGCCTTGGGCGAGAATCGGATATTGAGACACTGTTGATAGGCTTCCAATGCCTCGTTTGTGTGGTGTAATCTTTCAGCAAGGTCTCCGAGGATCTCCCATTCTGCCGCCGACTTCTTGTACTGCATTTGCTGTTGGCGGTACTGCCCCATTTCCGTTCGCCAGATGGTGTAGATCCGGAGATCTTCATAGAGTACCATGAACAGATTATCCAGCCATCGCTCACACAGCCGCTTATTTTGGAATTTCGGATATTCCGAGTGGTGGGCTTCGGCGTCTTCGTTGCCTGATTTGACCTCCTCAGCTGCAATGGTGGGGACCGGCTTTTCCATGGATCGATCTGTCTTTATAATAGGATTCTCATCGCCATCACCATTAACTCCGGACGCTGTTGAGACTCCCTCAGCAAGGGTCTTCTCGTCGTCTACCGGAGAATCATCCTCCGAGCCGGCATCTTCGTCTGAGCCTTCACCATTGCTCGCCTTGGGATGCCCGTTCGGAGTGCCCGAGAGTGCAATCGTGCTCGCATTCTTGCTAGACGGCATCTTCGGAGTTACGGAATGATGCCTTTCGGAGCGATATTCTTCTTCCATGACGAAGACGTGACTGCGGGTCTTCAGTAGCGCGTCCCATCCGATGGACGCAGCAATCCGTGTAAGCAGGCTGTAAGCCTTGAGAAAAGTACCCTGATAGGTGGCAGCCTGCAGTTTCCGTAACGATACGTGTACCTGGTCGAAAGGCTCTCCTTGCCGGGGCTGTCCCTCGTCAATCTCGTCCAGCACGCTCTCAGGAAGAATTGGCAAAAGCACACGGCTTGGTTCGGGCATCCTGGGCGAATCTTTATCCTGATAAGAGAACATGGGACAGGAGTTCAGTGTAAGCAGGGCGAGATCCCATTGCTCCATATCAACATACACCTCGGCCAGGCGAGCCCAGGTGCTGAACTCGCTGGGGGCGGCGGTGACGCCTTGCTTGGCCAACTCGAGAGCCCACTCACCTTCGCCTTTGCTCTGGCAGAAGGATGCCTGGCAGTCAAGGAGAGCATAGTCCATCGGCACATCCTGTAGAGAGTCATGCAATAACCGGACTGCCTGGACTTCTTCATCACCATCTAAAAGCACCCTTGCCAGTAGGGAAGACACCTCCACGTCCTTCGTGCGTAGCTTCTCAAACAAGTTGATCCCTGAGGTGTAACGTCCAGTGGTTTTGATGTACTTGAGAAGTCCGGCGGTCAGGTGGTTCGAAACAGCGTTTGGGATTTGAATCTCGGGGTCGGAGCCAAGTTGGCGACCGCTGAAGAAGAGCCTCTCGGCAGCCTCGAAGAACCGGTGTTCCTGCTCTGTATTGGTAACTGGATTGAATCTTCTGACGCCAATGATCTTTTTGATAGTGTCACCACTCCCATCGTCAGAATAAGAGTACGCGCGCAGTACGGCGCAAAGAAATGTCTCCAGCCAGAGCCCGTCCGTTGCCACTCGCCGGTCACCTCTTTCGTCCACACAGTAGCTCTCCACACTTCCCGGGATTTTGACTTCTACCCGCATGTCCAGGTGGGAGAAAGCATTGTAGCAGCAGTATAGGCCCGACACCACTTTGTGGGTTTTGTCTGAGGGATTGAATGTCAGGGTGTTGACATAGGCAGCAAGACTTGCCGAAGAGGAGGCATCGACTCCGGTGACATGGTGGTACACGCCCGTTTGTTTTGCGCCGGCCTTTGAGCTCTGCTTGACCAGATGGACAAGGTCCGGCGGCCCTAACTCGCGCAGTCCGGGTAGGCTCTCCGTTCGCGCATCTACCGCCAATCCGATATCGTCATCCTCAATGATCCTGTAAACGAGTTGTCAGATAAGCCGACGGCCAGCATGAGTTGAATCTGGAGACTGACTCTGGCACTGCCGGCGTAAGCATTGCGGCGCACCCCCGGGGGTGGACGTGTGCAATTTAAGGACAGACTGGCGGAGCCGGGAGGGACGACGGAGCTGGGTTTGGTAGGGGCAGTGTCGGCGGGGGAAAGCAGAGCACGGGACTCCTTCAAGGCCTCAGTCGGAGGACATGTCACCGGTGCTATAAGCTGAATAGGTACTCCGTACTTGCACAAAAGTCAGCAATGGAGGAGTGTTTGGGAGTGCGCTGATCGAGATGCGCTGCGGTACGACACTCGCCAAGCTTGCCATATTTGGACTCATACGAAATCACCTTCGCGTCAAGCCACGCGTAGCCCTTAAACCTCACGAACCTTACCTTTACATATTGGCACAACACCACTGTCACCGTTATCGTCGCCGAACTTCTCGCGACCGGCCGGGCGAGGAGGTTATGAGTCTTCCATGACTGGCTTTTTGTCCAGATATGTCTGTCATCACCCGATCTGATGAAATAGACTTGCGCGCCACTATCGAACTGTACGGGCTGATCCATCCTTTATCCCTTGACCGAGGATAAAGCAAGTCATGTCTGGGTTCGCGGCCATCAACGTCGAACCAGAGGACACGTTCGAAGAAGAGATCGACGATACGAGAGAAATCCAGCTTGAAGAAGCGTTCAAACTCTATCAGAATGCGCTGAGGCTCCACGCCCAAGGCCCCGAATACTTCCAGGAGGCGCTTGATGCCTATGCCGAGTTGTTGCGGTCAGAAGTATTCAAGTACCCCGAGGTTGTTTCAGAGTTCGCCCATGAAGAACTCGACCAAGAAGGCCCTGCAGCAACCGCCCAGGTCGATGGTGGACCACTTCCTCTGCTCCCCAGCAATGCGGCTGAATCATCTGCAAGCTCCGTTCCCCAACTCATCTACCTCGCCTTCAAGAACCGAGGCCAGTTCCTTCTGGATGTAGCCCGCCATCGTCTACCAAACAGCAAAGGCACCCGGCCTGAGCTGTGTCAGCATTATGCAACGTCCTGCAACGAGAGCATTCGGGATTTCGCAAAAGCCCTAGAGCGAGACGATACCGATCTTGACTTGTGGAAAAAGGCCGCCCGTGTGGCGGGTGTCTTGTCGACGCATAGGATAGTGCGGTTCTGCTTGGAAAGTGTACTTGCTGGGGACGACGAGGATGCTGAGCAAACAATCGATCTGTCAGGCCTCGATGAGGCCTATGCTGCCGGGGAGCTCGAAGAGGTCATTGCTCTCGTCCAAGATGATCTAACTCGTCTTCGAAGCTCTGGCACACGGCCGAAGAGCCGGCTGTTGGCCGCCTTGAAGGAGACTAATGATCCTTATCCTTTCCTTCCAAAACGAACAACTTCTCTTGGATACCTGGACGACAGATACCGGCCACTAAGTTTTGGAGTTGGCCAGATTATTCTCCGACCGACCTCCAATGATTTGCTGTCTCTTGGCCAGGCTCTACACAATTTCATTCTCGGCGTTCAAGATGGGTCCAACGCACTTGGAACGGCTACGAGCATCCATGTAGAGTTACCAGATCCACGAGTTCTGAATCACGACGTGGCAGTGGCGTCGGGTACCGACAATGGCGCTGGCGCAGATGGACCATCCCCACCCAACGCTGTTGCAGAAGAGGATGAACCACCGCTGTCTCCCACAGCTTCCCGAGTCCATGTGAAGTCTCCCACGGGAGTAGAACCTGCATCCGAAATGAATATTGCAGAGCCTGAAAGTGGAAAAGACCAAGAGGCCGAGAAGAGTGAGGATCTAGAGGGGGATACAATTGAGGTGTACCAGCCAGATGCGCCGACGGCGGAAGCTCCAATGGTGAACGCGCGGAAGCGCTCTGCAACAGCTGCTGGCAATGAGGAACCCGAGGGTCGAACTAAAAGCAAGAGAATACGCGCAAGGGAGTCGTTGGCCGAGATCGCCGCCCAAGACGACGATGTAGTACATGAGGATCCTCAGAATTTCGTAGACCAACTATCGATGTTTGACGAGGCTGACCAGTCGGTCTTTGATGCGATCAACACTCTCCTTCTGGGAGTCGACTTGGGCACGTACCAATCAGCTAAGGCGATCCGAGAAGCATTCTGGCAAGGGTTCAACAAGATCAGGCACGAAGAGTCATCCGAAAATTCCAAGAAAAATCTGCGGCTCTTGTCGGATCTCAAAGATGCTCTGCTAGACTGGTCTGACGAAAAGAGCCATGCCATTCTCACTGGACATGGCAACCAAGACTTTACAGAAAACGCCACAGGGATGTCGCTCTTTCTTCAACATTCGAGGGCGACCAGTTCGAAGATTGTTGAACAGCCGGCGGGCTCCAATGAGGCAGCCCTTGTCTCAGTTGCCAGACACATCAATGGTGGAGCGACGAATGCCTATGACGCTGCCTATCACTGGCTTCTCTCGATTCTTACCGGTCGTCAAGACTGGACTGCACCTTCTACCTCGTCCTACTTGCGAGAGGTATGGCCTGAAGATATGAAGCAGACCGTGCTACAACTAATCTTGACTACCGAACCTCATCTTTATGAAGCCACGCGCCAACGCTTCTCCTCATTGACACGTTCGAAGACTCTCCCAGGCAAGGGCAGCAACATGGGTGTGGCCATGCATTTTGAGCTCGCGGAGACTCTCTTCGAATTGCACCTTGATCTGCATTCGGCGATCACGAGCCCAACCAGCAATGTCGACGAAACCACCCGTATTGCGCAGAGCGACCGACTGATGAGATGGTCAAGCCTAGCGGACGATTTCATGCACCTCTACCTTGATCGCTCTACACAACCGGCAATGACGGACCCTCTAATTTTGAGATTCATCTGGGCATCAACCACCTATGCGACCCTAGCCGAAGAGGTGGACAAAACGCACGTCGTCCTATGCCTGGAAGATTTGAGACGGGTGCTGGAGCGAACCGGCGTCGATGAAATCGTTCTCCCCAACAATGGAGCCATGCCGGTGATCTCTGTATCGGCCATTAACCAAGAGTTGTCTCGCTTAAATACGCTGGACTTTTTCACGAGTGTTTTTGATAGCGACAATAGCGATCCTGTGGCTGTAATCGAGAAGTTGGAGCCTATTCTTGAAGCTGACGCGATCCCTATCGAGGATGCAGCTCCGTCGCCGTCGGGCGAGCCGGACGTTCTCACACCACAGGCTGAGCAGCTGGTCAGCTTCCTGAGGTCAGGCGATGCTTCTTTGAAGCTGTTCTTGTGGCGGCGCCTTCAAAACGCATACACAGCAATATCATACGCTCCGAAGGTTGTTTCTTGCCTCCTACGAGCACTCGAGACGAGTGTCAGTGAACTGTACAATGCCCGGCATCTCGAGACCGATGACATCCCACGGCAGATTTCGATGCTGAAATGGCTGCGAGATATTGATGAGATTTTGATAAGACTGGTCCTCAAGTTCCTCAACGAACCCTCTGCCCTCGAGTGCATCGACGCAGCGCACCTGCGGTCGTCGTTGAAGGCCATCACCGCGCTTGACAAGTTGCTTCACGGGTTCGTCATCTACGACGACTCCGTCCGGATAGGTCAGACGCCGAGTCCCCAACTCAAGGGCGCGGCTTCAGCCAAGTTGTTCGATAAGAGCAAAGATCGATTCAAAGAGATTCTAGTCCGGACCCGGATTTTGCAATTTACTCTACTCAGGGAAGCCAGCGTACAAGACCCCCCTGCCTATCCTCAAGTTAGCGACCATCTGGCAGACTTTTTGAGCAATGTCCACCACGCCTTTGGGCTGCGGCAGTACTGCAAGTATGCCAACAAGGCGTTCGTCAAACTGGTCAAGAGTGAACTGGGCAAACTAAAATCCTTGGAGGAATGTTCGGGAGATCTGGCTCAGGTGTTCTTTGATCTATATCAGCTTCGGTTCGCGAGCGGGATTGGCGATGTAAACCACGGTTGTCCGACAGAAAACCTCGATCGAAAGACGGCTTGGTCCTTGGTCCCGACCATCATGAGTTACGCTGAACGATTCAATATCAAAGATCTCATCAAAAGTGAACTGAAGCTTACGATCGAGAAGATCCAACAAGCTTTGGGCGCGGTAAAGAGTACGCCGGCTCTTGCGTACAACAAGCGGATAATATCTGCATACCTGAAATCGATCGTCGTCCCCGAAGATCTGTACCGGTGTATCCGTGGTCTTGGTGATCTTCCAACACGTCCTGTAAAGAGTGACACTCAAGCTGTCGCCAGCAGTGGATGGTATTTTCTCCTGGGACACCTGACTCTGGCCAAATTCAAATCGGTCAAGCGAGTGAATCCCTCCCCAACGGACGAGCTGGATATCGCTGCCACTTTCTTCCGGCATGACTTGGATCACGGCATAGAAAAATGGGAGACCTGGTATCGGCTTGCACAAGTCTACGAGGCCAAGATTGAAGACGACCTCATTTGGAATTCAACCAAACTGAACGATGCGAGAGGCGACGTCGCTCTGCTTGAACGCCAGGCCATACACTGTTACATCATGTCCACTGCGGTAGCGATGCGGCTAGCTGACGAGACGCCCGAGACGGCACAAAAGATCGAAGATATGCTTGCAGAGTTTGGTACTCGCCTATACGCGTCGTCTCGGCCTCCGTTGAACATGGAGGCCTTCAGAACTGACAAACAGCAGCGGCATATGAGCAGCCTCGTTGATCAGACCATGTCTAAACAACCTTACCACAAGGCTGTCGGCCAGTATGCGCTGTGGCGTCTCGCTGCTTATCTTCTAAGCCGGAAACTCACCGATCGCCCGAAACATTGGATGGTACACTACACGCGTGCGAAATGTCTTTGGAAGATGTTTCAGAGCCCTGACAACAACGGCCGCGTCTCGGCCGAAGACGTGCTTGACGCCCTTGCCGAGTCTATCGATGCATTGCCCAAGAAAGAGAAGTCAAACGAGCCCATCCTCGAGCCGCACTACAAACTCGTCTCAATCGTCTACAAAATGGTTCGAGCCAAGGCCCTCACCTACAGACAAGCTGAAGAATGGATGCAAGTAACTCGTTATGCCCAGAATATTCCTCTGCCCGATGAAGATGAATGGATCCCTTACGTCCTCGGGATCTTGAAGAAACTCGGGACCGCCGACAAGTCCAACTGGCACCATAGGATTCCGGCCCGGGCAGCCCATGTGTTGTACGATGACGACTCTTCTGCGGCCGGCGCTCTTGGAGCTAGGCACCAGTTCACTCAACAGATCTTCACCAAGACCATGACCATCCAGGTGTGGAAGCCGGAGCACGAACGGCCGGGCCGCCACTACGTCTACACCGGCAGATATGTCACATTCTTCGTCCACCTGCTCGAACAGCTGAGCGATCGAGCCAACATGGACCAGCTAGTGCGCCGGATTCGCAGGAAGACCACCGATTTCCTCGACCACAGTAGATTGTGGGAAGAAGTGGTCACATCTTACGTGCGGCTCATGCGGCGGATCGGGAACATAGCAGATGGCCGTGAACGAGCCCTTTTCGATGGGATGAACTTTGAAGAGTTTACCAAAAAGTCGGAGAAGCTGGAGCGATGGGCCCGAGATCCCGACACTTCGTCAGTGTTTCTGGACATCATGCGCGACGCCATCGATCTGAAACGTCTGAACAACAGCTTAATGAAGGGCCCGTTGATCGACGATCTCATCGGCGATTCCTACGCTTGCCTGTACGAAGAGTTTGTGGCGCAGCTGCCTCCAGAAGAACAGCCGAAGCCACAGCCAGCGTTGTTTCCCCAAGGCACTTTCATCAACATGACAACCGACCTCGCAGGAGACAACGGGGATTCGGAGCGTGCTCGTCTGAACGACATGTTGCGAGCGCAAGGGGATGGTGCTGCGGATGGGCCCCTGGCCGTCTCGATTTCCGCGCCGGTGGGTCTGGGCCTACAGACATCTTCGTCGTTCATGGGCATGGTTGGGCAAGCCGAAGTCCATCGGACCACGGGAAAACCTGGACGTACCAAGACAGTCACCAGACGCGAGATCCAACGCAAGGCTGAAGCAGCAATCGTCAAACCACCGCCGATTAAGACTCCGATCCTGAGCAAGAGACTGGTGGTGGAGATCCCTACCAGGGACACGAGCTCACCAATCGATAAGCGGCTCGCCGATACGAAAGACGAGGATCCTGAGGGGAGCCGGGCTAGTTCTAGAAGAGGCAGTATTCACGACAGCGCGGATGGCGAAGAGGACTCCGGTAGCGAACTCAGTGATCTTGAAGACCTGGACGATAAAAAACAGCTCCTCTCTGAACTTGAACATGCCGGGGAACAAGCCGACGATGCCGCAGAGAACCACGGCGGTGACGAGGGCGACAATGGTGACGGTGACGGTGACGGTGACGATGCCGATGATGCTGTGGAAGATGAGGCCAATGACGTGTACGACGAAGCCGGCGAGGAGGGCGAGGTGGGAGAAGAAGGCCCCGACGAAGAGAAGAGTGATGTGGAAGATGACGAGATGGTGGATGCAGGAGAGGAAATCGAGATCCAGGATTCCCAGGAGAATGTCGAGGTCGAGGCCAAGGAGAGTGCGGGCGAGGGAGAAGAGCAGACGTTCCACGAGGCGCGGGAAGAGACCATCGGCGATGGCTAGGGAGGATGCTGAAACCCCTTACTCCGTAGCCACTGGTAGGGAAGGAAACGAGAGTTCTTGAGATACCCGTTCGAACTGACGCCGTTGGCAGCGATCATGCATGACTTTCTTCTACTGTAACTATATCCAGCTTTTCCTCTTTCCTCGCAGTAAGGGCCTTAGGATCCCTGAGGGCGGCAGCAGAGCAATGGTAGAGGGGGAGCGTTCCCTAAGGCGCGTTGCACTGTTCTACAACTACAACTTCCATAGTTAGTTTACAGAGCGAGCGATCTTCTAGGACGTATGTACGCAGTAGAAATATGTAGTGTACTGTACTGTAACCATGGAAATATCAATATCTAGATGGACATGTGGGATGCATGGATGCTTCACTCAGCCGGGGAGGGGAAGTGTTGTGTACTGGAAAACAAAAAAAAAATGATTTGATTTGATTCTCCAACTCGCCCACCCATCAATTAAGTGCCCTGCGATTTACGATAGACACTGTGTCTCGTACACATCCGTTTTGCGTGCATTGGCAATTCTCTAGGCTTCTCTTCTTGCTGGCATGTGTGTCCTTGTCCTTCCTTTTCCTTTTCATGCCTCTTGTCCCTTGTGCGCTGCGACTCGTAACCCGTCACATTGCAGCCTCGCGTCCCGGGCTAGGGCTGGCACGAACGTGTCGTACATCCTCGCTCGTTTCGGGGTCGACGACGACATACTATTTCCAGAGACTGTGCACGACGGCAGACCAGACAGACCACGACTCGAACAGTATATCCCGGCGAACAGAGTACACTGATCACGACCACAACCACGACCTCGACCACGACCTCGACCACGATTCCAAACATCCGGCCGCCGAGGAACCCTCTCCGAGCCACGGCCCACCTACCATGAGCGACGAGTCTTACGTGCCGTCGCCGTCGGCAGACTACGCGAGCTGCAGCACGGCGGAGCTGATCGAGCGCATCTCGGCGCTTGAGCGACAACTACGTGCACAGACTGCGCGGGTGGCTGCGCTGAGTGGCCGAGCGACAGACACAGACACAAGTTTGAGCAGGGACGAGACACGATCTATACGCGCAGATGACGAGACCGAGCCTTCCGGCGCGGGCGCAGGCGCCGTCGGAACACAGGCTTTAGGAAACTATGCGCGACGTCGGTCCCGATCCCGGTCGCGGTCGCAGTCGCCCTCACGACGCGCCCGACCCTTCGACCCGAGCCTCTACTCGACGCGGCACATCGCGCTCAAGTTCGCGTACCTGGGCGGGCGGTACAACGGGTACGAACACGCGAATGGGAACGTGTTGCCGCAGCCGACGATCGAGGAGGTGCTGTGGAAAGCGCTGCGGAAGACGCGGCTGATCAGCCCGCCCGTGGCCGAGGGCGCAGACCAGTCGATGGACGTGGTGTGGGACAGACATGCGCGGCTGGCTCGCTACACGGACGGGAAGAGCGGCGGCCGCGACGAGGCGCGCGGGAAGGTCAGGCTGGATCTCAACTGGGAGGGGTGCCAGTACAGCAAGTGTGGTCGGACGGATAAAGGGGTCAGCGCGTTCGGGCAGGTCATTGGGATCCGGGTGCGGAGTAATCGGCCGATCGACACGGAGAAGAAGCAGGAGGAAGAAGAAAAGGAAGAGGAGGAGGAGGAACACACGCATATAGCAGGACAAGTGTCTACGAGACCGAGACCGAGCCTGTCGTCTCGTCCGGAGAATGGAGCAGACGATGGAGCGAGGTCAATAACTTCTCCTGAGAATGGAGGAGACGATGGAGCGAGGTCAATAGCTTCTACCGAGTGGGAGGATGCCATGCCCTCGATCGATGTCGACGACCTTGACGCCGACCTCGATTCTTATACGAAGCCCTTCGATCCCATCAGAGACGAGCTGTCCTACGTGACGATACTCAATTCCATCCTACCGCCAGACATCCGCGTCCTCGCCTGGTGTCCGGACCCGCCGGCGAACTTCGACGCCCGCTTCTCCTGCCGTGAACGGCGGTACAAGTACTTCTTCACCAATCCGGCGTTCTCGCCCACCCCGGGCCCGAAAGGTATGAGGGACGCGGACGGGAAACCGGCGCGACTCAGGGAAGGGTGGCTGGATGTCGAGAAGATGCGCGAGGCCGCCAAGAAACTCGAGGGCCTGCATGATTTCCGGAACCTGTGCAAGATCGACGCGAGCAAGCAGATGCCGAACTGTGAGAGGAGAATCACGTTTGCAGACGTGGTCGAGTGGGAAGACACGGGCAAGATCTTTTCCATCCACCCCGGGCTGAATGAATCGGCCAGACGAGGGGAATCGAACATCGGCTCTGTTTTCGGGGCTGGTTTGAACCTCGGCGCTGTTCTCAACAACGGCCAGGCACCACCATCGCTGACCGGGCCGAAAGTCTACGCCTTTTGTGTCAACGGGTCAGCCTTCTTATGGCACCAGGTTCGCTGCATGGTCGCCGTGTTGTTCCTTGTCGGCCAAGGGCTCGAGGAGCCCAGCGTTGTCGATGAGCTGCTCGACGTGGACAAGACCCCGGGAAGACCGATGTACGAGATGGCGGATGACAAGCCGTTGGTGTTATGGGACTGTATATTCCCGGACACGGACGACAAGGACGACAAGGTCGGTGTCATGACCGACTCGCTGGACTGGGTCTACACCGGCGACCAAGCATCACACCCGCCGGTCAACGGCAAGAGCGATGGCAAGTTCGGGGTCGGCGGCGTGGTCGAGGAGCTGTGGAGGCAATGGCGAGAAGCCAAGATCCAAGAATTATTAGCTGGCAGCCTGCTCGATCTGGTCATTGGTCAGGGCGACGGCACTGCGCTGCATCGGCTCGCTCAGGGCCATGTCGAGGACATTTCGCGTCGCAGTCGAAAAGTGTTTGACGGGGACAACAATGCCCGGATTGCAGGCCGCTATGTGCCATTGATGAAGAAGCCCAAGATGGACACCTTGCATGTCCAGAACGCCAAATGGTTGACTATTCGGAAAGCAAGGAGTGAGGCTCGGTCTCAGACTCAGACTCAGGCAACCGAAGCAACCGCAACGGATGTAGAGGGACAATAGCGTTGTCCCGCTGTATGGCTGGCAATTGTTTGTCTCGTTTTAGCGCTGTCTGGCTGGCAGTTGTGTCTCGTCTTAGCGCTGTATGACTGGCAGTTGTGTGTCCAGTCTTAGCGAATGCCTGAATACAAGCATTTCCGACCGCCTCGCCAAACTTCCTCGAGGATGTCCCGTCTAGGGAGGAGGGTCTAAAAACCACAATAAAAGTTAGCCAGCTGTCCAGCAAACATTGTTCGGCAATGCAAAGTAACGCGATGCACTGGACTGCAACCATGATGCATGCTTAGCATACACGGCTGGGTCTGTCGCCAGTGGTATATAGCTTAGCATAGACGGCTGGGTCTATATAGTTGACATGATATGATCGATAGATCCTCGCGGAACAAACGCGTCTTGTCTTACCGGAAAAACAACCACGACCTCTGTGGCGCCTTCCACAATCACGGCGAGATAAAATCGGACGGCGAGCCCTTGGAACGCCTCATGGATGACGATGTCCTGGATCTGCGTCGTGGGGATGAAGGTCGTGGTCGCGCCCATGAAGAAGTACCGCGAACTCGTGGACGTTTGGATCCCCAGGCCCTGGAGTACCAAGAGCGATTCTTCTGCAAAGGGAGAACGGTTCGTTAGCATTTAGAAGTAGTAGTAGCAGTCTTCTTTTCGTCAGGCCAGCTGTGGAAGGAAAAGTCTGACTCTGTCAAACCGACACGACACTGCAGATCGATTGGTTCAAATTGACGGTTTACGCGTGTAGAGATGTTGAGCTTGACTTTGGGCAGATTCATCGCTTGCCATGGTAATCCGTGTGGGATTGGGATTGGGATTGCACCTGGGACAGTATCAGACCGGATGGTATACATACCGACATAATCCCTCCTCAAACACAAATAGATGACGGCCAAGCTCAAAGGCACTAGAATCCACCATTCCGTCCGCTCGGCAAGCGTCTTGACCAGTCCGCCGCCCAGACTCAGCTGGAGCGCGAGCTGGGCGTATTTGTCAAACGCACAGTTGAGTTCGGTAGTGTCTTGTTGGTGGTGGTGGTGGTGGCGGTGGTGTTGAGCCTTAGCAACGTTGAGCAGCAGCGCGTAGAACACCAGTACAAGTCGGACCACGTGTCGCAGAACCGTCAGCGTCAGGATGTGGGATTTGAAGAATCTGAGTCGGTGCTTGAATCTGGATTTGGACGTGGGCGTGGACGTGGATGTCGCCGTGGGGCGGCGAGGACGGCGAGTCGTGACGGTGAACGACACTGTGGTTGGCGATGGGAGGTAGACTTCGAGATACTGGGTGGTGCCGGTGAACATGGCTTTTAATGTCGAGTGTTGTCAGATAGACCAGGCATTTAGGAGAGATTGAATAAGACCAGACTAGATTGGATTGTGCGATGGGAGGGAAGCGCCGGATGGAATCGTGATAGTAAGATTCGTTGAGCAAGAGGTACGAGGTACCTTAATATCAATTCTGGCTGGGAGGTCGGTCTGGGTCGGAGATTGATGTAGATGTCGGTTGGGGATTGCCTGTCACAATCGCGACAGGGGCAAAACTGTCGGCTGGCACGTTAAAGGGAAGCTGGGGTCTTGCGTATGAAGGACTAAGAAATCTAGGTGGCGCGAGACAGATACTTGGTACATTCAAATCCATATAATTCATGTCTTTATCAGTCTGGAGGTGGAGGTGAAGGTGGAAATGAAGAGGATAGGTATGCCGGAAGAATGATAATCCGAAGCCAGTCCAGCCTTGTCTGCGGTCTAGTCGAGCCTGAGGCTGCGCTATGCTATCTGGATGTCTGCACGCTTTTCCGAGTGTGAAGCATTGATTTCCACGTGTGCGTTTTGGCGGAAATGGCCACGGCAAGAAGCGGTACAGCTGAGCATGCTAGTATCACGATTCCTTCAGGGTGCACTGTCTATTAGGGCGACAGATATCCGTAAATACTAGATACCTTCCTCGGGAGACGACAGAGGAGATCTCGGAAGACCTGCCTTTTTGGGCGGTGCCGGCATGTCTGGACTGGCGGTGCTTTTCAACTGCCCAGGCAACTTGTTCGTCTCAACCAACATTACCATTACTTTCGCTGCATAAATCTCAGTGGACAAGATTGTTCACAAATGGCCGACGACCAGCGTGAGACCAAAACCTCCTCTTCACCCTTCGCCAATACTGACAGGAAAGAGCGAGAGTCGACCAGAGACGACAGCCGCAGACACAGCAGGTCGCCTCGTAGAGACAGAGACAGGCGTGAAGATCGGCCCCGGCGCAAAGACGGGGGATTCAAATGGAAGGAGAAGCGCCAAGATGAGGACGACTCCCGACGAGACCGTGACTCAGGACTCCAACGAGGCTACAGAGACCATTATCGACCTCGAGCCCGATCTCGATCGCGATCACGATCACCGCCCCCACGACCTCGTTCACCACGAAGACGCGATAGTGAGCGGGGGACGAAAAGTGACGGTGTAGAGCCGAAACGACCGGAGGAGAGGAAGGACAAGAAAGACAAGAAGGAGAAGAGGCCTGCGCCCGCGCCCGCGGTGCCGACAGAACCCATGATCATCGTTTACATCAACGATAGGTTGGGCACGAAGAAGGCGATTCCATGCTATGCCACGGATCCAATCAGTAAGCGCCCGTCCACGCTCCTTGTGTAGATAAGCTAACAAGCAGCAGAGGACTTCAAGGTGATTGTCGCCTCAATGATTGGCCGGAAGCCGCATGAGATCCTCCTCAAGCGACAAGGCGAAAGGCCGTTCAAGGACCAACTCACACTACAAGACTACGGCGTCAGCAACAATGTCCAACTAGACCTCGAGGTGGACACGGGAGATTGAACTGGGGAATTGGGGGAGGGGAGCATGCTGGACGTCTATTTGGCTGAGGCCACATCGGGATGAGAACATGAGAATAGCTGCGATGCAACGACCAGGAGGGTGCTCTGTCACACACTACCACTGTACAGTACACTTGGAAGTACGCTCTGCCCTGTCCTTACCTTGTTCCTCTGGACTCTGGACTGCGGACTGCCAGACCTGACGCCATTCGACCTCGGAATGTCCAAGAGAAATGGATGCGGAAGGTGGGGCGAGACAAAAGTTCTGCGGGCGCATGAACCACTTCGCCTCTAGTAATTAGACCTCGTTCCTTTTCTCTCTTCTCTCCCGCTGTTGTCATGTCGACGACCGCAGACAACTTGGGTCCAGCCCTGATGCCGGTGCCGGCTGTATCTTCTCGAATCAAAGTACTACTCCCCTCCTCTTCCTCTTCTTGAATCCGCCCCTCGCTAGCCCTCGAGACTGCATCTCCCCCCATCTCCTTTCGTTGCCGACCTTGGAGTCAGGTCCAGTCCAGTCCAGTCTAGTCAAATTTGCTTCCAACTCTTACGCCATTCTTTAGACCACCATGGTTCGCAATATCGTCGTCCTCGGTGGCTCGTCCCATCCCGCCCTAACCGACACAATCTGCGAAATCCTCGGCATCCAGCAGGGTCAAGCCCTCTTCTCCAAATTTTCCGTCGGCGAGACTCGAGTTGAGATAGAAGAGTCGGTGCGAGGAAAAGATGTCTATATCATCCAGTCAGGCGGGGGGAAGGTCAACGATCATTTTGTCGAACTCCTCATTGCCATCTCAGCATGCAAGACCGCTTCGGCCAAGAAGGTGACCGCCGTTCTTCCACTCTTCCCCTATTCTCGACAGTCGGACATTCCCTACAACAAGACCGGCGCCCCTCTCGTCAAGGCCTCCAACCTGTCCAGCAAGTTGGTTCCCGATTCCAATGGGTATACCTTCGACAGCATTCCGCCCACTCCACACCCGGACCGCGGCGAAAGTCATGGTTTGGCCAACGGCCATGGTCACCTGCTCCACAAGGCCGCCTCCAGATCACAGCTGGACGATGTCGAGCAGAGCCCGACTCACCAAGCCCGGTTCAGCCACTACCGCGACTCGAGCGCGCATTCAAGCACAAAGTCAGCCGAGTACTTCCCAGGCCCTCGAAGACGGGGAGACTCGGTCACCTCCACTAACGGAGTTCCCAACGGCGTCCCCAACGGCGTCCCCAACGGCGTCACCAGCCACGACTTCGCCGCCAAGCTGGACCCCCAAGAGAATTTCAAGCCTCGCCCTGGCTATCGTCAATGGGTCGCACAAGCGGGTACTCTGGTGGCCGACTTGCTCACGTGCGCCGGGGCCGATCACATCATCACCATGGACTTGCATGATCCTCAGTACCAAGGCTTCTTCGACATCCCTGTCGACAATCTCTACGGCCGGCCACTGCTGAAGAAATACATCCAACAGAACATCCCAGACTACAAGAATGGGGTGGTTGTCAGTCCCGACGCAGGTGGAGCGAAACGGGCTACTGCCATTGCCGATTCTTTGGGAATTGAGTTTGCCCTCATTCACAAGGAACGCAGACCGACCAAGATTACAGACAGGCAAAATGCCACCATGATGTTGGTGGGCGATGTCACGGGCAGAATTGCCATTCTGATCGACGATCTAGCCGACACCAGCAACACCATCACGCGAGCGGCCAAACTTTTGAAGAAGGAGGGTGCCAGCAAGGTGTATGCCCTGGTCACGCATGGTGTTTTGAGCGGTGATGCCATTGATCGAATCAATGCAAGCGCGCTGGATAAGGTCATTGTAACAAACACGGTCGACCAGCAAGATCATCGTAGGCGGTGCCCGAAGTTGGAAGTGCTCGAGGTTGGACACATTTTTGCCGAGGTGAGTCATCCAATCCCGGGGCGTGTCAAGAAAGAGAGAGTTGCTGATGAAGTTTTGTATAGGCCATCCGACGAGTTCACTACGGAGAAAGCATCAGCGTCCTGTTCCAATACGATTAGGTTTGATGCGTCACAAGACGTTGAGTGTCGACACCCGCCAGCTTTGCCTTTACTCGACATTGCCCAATTATGCATTGAAATGCCCGTCACCGGGTTGATACAGAAAAACATCAGAATCAAACAGAATCAAACCACAAAAACATCACAAAACTCGACCTCGAAATACAGAAGCTCCTTGAACCAAGTGCTGGAGAGGTCTTCACCGAGGCGTTTTGCATGGATTCGGACTTGCGAACAACACAGATAGGTACATGAGGGGTGGCGGTCTAAATATCATTTATCATGAGCTTGCATACTGCATACTGTCTACAATTGTGCAATAGTGGTTTCAGCTTAGGAGTGGTCCTGAATGAACCAAATGGGATGGTGGCAACACGGGCTGGTAGTTTTTTTGCCCGAGACTTTGAGCTCAATCAACGATGAGATTTGAATACACGTGAGTCTGATCGATCAATTACAGTACAGTACAATTACAATCACAGTTACCATCACCATCACCATCACGGTGAAGCACGTGAATTTGTGCGTAAACTGAGTGTTGATGTTCAAGTTAATGCCGTCTGGCGTCTTATTCGACTAGGAAAAGCAGCCCAACTTATCATGCACGGCCGACTGAAGTTTAAACGTATCCACTAGACAGAGGATCGGACAGGGCAGCGGACTATAGAATATAGACTGTCGACTGTATTCGTTTTAATGTAGTAGTATTACTACTAGTAACATAGGTGGCATTCCAACTATCTGTGCCTGGTATAGATAAATAGAGATGTACTAGGTACTGTACGTAGACTGAACTGTAGACTGAACTGTAGACTGAACTGTAGACTGAACTGTAGACTGAACTGTAGACTGAACTGTAGACTGAACTGTAGACCAGACTATAGAATAGATACTGATCCGTCCTTTTTACTATATAGTCATTGGTAATATATCTACAGTATCTACACGTGTACGATGGATATACTATACTGTACAGTAGCTATAAGTAAGATCAAACCAGATCAGATTAGATCAGATCAGATACATCATCGTCGTGTAGTCATCCATCCATCCATCCATTTATCTGTCTATTCATTCATCTAATTATTCAATAATCAAAACATATAAATGGTCCTCTGACTATTCTGGACGATGTGATGTTTGCTCATCTATCTATCAGTCCCATGTAAGTTCCTCCACATACTCTGGGAGCGTGGCGTGGGCGTGGTCGTTCATGTCTGGACTTCTGCTCTGGGGATATGTAGATGGCGGTAGGGGTGAGTGTAGATATATGGATTGGGGCGAGTGTGGGTGTGAGTGTAGATATGTAGATTGGGGTGAGTATAGATATGTTGATTGGGGTGAGTGTGAATGTGAGTGTGAGTGTGGGTATGGGTATGTAGGTGTATGGCTATGCGAGGATACCAATCCATCTCCATCTCCATCTCCTTCTCCTTCTCCCACCCACATCAGGTCTGGGTCTGGGTCTGGCGGACCACCTGCCACTGGCACTGGCACTGCCACTGCTAGTGGTTCAACTTCGCATCGGCGTCGGCGGCGGTCGTCGATGGCGTATCGGAAGGTACATTTCTTGCCGGGCAGGAATGAAACGTCGAGTAGTTTGATGTCGATGTCGATGTCGATGTCGGTTTCGATGTCGTGGTTGGGATTGGGATTGGGATTGGAGTCAATGTCGAGGTTGGGGTTGGTGCTGACGTCGTGGTTGAGGTTAGGGTTGACGTCGGGATTGAGGTCGGGATTGAAGTCAATGTCGAGGTCTAGATTGAGATCTGGACCAAGACTGGGGTTGAAGTCGAAGTCGAGATTGCCACCATCACCATCAGCATCAGCCATGACACTGTGCATAGTCGAGATGTTGACGTTGACGTTATCAAGGTCGATTTTGGTTTTGTTCTTGTCACCGTTGTCGTTGTCGTTATCGGTATAGTCGTGTAGTAGGACACCGGCGGCAGAATGCCCATGACCATGACCACGACCATGACCGTCACCGTCACCATGACCACGACCGTCACCGTCAACGATGTGGTTATTGAAATGGTCCATGTGGCAACCACCACTCCTCATACTCTCACTCACTATCCTCGCCCTCGCCTTCACCTCCTCCCTCGCCTTCGCCCTCACCTCCTCCCTGATCTCGACGACGCGCTCGGCCAGTTTCGCGGCGATGCGCGAGTCCCAGAAGCCTTCGCGGCGATTGCACGTGCGCAACAGATGCAGGGCTTTGGCGCGGAGAGCCCGGTCCGTGGTGCGCGTGGCGGTCAGGAAGAGAGTGGGCACGATGCCGAGGGCGAGAGAGAATGTTGGGCGGACGATGCGGGATTGATTGATGTTGAAGTTGAAGTTGATGTGGGATCCAGAGTCATAGCCATGGTCATGCACGGGGTTGGGGTCAACACCAGGACCTTGCTCCAAGCTAGAATGAAAGCCAAAGCGAGAGAGAGAGCCAGAGCCAGTGCCAGAGCCAGTGCCAGAGCCAAACCCAAAACCAAAGCCAGTGCCAGTGGTAGAGCTAAAACCAAAACCAGATCCAGTGGTCGCCTGGGGGATTTGATGCCCATTACTGATATCACTGGCATCCCTAACACTAGAATTAGCATTGGACCTGCTGGTCTTGGGTGTCGGTGTCGGTGTCGGTGTCGTTGTTGACGTTGGTATCGGTGTCGATATCAGTGTTGACGTTGTTATCGGCGTCGATATCAATGTCGGTGCCGTAGCAGCCGTACCATGTACCGGACTCACAAACGTCGTGGTCTGCTCCAAAAACTCCTCGGCCGCGGCCACGGCGGTCCAGAAGTCCGGGAGGAAATTGTTGAGGGCGGCTTCGTCATTTTGTTCGATGCGCGACAGGAACGCCGTGATGATGGCCTGGTACATGCGGAGGATGAGGAAGGCCGGAGGTCTTGAAGAGACGGATGAGGAGGAGAATGACGGTGATGGTGATGAGAGTAGGGATCTTTTCGGTTCTGGCTCGCTCTCTCTCACAGCAGAAGATGCAGATGCAAATGGTGGCGCTGGGCTTCTGGAGGCCGATATGGACGCTGACGACGACGCCGACGCCGATCCACCACCCCACGACGGTTCTTGGCTCTTCTTGGTGTCATTGCTGTCGTTGCTTACCATGGCATCGAAACCAGCCTTCCATGTGTCAAAGCGGGCCTTGAGCGACACGTACTCGGTCCTGAGCGAATGATAATTGCCATCCGAGATGCGGCCCTGGCCATGGTTGTGCAGCCGATCCGACCGCTCAGAGAATTCAAAGAGATCGGTCAATAAAATCTCGATATGCAGGAGGGCGTGTTCGTACGAGACGAACTGGTCTGGGATGCAATGCGGTTGCAAGGCAGTCATACCCCGTCCACGCCCCAGCACAGGTTGGAGTTGCAAGCCTTGGAGATTGGGGTCGCCGATTTCCAACATCTGGCGACCCATGGCGATGAAGAAACGGTTGAGTTCGTCGCGGGGGATGACGGGGGGATGTTGATGTTGATGTTGGCTTGGCCTGTGTGCTTGCTGCTGCTGCTCCTGTTGCTGTTCCTCAGCCAGGATCTTGATTCCAGCAACAGCATGCTTGCACGCGTCGTGGTAGTGGCCCTGCAGACTCTCGAACGCGGAGAACAGGGCACACGTCACCAAAGCGTAGTCGAAGGTCTTCTTGTTCTTGGCTGTGATGGTGGGTAGCGATGATTGATTTTGCTTCTGGGCATGGTTGTGGAGTTTGTTCTGGTTCTGGTTCAGTCGGACAACCTCTCGTATCGCCTTGCCGTAATGGTCGAGAGCAAAGCCGAGCCCGCCGCGTGCCGGGGCGAAATGGTCGATTCCTGCATAGTGTTCGTGCATACTGCTCAGGGCGATGAGCGCATACTTGACCGAGTTTTCGTGCCTGGCTAGCGGTAGGATGCTGGCCAGCCAGAAATCTGTCTGGAAGGCGCCGGCCAGCTCCAGCGCGGTCCGGTCCTGGAAGTAATCGAGGGCGCGACGTTCCAGCCAGTCTAGGTCCGGGTGCTCGGGCAAGCTCCAACGAGGATGAGGATGAGGATGAGGATGAGGACGAATATGAGGATCAGCCGCCCTAGCCGCACATCCACTTCCGTACACCACAAACCTGATGGGCTGGGGGTTGCCAGATCCCGGCGTACTCGTGCTCGCGTACCCCTCGCATGCCCGGCCGGCTCGGGTGCAGCGGTGGCATGCCGGCCGGGCTTCGTCACACTTGACATGTCGACGCCTGGACGGACACGGCCAAGACTCGGTTAGCGGTTTGTGTGTGTGTGGTATTATAGCTGGAAATTCAATTCCAGACAAGAAAAGACGCCGAGGCCATATAAGGGATTGGAAATCTTACTTGCAGGTGATGCATCCGGTCCGCACCTTTTCCTTTCCAATTCGGATCATGCTGTGATCTGGTCGAGTCTGACTGGGTGGTTTGCATTGCCGTGGCCACACACACTGAACTTGTTCGCACTACTCGAAGAGGGAGTCTTGGTGTTGGTTTAACTTGGAAGAATGACTGAGGTCTGCCAGAGGCTGAAAGGGTGTGGATATGGACTGGTCGTATAGACTAACTGTTGATGGTTGTTTTGATTTTGGGTTTGATTTTGGGTTGAGCTTGGGCTTTGGCTTCTGCCTGGAGGCTGGAGGCTGGGGGCGTGAGGGCGTAGGCCTTAGGGCTGACCTGCAGTTCTCCCCGGCGGTTTTAGGTCTAGGAGTGGCGCTCTGCAGCCTTGGGGTGGTTCACCGTCCACCGCTCACCGTCCAGCCAGAGCGCGACTGTTGGCTGCTGGCTTATTGCGTGGCTGTGACGAGGCCAGGTCGGGAGAGTACTGATACTACCCTGGACAGGGAGGCAGGGACAGATAGTACGGATTGCTCTGTCTACTCTGGACTCCGGATCCGTACTGTGGTGTAGTCGACGAGGCTGAGGCCACCTGCGCCAGTCCGCCTTACCCCATCCGGTTAGCGCATACGAGCAACCTCCTGGTGGGTCCTGACGAGGCTGCCATGTTTCTTTCCTGGTTCCTGGTTGGTCGTTTCGTTCATTGCGTCTTCCCTCAGCCTCAGTTGTCTACTCCCGTACTCCGTACTCCGAACAGTCCTAAACAGAAGCACACGCACATCATGATCCACACAAACACGTACGTGTACTCGTACGGGTGGAACACATTGCCCCCCCTGGGCCAATATTGATCTAGGTACCTAGGTCCCTGGATCCGTGAGATCTGTGGCATCAGGCATTATTCTCGTACAGTCTAACTTGTTCGCGACCACGACTACGGAAATGAAGGAAGGCGGCGTCACCTCCCAGGCCCCCCAACTATAGACGCCGACTCTGATTCACACCCCTAGAATGAAGCATGCGCCCCCGTGGAGATGAGACGGACAGATACAGATACAGGGACAGGGAGAGGGAGCGGGAGTGGGACTCTTTGAGTATATAGCAAGATGTCTTGCTCTTGAGAATTGAAGAAAAGGAAAAACCAAGCCGTCTCTCTTCTCTCAACGCCCAGGGCTTAGGCCTCTTTCCAGCCATACCAGATCATCCCACCTGCTACCCTCCTATCCTCTTATCCCCCTACACTGCTACTCTCCTACCCTCCCTTCCTCTTCTCCTCCATTTCTTTTCAGTGTCCTCGTCATCGACCTGATACCATGCCCTCCATCGTCTGCCACGCCGGCCCCGACGAGAACTGGGCATACTGTCCGTCCCTCGGAGCCGCGGTGCTCTTCACGGTTCTCTTCGGGCTCACCACGGGCGCCCACATAATCCAGGCCGTCGTGTACCGCAAGCGATTCGCCATGGTGTTGATCATGGGCGGGCTCTGGGAGGTGGGCGGCTACATAGTGCGGCTCCTGTCGATCGAGCACCAGCGCAGCGACACGCTGTACACGGTGCAATTGCTCCTGATCCTGCTGGCGCCGCTCTGGATCAACGCCTACATCTACATGCTGCTGGGCCGCATGGTCCATTTCTTCCTCGAGCCGGACCGCGTGCTGCGCATCCCCGCCCGCTTCATCACCCGCGTCTTCGTCCTCTTCGACATCACCGCCTTTGTCATCCAGGCCACCGGCGGCTCCATGACCGAGCCCGGCACATCCGCCCAAACCCAGGAGAACGGCCTGCACATCTACACCGCCGGCGTCGGCGTGCAGCTGTTCTTCCTGCTCATCTTCGTTGTGTTGGCTGTTGGGTTTCAACGGACATTACGTCTTCGCCGTGGTGGTGGTGGTGGTGGTAATGCTTGTGATGGAGCTGGCGGTGATGGTGGTGGTAATTCTGCTGCTGGGGGTGTCGCTGGAGCGACTGATTCTGGTTCTGGACAACATTTCGATCTGGAGTTTCAAGCACCATCGCAAGCGCAGGCGCAGACACAGACTCAGAGTCAGACTCACCTGTACTCGCCCATCCCCGAACCCTTACCTGACCCTAGACTGGCCGTCCCTCTCCTGCGCGTCCTCTACAGTGTCATGGGCCTCATCATCTTCCGCAACATCTACCGGCTCGTCGAGTTCGGCACGGGCGCGAACTCGCCGACCGTCAAGCACGAATGGTTCGCCTACGTCTTCGACGCCGTGCCCATGTTTTTCGCCTTTGTCATCATCAACCTGGCCTATCCCGGCAAGATCCTACAAGGGCCCCGAAGTGATTTCTCCGAACAGACCAAGGAGCGCAAGAGGGCTAGGAGGGAGAAGAAGGCCGCCAAGAAGGCAGAACAGAGGGAGAAGGACATGAAGAAGATGGCCGAGAACGGTGCGGCGTATTGAGCATGCGAGTAGATTCGGAGGTTGGGGACTACCGCCTAGGAACAAGTTGGCCAGCCCAGCTCTGATCCCTCGAGCATTCATCTGTTGAGCCGATATGTCATTTCTTGCGTTATGCCGGCGCCATGGTTGGGACTTCGTAACGACGTGTCTACTGTAAGACTTCTAGGGAAGGAATTCAGATTCAGATACTAGTACTTGAGCTTTACCGTCCCCTGGCCAACGTCCACAGTCGGTTACTGGCGAGATCCGTCACCATCACTGACGCACGCCGGCTCATCCAGCCGCGACGTGTACCAGAGTCTCTTCCGGCCATCATCGGCATAGCCTGGAATCGTTTTCGACATGGACATATCCCACGATTTGAACGCTTCCGCATACTCATCAACCGTGCTGTGCTTTCGTGGACTCGCCGCCGTGACTCGACAATGCAACGGCAAGGGTGCTTTTAGTGAACGCTTTTTGGGGGTGTGAGTCTTCAAGGCAGTAACCAGTCCTCCTCGCAAATGCAGCTGCTTCTCTCGCAACTTTTCCTCCCTCTTGCGCCGAGTTTGCATGATTTGTTTCTTGGCCCAGGCCAGATGCGAGGTTCTCAATTGGGGCGCATCTTGACCGTAGAGACACGATGTCTCGAAATGTGGTGTCTGGATTGTGTCTGTGCTGGTGCCAGTGCCTGAACCAGCAGGCCCGGGAGCCCTCGAAAATCTGACCACTTCCAGATTAGAGCCGGGGCCAGCTTCTTGCTGATAAAGAGCCGCGAGCCATCTGTTGTAACGAACTTCTCGTGAGAGATATCCATGCCGGATCACATTATTGTAAGCTCTCTCGTCCCAGTAGTCTTGCTGTACAACGTCCTGGAGGTGCCGCGGCACGAGGCAGCCGTCGATATAGGGCTTCGACTCTTTGGGATTTCGCTCGTCTCGTATAGTTTTGTGTGTATTTCCCGTAACCGAATCAAGAACTCTGGCGGCAGCAGCTGTTTCGGGCTTTGGAAGAATCTCCTTTAGAGTCGAGAGAGGAATGGTTCCGGTATATTGGCCCATTGAATATGGCACTTCGCTAGCCCAGTCGGCGGCTTCCGGTTTCCCCTTGTCCTTAGCGATGACCTTTCTCGCGCGACGAGGCAGAGGTGGTTTGATGAAGATGGACATGTCGACGGTCGGTGATGATCAAGTAATGTGAAAGTGAGGACAGGTGAACAATACAACCTCCCCAAATCTCAAGCAGGGACCCAGGTAGCGTCAACCAGAGACCAGAAGAACGGGAAATCCAACAATAACCCAAGCCTCACCGATCCTTGCAGACTTTTGGAGAGATAATGGACAAACGACACAAGCCCTGAAGCCGGGGAAACTGGGTGATTTATACCAGGGTAGTCACGGCCGAGTCAAGGCCCGTCAATTTGGCTTCAACCAAAGGAAGTTGCTTGGCAGGTATCACATCACCGTCCCAGAGTCGTGTCGAGAGTTCAGCAGCAGAATTGAAATGTCGTTTATTGCCCTGTGCTATTTGAGCTGAAGCTGGTAGACCCGCCCAAAGGTCCTCCCGTACCAAACGCCCTGCTGTTCACGTGACAATGTACACCTCTTTCATTAAAATACGCTGATGTAGTTCCCAATTCTGTCCTTCTGGTTCTGGGCAATGCATTCGGCAATCCAGGTGATGTTTCGGATTTCCTGCAGAGCGTTAGTTAGCTCGTAAAACTTGGCGGAAAAGTGAAGACTCGCCTGTTCCCTTAACTTCACCCACGCATAAATCACCGCGTGGGTAAATTGCCGAGTGAAGACCATCTTGGAGAGTTCCATTTCTTTTTGGTAGAACAAGTCTTCCAAAGATTTGGACTCATTCCCCAGTCCTCCCGCCATGTTGCCGCCACCAACACCACTACTTTGATTGAAGCCCACCTCGTCAAAGAACCGTTTATAGTCGCCCACACCGCTAACTGCGAGCCCGACTCCTTCCATATCATCTGCCCTCGACAGCATCAACGAACCCTCGGGGTACAATTTTCCGAACTCCGGGTACAGTTTTCTACGTTGCTCCTTCGTGAGCTCAGTACCAAAAGAGTTGATGGTGATGTTTATTGCCCGCCGATCTGCTTCGAATGCAAGGATCTCTGACATGATTTCTCCGGTCGGAGTAAGGGCCATCTCGGGGTCGTTATTGACAAAGTTGTAGAAGTCTTCTAAGTAGTTCTTGTAGAGGGTATTCCGCACGATCTCGATGTTGAGTTCATCCAGATCCTGATGGCTCAAGCTGCCCTTGAAATAAGGAGCCAATGGAGTTTCGATAAGCACCGAGTTGTACAGCTCTTCAATGTTGGTGGCCACGCAAAGGACGGGCATGGTCTCAAACCAGCCCAGAGGATGACATCTCTCTAGGAGTTCTTTGGTGTCTCGCTCATGCAACGTGCCTGTGATCAGGAGGGCGACATTGTCAATCATGTATGAGTAGGTGAGGTATTCCATAAATTTGGCCAGTGATCCTGTTGCCTGGCCCTGAAGATACCTGAAGTCTACCACGAGCTTCTCGGTGGTTCGGTACGCAAGAGCTGAAGTTGACGGATTCGGTGGTAGGGTTGACAGTGACTCGCCATAGGCAGGGCCCAGTTGTACTTTGACGTCGTCAATCGTCTCGCATTGTGTGAGCTAGGTTAAGGTCAGTAGAGTAGAGGACAAGGCGAGGTGTAAAGACGAGTCATACGTTGCTGTAGTTGGTGCCGGTCAACAGCGAATTTCGATAACCGCGCACTATGCCTTCCAGATAGCCCCCGTTGACGTTGAATAACAGACCTGCGACTGTGGTCAGTTGAGGACGATCGTTGAACCGGGCTACATACCCTCCATTTTGTCGTCTACCACGATTCCGAGCAGGTAAGCGAGAATGGATGGCCCCAGATAGGAGTGAAGGCCGAAAAAGAAGTTGTCTGTGCAGGATAGAGCTATGGTGTATGTTGTCGGAGGATGTTGTTGATAGACAGGCAGGCGAAATACATCTCCGTCGTCTCGACCTTGCAGCTGTGCTCGCCGCACTTGCCGCGTTGAGACTACGGGCCTTGGTCCCTCCCTGTATGGGAAATATCTTGCCGCTTGTACCGACCACTGCCACACCACCACCTTCAACGACAAGGAATCGCAAATGACTTTTGATTTTGCTTTTCTAGGGCCCCTTTGCCCTCGACTCCAAGAGATTATACCATAAGGCCTGTCAGATAGTGTAAGTGAGGCATTTTTTGCGCCTTGTATACCAAAACAGGATACGGAGCACGGCCCTCCACTGGAATACAAGCCACCCTCCGAAGCCATACCGCCTGCTCCAGAAATGACATGAGGCGATACCTGCCGCCAAGTTCCCTGGATAGAACTAGGAGTTGGAAAGATCGCTTGAGATACCGTTCACTGTCTGTGACCTGTGCTGTTCTCCTTCATCGCTTCCGTCCTGCATTGGCCTATTTCATGATGTTCATATGCTACACAACATGTAGCATCAATAGATACTTCGGAGGGGCGGTTTGCAAGAAGTGGCGTCAGGTGAAATTAGGAATAGGCACTATAGCTCCAAGGATGCTCCATTTTAAGCTGTCTTGAGAATAGCTGGGCATGAGTTATACATATGAAAACTGCGCAACGGCCTGGCTTCAAGATGAGGATGTTTGTATTATTAGTATCTGGTGGGGAACTTGGAATCAGTGCTCTTGTCTCAATCCGCGGACTCCATCCCATGCAAGTTAAGCTGTCAGCTCGTTATCCGTCTCGTATCATGTTTCTCATTTTTTTGACCCCCAGCATTGCGAAGCAGCTGGCTAGTGTCTTAGCCAACTGCGGGCCCCAGATTGATCGTTCTGAGAAAGGACTGTCTCGGGGGTATGAGGCTGCTCCCCTCACCGAAACACAACCACTGGGCCCATCTCTTACAGGACAAGCCTTTGTGGTTGACCTCTGTATCTTAGTTCGTATCTCGACATCCTTCATCATTTCTCAACCAGCCTCTTCTCGACACTCTCCCTGACCTTCCTCCTCGTCTCGCCCAGTTCATCCTTGGTCGCGTCGAATCGGACATTTCCGGCCTGGTTGAACGGATTCTCCTCGCTCTTCTCGAATTCCTTCCGCACGAGCTCGATACGCTGCTGTTTCCTCAGGCCCGGGTGCTCGACCTCGATCTGCGGCAGTCGGCGTTCTTCGTAAGCCTTGTAGGCGGCCTTGAACCGCCGTTCCGGGTGGCGGTCGATTTTGAGGTCGTTAGCCGTCCCCGTGGTGAGGGTCAGGGCGTCAAGTGCATTATCGATACCCGAGGCACTGATCGCAGTGGCCTTGGTGTTTCCGCTCGGCTCGCCGTCGAGTTGGCCGAGATCTAAAGTGCCGGTGCGTGTCTTTTTCTCGGCTGTCTTCTTGTTGGCACCCTTGGGTGTGCTGCGCTGGCTCTTCTCTTCCTCGGCCAGCAAAGCCTCACGTTCGGCTTTCTTCGCTGCCTTCTCTGCTGCCTTCTCTGCTGCCTCTTGCTTCTTCTTGGCGTCCTTTGCCCCCTTGGACCATTCTTCTGCTTCCTCGGCCGACTTCCGCGCGTCGACTGCTGCTTGCTTCTGCGCTGCGGCTTCCGCTTTGCGTGCGTTTCCCGCTACTTTCTTCGTGTTCTCGGCGCCCTTCTTGCCCCCCATCTTGTCCTGGACGATTGTAAACGATGCAGGTTTCAGGATTGGAGTTTGCGCGGCTCTCGGCGTGCTTCAGATAGGCGTTGACGGTGATGTAGGTTGTGAGATTGACGATGACGAAGATACGAATGAACTGGGCGGGAGAGAATGCGCGGGGATTGACAGGCATACAGTACAGCACGGAGTACGGATACGCAGCGAAAATAGTGTCGTCGCTTAAGCGATACCGGCCTCGTGCCTTGTGGCTTGACTCACATGTCACGTGCCACGGCTCAACCTCGGCTCAGCCTCACGCTACTTAGCCTGGCCGGCTTATCCCCTATTTTAACCTTTCTTTCCGCCGACAAGGTCCAGAACCCATCCGGGCAAGATAATGCTTACAGGTCCAGTCAAGAGGAATCACTAATCTCTCGCCTTGGATTCGGGTTCAGAGTTCTGTGGATGGCGAGCCAGGATAACCGAATCTGCCAGATCCAGGTGCAGGTCCGCCCGTTTCACTTTTCTCTCGTTCTCGAGAGATGAACAACGAAACCGAAATGGGCTCCCACCACGAGACGAGTCTTCTCCGTGCTAGCCCTTTCCATCTTCACGAAACCCCCAGGCGCCAGCAAATGATCTTCTCGATGTCAGGGTACAGGATGAGCGGCCACAACAAAGGGTGTTTTATATGTGAATCCAGCCAACCATTACCGGGTGCCCGATGTTGACAGCCATTCACTCCCAGGCAGTCAATGCCTCCCTGCCTCGCGGTTCTTGGCTGTACATCCCCGGCGAGACGTGACGCCATGGATCAGCAGGCAACAATGAGTTCGAGGGGCGGACTCGGATATCCTCGATTCGGTTGAACCTCTCTCTCAGAAGCAGTACTTGTATCTCCTGATCGTCGATTTGGGACCTAGGAGGAGCAGTTACAGGGGGCAAAGATCAAGACATCGAAAATTCGTTCATGAGGCATTCAGCATTCAACTCCAGCGCCCCGTCAACCCCTGAAAGAAAGAGAAAGACGTGTGGTATCGTATTGTGATGGTACTCCAAGTTCACTCAACCGTAACTCCAACCACCATTAAGTTAAACCCATCATAGCGCCCAGTGGCGCGGAAGCCTCATATCATCCTCAGTGGCGTCCTCATGCCGGCAAAACCCTGCCTCATGAACTTGTAGCGATTCGGCACCGCCTGCAATCTTCTGAACGCTTCTCTGACATGCTTCGGTTCCACGGGTGTTCGACCCTCCTCGGGCATCTCGAACAGACTGCACCCTTCTCTCTTCCTCTTCTTCATCGTGTCTTGATCGCCTCGCCCGCCGTTGGCCTTCTTGCTCGCCAGATCCTCGGCAGCCTTGACCTTCAACGCTTCCTCGGTCAAGGTTTGCACAATCTCGAATGTCAAGAAACCGAGAATGTCAACCACGTCGTCGTTGGGCTTGCTCTCAATGATGGTACCGAACCCCGCCCATTCTCGAAATCGTTTCCCTTTGCGGAATGTGAAACTTGCTTGTCGGCAGTCGGACCAGTACACGTATTCTTCCTTGGTCATGTTTTTCGTGCGCTCATCGGCGGAAGCAAGTCGAGCCAGTGTGGCTTCATTCTGTTCCTCTTCCTCCTCGTCCTCTTCGTCATCTCGTTCGGGCACTTGTTCTGAGTAGAAGGACTGCGCTTCCCACGGCAGTACCAGTTTGGCTTTCTTGTTCCCACTCGATTTTTGAGGTGCCGAGGGATTGACCCCTCCGGAAGCCTGTGGAGCCGGTTAGATTTGGCTGACGAGTCAAGGATATGGTGGTTGTGTAATCTCTACCTCTTCAAAGTCTCCGACATCGCCAGCATCGCCACCTCCCTTATCATCAGAGTCCTTGACATTCTTGCGCACATCTTTCCAGGATAGAAATGTTTTAAGTCTGGACACTTTGGCTCGGTCATGACGGATTTGGAAAATGAGATCGACAATCGAGATGGATCTTGAACCTCGACGATTTGCAAGGCCAGTGGCTTGGGTAAGCTGGCAAGTCTGTTAGCTAAGCGAATAAACTTAGGGTCAAGTATCTTACCATCTCAAGGACTTGTTCACGAACAATCTCTTCGATCATCCAGGTGGTCTCCGTACTCGGTTCAGCCGTTTCGCCGCTCACAAACATCATCTGCGCAATGGCAAAAATTAGCCTCAGCTGGAAGTCTTCTTTGGTTTCAATATCATCTTCATCAGCGGGAACGATCACGGAGTCGGTGGGTTGGTCAGTATTCAATTCGCAAAGTTCGTCAGGCCCGGCTGACCATAGCGCGTCTCCAGAGACGCGGCTAGTTGTAAAGCTTGCCTCGAGGACAGGGCCAATTTGATTGTTGCTCATGACAGCGCGGCTAGTTGGAGGAGAAATATCGTTTGAGTAGTTGCTTTCCAGGAGGTAGAGAGGGAGATGGTGGATGGTGGATGGCAGGGTGAGGCGGAGGTGTACAGTTGCCTTGTGTTGACATGTGAAGTGAAGACAAATCTTCGTTTCATGTGCCAGCACTCTTTGTTCTCTGAGTAGCAACCCATCCCTATATGTTCCAATGGGATTTATGTTGCACTACGTGCAGTTGCCAGTTGCCCAAGGACGGTTTGATCATCTTTACTCTTTTTTTCTTCTTCCTGTTCGGCGATCTGTGAAAGCCGCATGGATGTGTTGATGGGGACGGCGCAGAGCCGGCCGCATTCAGACCATCTTCTCACATCGATGGCACTGGCACTTGATGCCCATCTCCAATCGCGCTAGTTCGCTAAACTCTGTAGAACAGCGCTGACTCTGAACTCCCCTTTGCCCCGCGAGTTTGTGGGCAGCCCAGCCCTTGGGGGCAGGCTTGGAATAATTTGATTCGCTCGGACCGGTAGACTCTTCGAATGGTCGATGGGCTGTCCTGTCCCTGAGACGCTCCCGGATCCTGACAGACGCTTATAGGTAGTCTCAATATGAGTCTCATGGCTGGAACTCATATTGAGACTCGGCCTCATCTTCGGCGACCTCTGCGGCATTGAAGCTGGCTGATTGGTTCCCGCGGGCGAGCGCTTGACGCAAAGGAGCGGACAATGAGAAGATGCTCACCTGTTGAATCTCCTGCCGATACTTCGCAGGCCTGTCGTTCGCCATCCTGGCCGCCTAGGCTCGCGCAGCCACCGAAACCTGGTTCCCACAATCCCTTATACAATGTTCCCGGATCTGCGCGATGGAGGCGCGTGCAGTGTTGAGCTCGTCTCATGAACGGGATGGACAGTGATGGAACCAAGATGAGGACGTTCCAGGCGTGGGCTGTTGAACTCTGCTAGGTGCCTGCCTCTGACACCTCCAAATACAGCCGAAGTTTTCCCGCCTCTCCCCCGCTGATTTTCCATTTTCCATTCTTTGCAGTCACAACTCTGTCCTGTAGAACTACAATTCTCTTCTCGGCTGGACTTCTTGTGGGCTCCAAGTCGAAATGTTATTTCTCGTTGGCCTTGGGCTTGCGGATGAGGCCGATATCACGGTCAAGGGGTTGGAAGTGGTGAAACGCGCTGAACGGGTCTACCTCGAGGCATACACCAGCATTCTCCATGTAGGAAAGGAGAGATTGGTAGGCCGGTCCTGCGTCAATGCTTTTCACCATGAGAAGTACCACGCGCGCGAATGTCGCTGACAGAGACTATGTCTAACAGCTACGATAGGAATCGTTCTATGGTCGCCCAATCATTGTGGCAGACCGAGAGATGGTCGAATCGGCAAGTAATGAAATTCTCGATGGCGCAGACAAACTGGATATAGCATTTCTTGTCGTCGGCGATCCTTTCGGGTATGCTCGACTCCTCTGCCCTCATGTGGTGGTTGGCTGACAATGCAGGGCCACCACGCATACGGATCTCGTCCTGCGCGCCCAAGAGCTTTCCATTCCAACCAAGTCGATCCCGAATGCCTCCATCCTAAATGCCATAGGCGCAACGGGCCTTCAACTCTACAATTTCGGCCAGACGGTTTCAATGGTATTTTTCACCGAGACCTGGAAGCCTGCAAGTTTCTACGATCGAATCCGCGAGAACGTTTCTATCGGCCTCCACACCCTAGTTCTGCTGGATATCAAGGTCAAAGAACAATCGCTCGAAAACATGGCGAGAGGGCGAAAGATATATGAGCCTCCCCGCTATATGACTGTCGCGCAGTGCGCCCAGCAAATGCTTGAGATTGAGGAAGAGAAGAAAGAAAGCGTGTACAGTGAGGACAGTCTCGCCATTGGCTGCGCAAGAGTCGGTGCGGATGACCAGAGATTCGCGTGCGGGACGTTGAAAGAACTCTGCGATGTCGATCTAGGCCCTCCTCTGCACAGCTTGGTGCTGCTCGGTAAAAGAGCTCACGAATTGGAACGAGACTACATCAAGTCGTTCGCGATGGACCAGAAGACTTTTGAGCAAAGTTGGGAGAAGTATCACAGGAGAAGTTGAAAAGATGTCTTCTCTCTCCATGGAGGAGAGTGATGTCTCTTCACAGATGCTCCTAAATGACCTGATCAAGATGCCCTGGGATCAAAGGCACCCGCTCTTGCGAGGGTCCTCTCTCAGCTGTCCATCTGTTTTGACGGACATGACATGGAGGGCTTCTCTGAAAGTTGGCCATAGGCTTCCATGACAGAGGCTCTCGATCCATTGCTGGACATATCAATGTCGGGGCTCGGTGGGTTCGACCTTTCGGAGCAAGCTCGCTCTATCGCCACCAGCAAGACCAGTCAAGTCTATTGGCTTTACTGGAAAACCAATAGCTATTCCGCCGTACTAAAGACATGCAGAGAGGGCTGGCTCGACAGTCCGTGTTCGGCGTTGATGTATCAGCGGCTCTGATGTTCCTCAGGTCTCAACTCGAGACTATGCAACATCAAGTCTTGGGCGTATCGAGTTTAATGGCGGTCGCTGGCCGTCCTGAGGGTTGCAAGGTCAATTGTGCTCCCAACATGCAGCAAAGCTCCCCCAGGAACTATTACTGGGCAGCAGCAGGGCGCCAGACATTTATTGAGGTCGAAGGGGCGTGGGCGCGTAGATTGCTGCAGCGTGTACAGTGTATGGCTGCCCAATATCAGGAACCGTACTCTGTCCGGAGTACATTTAGGATAGAGCATTGGCCCATCGCCGGTTACGGCAGGGTCCGATCCATAGCTTGTCCTGTGTATGTACGTACTACCTGCAACATACAGCATCACGGAGTACTCTGACACAAAGCTTGATAGCGATTTCTATTCTTGACAGAACTCAACCCGCCGTCCAAACGCGTCTGAAATACACGGAGAGTTGATCATCGCTGCTCGTATGGATGCTAATGGGTGGCCTAGGCCTTCTCCAACCGAAGTTCGGATACGAAGTCTTCAGCGGGGACAGTTGCATCCCAGCACTGGCACGGCAGTCGCTCGCGGTCAGCTGTGTGTACTCCGTACGGAGTACAGTCCTGTCCGTACCAAGTCGCACAGGGCGACGCCGTTGTACCACATAGGCCTCTGCCGCTTCTCCGTTATCCTCGCGACTAAAGGAGCGGTCGCAGGAGAAAATCTCGGGCTGGCAGGTCTGCAAGTCCGTTGGGGGTTTCTGTCTCTGGCCGCACAGCTTGTTTGCTTGATCCAGGACAACAACGTTTGCGTTCCCACTCTCCGATGATGCTCTTATGCAAGTCTGATCTGCGAAACGGTGCATGAGCAGCGGCAGCGGCAACGGCAGCGACTACAGACCTGCTTCTCCTTCTCTTGCCTCCGGTGTTGGAATATCTGCTATTCAACGGCGGTTCGGAGGTACCAACTCCCTATCGACTCCTCCGTCTGTACGACCAACAAACACCGCAGACAGAGACTCAATCTGCTTGTTCTGGAGGCCCAGGTCAGAAAGTGGACAAAGAGAAACAAAAAGAAGGAGGAACGGGGACAAGCGGAGAAAGAACAACACGATGCCCGTCTACCTGGTCCATGGGTTCCGCTGGCCACGCGAAGGCTTTACAGGTGTCCGAGTCCACGCGGTCGTGCACAACCTCGACGACTGCAGTGTCGAGTACATCCAGAACGAGCACTCGCGGGTCGAGATCCTGGCAAGTTTCCGCCGAGCTTGGCCAGACATCATGAAGGAACTGGACGGGCCGGGCGGCGGCCACAGTAAACTAGAGTTCATCGAGCAGCACGACCCGGAGGACCTCGATGGGCCGAACGCTGTCAGCCAGCCGTATGCCTACGTGGCGGACAAGGTCGTCTTGATTGCCGCGCGGCCGGGAACCGGACCCCAAGCCCCAGGGCCGGTGACCACGACAACACAGCAGCAGGCTGGGACGGCGGCGGGACCTGCGTCTGGAGGACACTCGACGCCGCCCAAGACACCTTCGCACCACTCCAAAAAGCCACTGTCACCGCCGCCGCCGACTCTGCCGCCTCCGACACCGGTTGCGAAGTCGGCACCGTTCACTTCCCCAGCGGCCCCTGACATCACCGCGCTCAGCGTCAACGTCGACGAAGTCATCGCCGAGGGACCGGGGACCTCGGCCAAGGCGTGGGAAGCCTTCGCAGACCTGCGCGACAAACTCGCCGAAGGAGAGAAGATTGGCTGGTGGGTCGTCTACAATGGCGATCCCGACCGATCTTATGACGAGGACGATGTCGATGTCGACGTCGACGACGATGGGGAGGGCTACGACCAGGAAACGGTGGAGGACGACCCCCTAGACAATGTTGAATACGACGACAAAGCGCAGCGGCAGGCCCAACCGCAACCTGCTCGACCTCGGAATACCTTAGCCGACAACACAGCTACTCATAATCGTCAACCTGTGCAAGCTTCAATGCCTCATATAGCCACCCAGCAGCAGCAGACCCTGACCGCCCTTCCGGTCCGTCCGGCTCCCCCTGAGGCGACAGCACCCACAACCCGTACCGATAAAGGAAAACACAAGGAGAGCATTCCAGAGCCAGCAAAGCTCAAGGAAACGGCCAAAAGTCAAGGGTTGCGCAAAAAGTTCTTTGGGAAACGTTTGTGATTTGATTCAAGACTTACTTGCGAAGCCCTGTTTACGAGTCTACATTTTGCTAGCCTTGCTCGGCAATATGCTCTCTTCACTCCACATAACTTCAATGCGGTCTGCTGGTAGCAGTCACGACAACCATCTCGCTTGGTGACATAGACTGTCATCACATCGACTACAGTGATATGACGTCTACGTCGCACTAAGTTAGCTACTGGTGCTGCGACTTAGGACAGCCACCTGACAGCTTCATAGCTATGAGGGCAACATTAGATATGCGTTGGGTACCATCGTATCTGCAGGGCAGCGTCTCGATAGCCATACCAAAATATGTGTACCAAGCCGGAGACTTTGGCAAGAAGAGGCTCGGGATAAAGGGCTGGCAACATTCCCGGGAGGGGGATATCTAACCACGGCGTCCCCAAGTCACGCAAGTGATTTCAAGTGACGAAACAAGTGGGATCCCTAAGTCCTACGATGGCCTTGCAGGAAAGTCCATTTCGAATTCAATGGCAGTGTCCTTTCGGTTACCATTAGAAATTCGTGGATGTTGCAGCTCGACCTTCGATCCTTGGCCCGGAAACAAGAATTTGTTACTAGTACAGAGAACGCTCAGGCAGGAGGCGGAGGAGTAGAACCAATCCGATATTGCGATCCATTTCCACGGTACAAGCGCTGATATTGCGGTCGTTAAAAATCCGAACAGAAAGCGGTGATAGTGGTCTCCATAATGTAGTCGCACAGGGGAAGGCCGATACAGACCTCCTTAAGAAGAGCAAGCTTTTGGAGAAAGAAATGTGCGTTGCAGGATACAGTCATAAAGCCCCGAAAACCAGCGAGTTTGCCCAAGGAGAGTGAGGTTGAGGTGTTCCACTAGTATCGACGGTCATCGTAGGTGCCGTAACCACCACCGTAGCCATAACCTCGAGGCGGGCTCCTGGGACGGGGGTACGGATCTCCGTTCCTACCATACGGATCTCCGTAGCCTCGCACAGGTGGTGGCGGTGGGCCCCGGGGATCGTATGGATCTCCCTCATATCTTCTTGGTGGAGGTGGCGCGTAGTCTCTCGGCGGGGTGCGCCTTCCATAGCCTCGGTCGTAGCCTCGATCATAGTAGTCATCGGGAGGAGGGCGACGTCCAGGTGAACGCTCACGGTAACCTCGAGGGCTCCAGCCACGAGCAGGGCCACGGCGGTCATGATAATCATCCCCTGGACCATGTCGGCCTCGAGGAGGAGATCTCTGTCGGTAACTTCGTTGATCGGGTCGCTCATCTTGGATCTGAGTGGTCATTGGTGAGCAAAGAAACCGCCATGCGAGAAATCAAAGTAAAACATACATCAGCCGTGCAGTGAACTTCGGCACCTTTGAATGTCTGGCCGTCTAGCTTTTCAACGGCAGTCTTGAGGTCGGCTTGGGTTTCGAATTCGACAAAGCTTGAGAGATTGTGAGCCAGTGTGACCATAAAAGGAGGTACCCTAGCATTACCCTTTTCCATCACGTTCCCGACCAGTCTCGGAATAGACAACGTCCAGTTGACCAGAGTTGCGGGCGAAATCTTTCAGATCCTAGGCGGAGTGAGCGCAGTCCGGGAGTGCACGAAACGACCAAAGTGTATCCTGCGCAAAGGGAGCGAAGCCACAGGGTCCCTAGGGTTTTTGCCGTGACAACGGAGAGCCAGGGATAGAAGGAGGGCTGCTGACCTGCCAACTAGTTTCCGGTTGTAGTCCAGTGACTTGCATGCGATAGACGGTACGACGTGGTCGTGGAACATTGCGATCCGAGGGACCATTGAAGTCGTCCTTGCGACGAGGACCACGAGCAAATTGGACGGTCAGGCGTTCACCCTTGAATTCTGTTCCATCTATTCACCTGTCAGGCCAGACCAAGAGGAGGGGGCAGATTGGAGGGAGTTTGCGTACGAAAAGCTGTAGGATAAGTTAGCCAGCTCCTGTCAATCGGGAGAATGAGTGAGCGTACCTGGGACGACATCTCGCGCATCCATTGGATCCTCATATTCAATGAACCCAAAGCCATTCATCAGCTTGATTTCCTTGATGGAATCTGTGCCATGGGTGCCAAAGTGGTCCTGAATATCCTGTTTCGTGACTGGAGGGACAAGAACAAGTGTCAGTGACTGACGCAACCAGGGAAGTCTATGAAGCGTATCCAGGTTTCATTTCATGCAGTATCGATCCTCCAGAGATGCAACATTGGCCGGGGTGACCCAACAGGAACACTAGATTTGAGGTTTGTGCATACTATTCCGCGGAAGGTTGCCCAGATAGAGCCTTGTAGAGGAGACATCGGCCATGGTAGCCTCCTGGAAGGTCGAGACCAAGATCCGGAGAGATCAGAACACAAAGAATAGGTAGGGCTGGCGGTAGAGCGGCCGGTCAGAACCGGCGGGTCGATGGATCCAGGAGAGGAACGGGGAGATGGCCTAGCAGGGAGAAAACATCCAGGGAAAACAACCTGGAAGGACGAAGATGGGTGAGAACGAGAGTGGGTGATGGTTGGCAGTTGTGAGGCGCAGGGATACATGCGCTCGCGCTGCCTTCGCCTTCAGGTTCGCCTCACTTTCAAAATACGCCAAGGTGAGGCTAGACCACTTGGGGCTCAACCCCGTTTGGGGACGAGGTGATGCCGCCTTAGGCCTCGGAGCCTGTACCACCAGTACTACAGATATCTGGCTGGAAATCCCGCTGCAGCTCTCTTCACAGCACTGTCCCTTGACACCATCCAACACCATTGCCAGACTCTGAATACGGCCAGATGCTGCTGGCCGAAGCCGAAGATCCCTTTTGGCAGTCGATCGTAGATCAACTGGGAGTAAAACGCTCTAACGATCCTCTTGACGAATGCTATCAAGATGGGTTCGACAGACTCATGGATCGGGCTGACACCCTGCTCAGCCTTGCCAACGAAAAGTTGCATACCTTTCCCTTCAAGAACGTCAAACCCTGCTGGTTCCGACTCTATACCGATGCCAGTCTTGCTAAGGCCTTGAAGCTGATACCGCATCTTCGCTCCACGTCTAGACCCTCCTCTCCGCCAGAAGCCCTCGAATCTCGTCTCGACGAGATTGTATCCCTTCTGGACATGGCTTTGATTATGGCAGGTGGCTTGGGCCGAGAGGACATGATACACAGCATCTTGCAGAAAATCGGGACAGCAACCAAGCATGACCAGACTAACTTGGAGCGGCCCTCGAAGAAACGAAGGACTGGGGACTATGCGGCTGGCGAGCCTATATCTGCTGATCTGCTACCCAATGTAGAGATCTCGGTCCCCAGTCTTCGGTTCCCAGTTCCACGGATGGTACGACCCTCGATGACGGAGTTTTCCAAATCCATGAATACCGAGAAATCCCCGGTTCTGCTAACTGAGGTCCTGGATCATTGGCCAGCGCTTGAAAGATGGAAGCGAATATCATACTGGCTTGATCAGACCATAGGCGGACGTCGCCTCGTCCCTATCGAAGTTGGCCGTAGCTATACCGATGATGACTGGGGTCAACAAATTGTGCGCTTTCGAGAATTCCTGAGCCGATACATTCTATCACGATCGGGCAGCGATGATGAAGCCAAAGAAGATATCAAGACTGGCTACCTGGCACAACATGACCTTTTCAGGCAGTTACCTGCGCTGCGCAACGATATTGCGATACCCGATTATTGCTTCCTCGACGCCCCGCCGGCCCAATCAGGCACTCCAGTTTACCTGAGCAAACTCAAGGAGAGCTCGGGCAAGAAGATCAGCAATTCAACTGCGCATTCATCCCTTTCAGGTCTTTCAGGTGCTATGCCTAGCGGTGAGAGTAGGCAGGTCCGTGATGCTGACGTCGCAGACGGTGACGGAGAAGTACATACTAATATCTGGTTTGGCCCGCCGTGGACTATATCACCGCTTCACCATGATCCTTACCACAACATCTTGTGCCAAATAGTGGGCAAGAAGTACATCAGGCTGTATTCACCCCAACACAGCAAGCGTCTGTTGCCCAAGAGTCCAGACGAGCCTGCTCCGCATGTCTCTCAAAGTCGAACGGCCGCGGGCGAGGTGATTGCCACTCCGAAAGAAGGCCAATGTAGTGAGACCATCGACATGTCGAATACCTCACAAATCGACATTGCTGCGATAGAATTGTCACCTCACGAAGATTGGGACGAGGTTTATCCCGGATTCAGTCAAATCCCGTATACGGAATGTATTCTTGAAGCTGGCCAAGCTCTCTACCTACCAATTGGCTGGTGGCACTACGTACGGAGCTGCTCAGTGGGCATCAGCGTCAGCTTCTGGTGGTAGGTTGATGTGGCTGTATGCATCAACGATGCGTGTTCCACGTGAATACGGAGTACTTATTACTCACTGCCTGGGTAATGCGTAATTTCAATTACTCCTACGATCGGAGATTCCCGAGCAATGTGCTTCGGTCAAGACTCTACTAACTGGTGCTAACCATAGTAGGCTTTCTGCCTTTCGGTCTTCAATAACGAGCACTGCTTACAAGGATCAGTAATCCCAAAGAAGCATACCCTCACAGGATACATGGGCTTGCTGCCGGTGCACCAAACTCTCAGTTTCTCGGTGCCACGAGCCGCGATTGGATTCGCTATACCAGCAGCAACACATGGCAGATGGATCCGATTCAAGGACCATGAAAGCGAACAGTACGGGTACTCCCTATTGCAGCCGACTATCCCTGACGCCAGGCACCTACCGCCTAGGTGCCTACCAGGCCTGATCAACGTGCCAACATTGATTCGCCGGCGCCTTTGCTTATCTTCTAGAAACCAAGGTCGCAGGGGTCGAGATATTGTGATGTCAATCAAAGCAGGATCAGCCGCGTGCTCATCCCCGAATAAGTAACGCTCCCCCCGGAGCTTGACAGGGATGCAACGTTGTTTATCTTTGGGCGTTACCAACTGTTATCGGCACGTCGACTGTCTCGAGGCGCCTCTGTCACGTCAGAGGCCAGGGATTCGTCTGCAGAGCGGATTATAAAGAAGGTCGTCGCCCTCGCGCTGGCCGCCTGGGGTTCTTGTCGCCAGATCAAGCACCTTATCGCCCCTTTCAAGCTTTCGGAGGTCCCACCCCCCGCATTGTCGGTCGAAGCCAGAGCGTCATCCCAGACAACGGCTGCGAAAATGGCCGACACCGAAAACACCGGCGGTGCGGCACGCAGCATGTCCAAGGATGAGGGTCGTCTACGAGAACTGGGCTACAAGCAGGAGTTGAAGCGGGACTGGTCGATGATCCACAACTTTGGCGTCTCGTTCAGCATCATCTCCGTCATCACCGGCATCACCACACTTTTCAGTTATGGCCTGACCACGGGAGGGCCAGGAGTCATGTCTTGTGGATGGCTGATCGTCAGCTTTTTCACCATGTTTGTCGGGCTGGGCATGGCGGAGATTGTGAGCGCGATTCCCTCTGCAGGAGGACCGTACTTTTGGGCGGCAATCCTGGCCCCGAAGAAATGGGCTCCTTTTGCCAGCTGGGTAACGGGTTGGTTCAATCTCCTCGGGCAAGTTGCAGTCACGACAGGTATCACCTTTGGCTGTGCCGGCTTGATTTCCACCTTGGCCAGCGTCAACGGCTACGAGCCGTCGGCCGGAAAAACGCTGGGCATTTACGCCGCCCTTTTGTTCTCGCACGGGATGGTCAATTCGTTCGGCGTGCACATCTTGCGTTATTTGAACAACACATCTATTGTGCTCCACTCTCTCGGCGTGTTCGCCTTCGCGGTGGCGGTTGTGGCGAAGGCGCCTCATCATCAATCTGCCAAATTCGTGTTTGCGACATTCTACGACGGCACGGGCGACCCAGGATGGTCCGTTCGAGCATCTCCAGCCTACGTGGCCTGTATTGGTATCCTGATGTCTCAGTATACCATTACTGGGTTTGATGCGAGGTGAGTTGATGACGGTTCCAGAGAAGCGCGAGGACTAACTTTTGATGCAGTGCCCATTTATCAGAGGAAACCCAAAACGCATCGTGGTCAGCGCCCCTCGGTGTTTTGATGTCGATCGGTTGTTCGGCCCTGTTCGGGTGGTTCCTCATCCTCTGCCTCCTGTTCAGCATCCAGGACTTTGACCGCACCGTGGATTCGGAATATAGTCAGCCGGTGCTCCAGATCCTGGTCGACCTGTTCGGCAAAACGGGCGCCATTGTCCTTTTTGTGCTGATCATCATCTGTGTCTGGCATTGCGGCCTGTTCAGCTTGACCTCCAACTCGCGGATGATGTTCAGTTTTGCCCGTGACGGCGGAATCCCTCATTTCTTCCACAAAGTGGACGCGCGATTCCGGGCTCCGATCCGAACCATTTGGCTGGCTGCATTCCTGGCGTTTCTTCTCGCCATTCCCAGTGTCGGGTCCGCTGTGGCATTTTCGGCGGCCACCTCGATTGCCACGATCGGTCTGTATCTCTCCTACGGTCTCCCGATCTTGATCGGCATGGTCAACCCCGAAGGCTTCATCCATGGGCCGTTCAATCTCAAGTGGTTTTCACGCCCGGTCGCAATCATCGCCTGTCTGTGGATCGCATTCATCACCATCATCTTCTGCCTTCCCGAGCTCAATCCGGTCAATAGTCAGACGCTCAACTACACGCCAGTGGCAGTGGGGATCATTGCTGTCTGGTGCCTTGCAAGCTGGTTTCTGTGGGCTAGGAAGTGGTTCAAGGGTCCCATTCGCCAAGTCGAGGCCGAAGTTGCCGGGGTCAACGTGGACGATCCAGATGCGATGGAGCGCGCCGAACGCGAGGGCAGAATCCCGCGGCTGGAGGAGACGGCGGGGGGCAACGAGAAGAGCATCTTGGCTGCCCTGAAGCAGAATTACAATTGAGACTAGGCTGGATGATTTTAGTCAATTTGATTTTTCTATGGATATAGTAGGCGGAAGATCCGTCAGATTGATGAGTCGATGCCGATGCCCATGCCAACCGCAGGACCAGACGAGACGAGAGACCAAAGACTATATTTGATCGAATGAATCACAATCTGGTTGCTCCGATGACTTCAAGTGCGCCTGTTAGGTGCCTGTCGTAGTGCCTGTCGTTAGTATCTGGCTTTCCTGACTGTGCATCACTGTGTCACCATTGTTCGCAAAGAGCCACTAGGTATCTGGTTGCGGCAACCGACGTCCGAAGCTGGAGGTATTGAGATCTGAGCTGAGCTGTACCCGCACTCAGGGGGCCCGTGAGAGGCGAGTCCGCAATGCAATGAAAGCAGTACAACACAGTACAACAGAATGCAATACAATTCAACAATGCAACAATGTAATTGATCCATTCATTCACTAGCCAGAGCAGAGCTCCAAGCAGAGCTCCAACTTAGTTACTCCGTAGTACTCGGACTCGGATAGTGGCTAAGGGTCTCAACCGCGACCAGGACTGGACTATCTCATAGACTTCATGGCGTTTCCGTTTCCGCAAACCTCGTCCCTCCCATCAGTCTCACCGATTCGTGTTGAAAAACCAACTACTTCGTTTATTGCCGGCGTCGGATCCCGGCCCCGTTCCGGCCAGGTTGGAGATGATCGGGAGCGATGGGCTGCCGTTGGCACCGTCGAGGTGGGATGCCGCTCCGCCGCCGCCACGCAGTGGTTTGGCTATTCGGGCGCCGGCGCTCATGAGACTATTGAATCCTCCGCCGGCCCCAACTCCAGGCCCGGCAGGGGCCATGTTTCTGGAGGACAGCTTGGCCGCCTCGAGTCGCTCCTTGACGGCGGCGAGTTGTGCTTCGAATCTGTAGACAGAATAATGGTCAGCCTCACTTATGACTTTTTTCGGCGGGTCATCAGTCCGTGGGCACTCATACCTGTGATTGGCAGCCGTCAATTTCTCCTGGCTGTCACTCAACAAACTCTCCAGACTCAGAATGCGCTCGTTCCGGGCAATCAGCTTCCGCTCCGCGATGGCGACTTCCTTCTTAAGGCTTGTGTTCTGGTCCACAAGCTGCCTCTGCACCACGGTGAGTTGTTCGAGGTTGCGCTCCAAGAACGCCATCTTCTTCTGTTGCTGCCGGTTGTTGCTCGACCGGAGCACATTGTTGTACTGCTCGCGCGTTTCGTCCAGTGAGATCTCCAGCTCCACCACACGTTCACATCGATCTTGCAGGTCCCGCATCAGATTCTTCTTCATCAAATCAAAGTCGGTGATTTGTTGTTGGAGAGTTTTGCCCGTCACTCCGTTGACGCCGGGTCGGTGCGCCACTCCCTGAGACTGTACTTCGGCCAGGGATTTCTGGAGCTTGTCCATCTCCTGGGACTTCTGTGTCAATTGATCCCTCAAGTCATGGACCAGTTCGGCCTGGGTTTCACTGCGGTCAGAATACAACTGCTCCAGTCTCGCCTTGACATCTTCCACGTCCTCCGGACCTAGATTGCGGGTTAACAGATCTTCGTATTCTTGCTGCACGGCAGCGAGCCTGTCCTCGAGCGCGAGCATCCGTTCTTCGTTTTCGTTCTCGGCACGCGCACTCAATGACTGCTCAGCGTGCCGGACGAGGTTCTGAGACTCGACCAACTTCGTCCTCAGATCGTCCAAGACATGAGTTGGCACGCTTTCTCCGTTCATGCTTGCGGCGTGCAGAGCATCCACCTGATCAAGCATATCCCGCATGCGAGCCTCGTTCTCCGAGAAGGCATTGTCCCCCAGGTCGAAGCCGGCCATCATCTTGGCCATCTTTTCCTTCTTCTTGCGGTCCTTCTCGTCCAGCGCCGCCGTCGTCTCTTTGGCACTCATCTTGAGCTCCAGAAGTTGCTGCTTGACCGAGATCAGCTCCGTCTCGAGTTCCGAGTTGGCGTCTTTCAAGGCTTCCATCGTGATGGCGTCCTCTTTGTTCTGGTACGAGAGCTTCTGCAATTCCAGTTGGGTTTTATTCAGTTTATCGGCCAGTCCTTCGTTTTCTTTGGTCGTCCGCATGGCCCCCTCCTTATATGACTTCAATTCTTCGCGTACTTCTTGCAGACTCCTTTCCGCATTGGCTGCTTGAGTCTCCTTTTCCGTGAGTTGATCCTGCAATTCGTTTTCCCGTTTCAAGAATTCCTCCCGTTCGTCCTTGTCCAGGATGATGCTCGGAGTGCTTGATCGGTCGCCCATTCGAGAATCAGGTCGGCTGGGTGTTTCTGACCGGAGAAGATCGGCGGGTGCTCGAGAAGGCGTGTCTGGTCTTGTCTTTGCATCCGCTTTCGAGCCTGTGCCGCCGAGGGACGGTACCCATCTATCTTTCGGGACCGTCTCTCCCTTTCTCCAAAGCTGCAATTCCGAGTCCAGCGAAGCAATGTACTTCTCGAAGGAAATGGCCTGGCTCTGGGCCATCTTGAGCTGACGTTTCAATTCCGCTGGACTGAGTTCCGCATTGATCTTGGCCTTGTTCCTGATTGTCTTCGCTCTCATCCCGAACCTTAACGTACTCACAGTTTCCGCGTCGTTGTAGCTGCTCGGGGAGCAATTTATGATCAGGGTTGTACGCGAGTTACCACCCAAACTTTCTTGCAGGATCCTCGTCAATTTGGAGTCTCGATAGGGCACGTGGGTGGATTTGCCGTCCGTCAAAGCATTGATAACCATTCCGAGCGCGCTTAAACTCTTGTTGATTTTCTTCGCCTCTTCAAGCGTCTGCCCACTGGCGCCCGTCTTACCCACCTTTTCCGAACCTGCCAGATCCACGAGGTACAGCATACCACTCTTTTGGGACCCCGTGTTGACGTCTTTCTGATTGATTGTGACGAGGAAGATGGAGTGTGATCTCGACGACTCGAGGTTCATGTTCGTCGAGGCTGTCACCCTTGAGCGCTGACCCAGATGCATGGCCGTGTACACCTCGTCCACGGTGTTGACATATATCTCGCGCAGTCCTTTGACATAGGGTCCTTTGGGTCCCTCATTGATAGGTAAATTGTCCATGACGGGGTTCAAAAGATCTCGTATCCTCTCCATGTAAATTTCCAGATACGAAATTCCCACCGTATATTCAACCTGAGCGGACCCGTGGACGAGAATGGAGTCAAAGATCTGCTCTGTAATGCGCGGGATTATACCTTTCTTGTGCGGGTCGTCCATATCACCCATCATTGTATACGATTTTCCGGCACCCGTTTGACCGTAGGCGAAAACGGTTCCATTGTAACCGTTCATGACATCTTCAACGGTAGACCGGATAGAAAAGTCGAATATATCGGATTGTTGGGAGGACATGTCGAACACTCGATCGAAGGTAAAGGGAGCATTGGTTTCTGAGGACTGTACAGCATGAGTTTCTGTTGCGCCGGGTCAAGAACGCGCGCCGGCATACCTGGACCTGGCAGGTGTCTTCCCCAGAAAATTGCACAATCGGTTGCCCTCCATTTGCGACTTCGACCTTGTTCTGAGGTCGGAAACGGGCAACAACTGGGATTCAAGTCAGACTGGGGATCGGGGATGGATTGGACAGCGTGGGATCGCGCACCTTTGATGTTGTTGCCCCCTCCGCTACCCCCCGCGGCGGACCTGGGATTCATGGTCAGCTCGAGTTTTGCAAGAATGGACGGATGCGACGAACGCCATGTTTATTCTCCACGAGACTCTTCAATCGGGCCAAGAGGAAAGCATCCGTTGTGGGAGCGTACCCCGAGGGCGCGGATGGTAAACAGGGAAAGTTGTGGTCTCAGTCGCGATGAAATTGCGTCTTGGGGATCGGGAGTGGATGTCTCAGAGCGTGAACTGGAGTCAGAGGTCGGCGGCGTGAACGATTGCGATCACTCGAAGTCACGAGTCACAAGTCACTCGGTACTTGAATGTTGGTCTTGGAGACTCGACGGGGCTTCTGGAACGAGGACGAACTTTTGGTGTCGTACTGCACGGTGACCGTGGTTGATGACGGGCACGCGCAGTCCAAGGTGCTGGCTTGTGCTTGAGTTTGCCGGGCTCGGGAGGCTTAGGGGGCCTTAGGCTGTGCAAGGGGCGGCTAAGGGCGCGCGTCCTTAGTGGCGGGTGCCAGGGCCAAGGGGGGCGAGGGGGCCTCAGGGCCCTAAGGCTAATAAGAAGCTGGCCTAGGCACCTACGAGGGATTACTGCTGTATTGTTTATGCACTCACTTTCGTTGCTATGCTGGCCACACCGCGACGCGCCGGGAAAGATCAGGTATAGGTGGTGACTTGCGAACTACCTACCTATTACTCCGTACAGTATTTCACACTGCCTCTCCATGATCCTTTGAGACCTCTCTCGAACCCTTTGGAACCAGCTGAGCCCTCCTACATCCGTCGTCGACCAGCAGTTGGCAACAGCAATATGAGAGAGTGCATCTAGAACCCGGTTGCTGAACCCTGTTCGCTGTTCCCTGTTCCACGGTCCAAGTCCCAACACAACGCGAGGCACGTGATGTTGGAGGAACAAGGTACAAGGAACCTCCTCTCTCGTACGGAGTACAGAGTATATTGATCATTCCCGATCTCTCTTGCGACATCACCGTGGTGACTCATCTCATCGAATACGCAGTGTCTCACCCAGGCACCTCACAGGTAGGCTAGTATATAAACCCGCAAGGTTCCCGCAATTGTTGGCATTCAAGCCATCGACATTACGATTACACAGTACAGTGCAAGTGCAAGGATCCTTCTTTTCATCTATACTACTATCAGAGCTCTCTCCATCATGGCCGCGGCGCAGACTCAGTCTCTCTACTCCTCCTTCAACCTTGTCCACAACGTCACCAAGACCTCCTCAGGCTGTGAAATCCACAGCTACACCTCTGACCTCGGTCCAGACGCACCCATCCTGACCTTAATCCACGGCTATCCTCAATCCGCGTACATGTGAGTGACAACTTGCGAGTCTTGACTCGACCTGGGAGCTAAATATTCTCTCCTGGCATCCAGTTTCCGCCATGTGAGACGCCCCTCTTCGCTTCAGCGTCGTTGACCACTCAGGGGAGCGTTCCGGTCCATGACTGCCTCGCATATCCTAACTCAGTTGCATTGTGCTAGGTTGTCCCTCTGCTGTCCGGCAAGGTGTCGCTATTCGTGCCTGAAGTAAGGCATCCCTCCCCTTCAGAACATACTACATCCCATCACCTCTTTCTTTCTACTCACACTTTCCACCCGTCAGCTTCCAGGCTATGGCATCTCCACGCCAATAAAGGATAAGAACGCCAACGACAAACGCTCTGTGGGCACTGCCCTCCTCGAAGCTTTGTCCCAGATCTTCAACACCACTTCATCCACCTCGCCCCGCCGCCTGATATTGGCCGGCCACGACCGCGGTGCCCGCATCTCCCACCGTCTCGCCGTGGACTTTTCGCACCCACCCCAGAACCCATCCGTGTATTCGACGTTGAACTTGACCGTTCTCGGCACAATCCTGCTTGACATCGTGCCTACCGTCTCACAATGGCAGGCCTTCGCGGACCCGGCCGTTGTGTTAGGCTACTTCCATTGGCCGCTCCTGGCCAACGCAGACCTTGCGACCGAGATTGTGGCCGCCTACGGCGGCGCCCGCTGGGTTCAGGAGTCACTCACACGTGTCGCGGGGCCCAACCCAAACGCCCTCGCGCGCATCACCTCGAACGGCGCGGCCGATCTATACGGCTCTTTGTTCGAGCAGCGCGACACAATCTACTACTCCAGCCTGGACTATGCGGCCGGCGCCACCTCTGACCTCGCCGAGCAAGAGGCCGACCAGAAGGCCAGTCACAAGGTCGGAGTGCCGCTCCTCGTCTTGTTCTCAAAGGCCAAGCTCGGCGCCCGCCTCGATGTCCAAGCGCTCTGGAAGGACTGGGTGGCTGAAGGTGTCGACTATGAAGGATTTGGCGTCGGAGATGGTTATGGACATTACTTGCCCGAGGAGGCTTATGATATCGTGAGTGGCAAGATTGAAACCTTCCTCCAGAAGGTGATTTGATTTTGGTCGGTTACTGGCCTGGACTGGACTGGACCGAGATGGGAATAGGAGATAGGGAATATATTAATTCTATGACCGTTGACTGGCCCACGTGGAGCCTTGTTCATCAGCGGGTCCTGCAACTTGCAAGTATTGTCTCTCATCCATCACCGCGCCTTGGCTATTTATTGCCTCTATGTTGAGCGCAATCCTTCTCCTGCAGTCCATCTTCTCTTGCCAGGGCTCCTCTCCACTGTGGTAGACTCAGTCCCCCATAGCCCAAGCTGACTCGCGCTCCTCACGGGCAAGGGTCGATCAGCGTCGGCCTTTTCCTCATGCTCGTTAGATGTGCTTTCCAATGGCTCTTCTGGGATGTCGTCGGGTGCGCCCACGCTCTGCATGCTCGGGGTCACAACTGCTTCGCTTGACTCCGTCGTCTCATCTCTTGAATACCGGCTGCCACGACGCCATAGACCAGTCGGAGGTTCAAGGTCACTGGATGCGTCTGCAGCATGCGCTCTCTGACTGGTACTTCTTCCTAGCGATGATGTCGATGGTCGGTGGTTCAAGGATTCCCCTAATGCGAAACCCTCGGGCGAATCTGCTCCGACCGCGCGGCGACTTGCAAAGGCCGGCGACTTACCCAGTCGTGGTGAATTTGGTCCCAGAGGATTCGAACCGCCACGTAGATGTTCCGTCGAAGCAATGAGCCTCATCTCGAAATCTCCGGAAACCACCATGTCGAGGGAGTCCGACGGAGAGACCGGTGGATAAGGCGCCTGTCGATCTTGCTTCCGGACAGCCATGGTCAATGAAGCTGGACCAACGTCGTGTAAGGCAGGGGCTCCAGTGAAAAGCCGAATCAGAGCATTGCAGCCAGCTTGGTGGGTGACCAAGACGAGGACTAATTCTTCGTCTTCTTCCAATCCGTCGGGTTCTTGCCGTTCGTCGGCTTTTCCCTCATAATGAGCAATCATTCTTTGCACACCATTGCGGAATCTTCGATGCATGCTGCCCCATTCTTCGCCAAATGAACCCCCATCGCCCCAGTCGAGATCATTGTTTTGACTGTCCCAGCTGTGATCGACCACAACACAACAGTCTCGGGCATGAGCAACAAAGCCGGGAGGTATTTTGTCCGAAGCACCCATGGCATACATAGGAACCGGAGGGCTATATCCCAGAGGCTGTCGGTGTAGGTTCCTATTTAGCAGCCTCGCCCCGTTGGCCAATTCGGTCCCGAAAGAGACATTCCGCGGCCGCTTGGGTAGAGAATGACCTACGGCCGCCATGGCCCTCAACCCCGCTCTTTCGGGGGTCGGCACCGACGTCGCTTCGTTCTCTTTCTCCTCCCAATCCATCGACGGTAAGTCATAAGTGGAGGACGGGGACATATCAGCGGCTTTGATCTCCTCTTGTGGTTTCTGCAGAGTCTGCTTCGCCTGCGACATGAGCACGGGAGATGGAGGCGGAGGGCTAATATGGTCGAAATAGCTGGGCGAAAGCCATTCTCCCAAAAACGCATCGATGCGCAACAGGCAAGTGTTATATCCTAACCGGTTTGTCTGCAAGGGGTCTTGGCTAGTGGTCCGTTGCAGAACGTCCTGGTCGGTATCAACAGGAGGTGAGGTCACTTCTGGCGGTGGATCTAATGGGGAGAGGTTCGACCGCTGGCGGGCCTTCAAACCGGGTCGACGGTGATTTTGGGGATGCTGGATGCCAGCGCAAATGGCAACTGCGGTCTGAACACATCGCAAATAGGGAGAGGAATGAATGATGACCTTCCGCCGTTTGGGAGGTCGAGGGTCTGCTGAGGTATTGTCCTTGTCGACACCAGACCGATGTTGTTGGTCGAGGTTATGCAACTCATTGCTGATTCTGACCCCGAGAGTTTGGCATTGGACCCAACCACCATAAGTTAGAGGAGGATCGTGGGGATCTTCGGCCGTCGTGTGCCAGTTTCTGTCCGCTTGGTCGAGGCGGGCGCCGTGCCTGCGCAAAGCCCGTGATTAGCATCGACGTAGCAAGGCGAGTATGGGTTCACAGAAACGTACCGGGCAATGAAGACGACTGCTGGTTGCTTTCCCATGTCGACGGTGGAAAGACTACAGAAGGCTGGCTGGAGAGTGCAGTGTTCGGCGGCTCGAAAATTTCCAGGGCGGATTACCGTAAATAATGAATTGCGGGGGAGACTGGACGGCGAGGGTGGAACAGAGGAGCGAAGAGCAGTCAATGTGGTCACGATCAACCAGGCAGTAACATTATGGAAGTCATTGAGGCGGTCAATCAATGCGCCAGGATGGCACAGAGATTCTAGCCTGGAGGAATGCTATGTAAGGTAGTAAGAGCAGGTGTTGCAGTGGTGGTTGAAAATAGATTTCCTGGTGCTGCCGCCACTGCCAGTGAGGGATGTGACGTGTTGAAGTCAAAGGGTCACGGGGGCGACCTGCAGTGTCACGGCTCCTAAGCCATCCCGCAGTTATAGAGCACGTCCGTACGGAGTACTTCGCTCCCAGGCTAGAATCCAGTGCTGCTGCCTTGTCTGCATGCACGCTTTCCGGGTTTCCTTGTTTCCTTGTTTCCTCGTTTTTCGTCTGGCGGTGCAGGTTCACTCTATACGCCATATTCGGTCTCCGTTTCGGGCTTCTAAGGCCACCCTCTCGTCGACTTACTGCCCCTGGATCGCTTGGGATAGCTCTCTTACTCCGTACTCCGTATTCAGAATCCAGGCTCCATCTTCGCGTCCCGATCCTACACCCTTCGCAAGCACTCCTGTTATTTCCGCTCGAGAAGAGAAATGCCACAATGCCACAGGTCACGATTGCGGAGTACGAAGTGCTCTATACGGATACTAGTAGTAGTGTGCTCTGCCCCTGGGTGGATGCCCTATATCAGAAAGATGAGCCTGTCTAGATCCTGCATGGCTTGGATCAGCTCGTATTCAACATGATGGTGCTTGGCTTGTAGGAACATTTCAAACAAGACTGATCGGTACCATGGACTTTGGATCGAGCTCTGATATCATTGTTGATACGTTTGAGACAGGAGATCTTGTTTTTGTCTGAGACCTGCTCACTACAGAGTATGTATCAGTTGAGCCGACATATCCGTACGTATCTTCCTGGCCTCACCGTCTATCCTCATTTCGCTACGGCGAACAAAAGATGATCAACTACAGGAGTCACAACGTGGCCTGACGGAGATGGATAGCAGGGCGCCAGTATTCCGTACAGAGGCTACACCAACCGACAGACCCAAGAATCAGACTTTAAGATGGGGAAACATGTATTAGTGACCGATGAAAGGATGGCGAGGTTGTTCCGTGCAACCTGTTGCACTTTGGAGACCAAGTGGCATATTGTCTGACCTGGTCAGAACTGGAGCGGTGAGCCAGTTCTTCCTCGCTTGGTGGTGTCAATGTGCCGAAACCCTTGGTCAGACGGGCATCTATTTTCTTCACCACGATCACGACTAACACCGCGACTTGGCTTCAATCTGACTGACAGGAGACAAGTCACCCCTATCCCTCTAGGCTGTTTCATGTTGAGGGGCCGATGGGCACGATCAACGCACCGCTCCCACGGCTGGCATCTTTAGCGCATCATCCCCGGTATTTTCAGACCACAATGGCTCCAAGGGATCTGTGGGTATTGGTTGGCATCCCGAAGAAGGACTGGCCTTTGGTTCGCCCCTTCCAGGCGTGCCATAACGTCGCAAGCCTACAGAGAGGATCCCTGGAAAGAAAGCGGTCTTCGGATCCCCAAGACATCCAACAGGTACGAGTACGGATGCTCTGTATTATTATTTGCTCGTGGACAAACTGTGCTGTCACAGTCAGGAGAGTTCACGTTTCAGATCGCCTATCGTTCATGCCTATTATCACTACTGGTCTCCTCTGCGGTCTCCCTGCTTGTTCCTGCCGATCAGATGACCAGAAACGTGGTGCTTTGAACAATCTTGTCCACCGAACCTCCACCCCTTGCATATGGCCTGCTCCTCTGGTTCCCACTTGGCTTGCCCGTTTTCTTCGGTTCACTATGCACGGGCAGCTCGGCCGTTTCGACCCTGGCGTTAATGTGGTGTTCAAGTTATCGCCGTTGCAATAATGGCTATCTCAATTCCACCCTTTTGCGACACCGACGTCTGCACGCACCCGCGTCTCACGATCTTCGAGGGTCGAAGCTCCTCCATGTGGCTCACGATCTGCTCATACCTATCGACAATGACGCTTTGCCATCACATAGCCAGCTACTCACTGGTCATGCAGGTCCGCCACGGTAATTAGATCCACGTTTCGATCCGACCGACCGTTAGATTGCGAGGCTAGCTATCATCTAAACCACCATCTTGGCGACCATTGTTTCCAAGCTCATGCAGACATGTTTGCCCGCCCCCAAGCACGGAAACCTGCGATAAACCTTCACGGCCACTATTCAACAATTGGGCCCCTGCTGGATGCCCAAAATATTCCCTGTCGACAGCGCACTGGGGGCCCCACACATCGGCATTTGTTTCTCGAGGCCAGGAGACGCCTTCAACGCTATCGTCATTCTTTGTTGCGAATTTGACTGCAGCTGGTAAACCTGCTCCCTCTTTCTCAGCTTTTCGTCCATACTTTCGTTGCATTTGCGCCATTTACTTTTGTCTGTTTCCAAATACATTTCCGCCGGCCGACTGACTCTTTCGGGTCTTGACGGCCATCTTGTTGGACGAACTTGAACTGGCGCAGGAGGGGAACACATCCTCGGCATTTTTTGTTTGCTACAGAACACCACCCGAATCCAGGCACACCTCCCGTCAGAATTCTGTCAACTGCTGTCAAATTGTTCCCGTTATCGATTCCAACCACACCGCCAGCTACCCAGGTGGAGCTTCAGGAGTTGTCACGCTTCGTTGTCAACACCGTCAATGCCAGCGGCCCACGGGTATATCCTCTCAGCACTGACCTTTTTTTTGGACGACTTCTCTCCTCGAGTTGACTCGATGCCACTCGGATTTTCGGCCCAACGTAGTCCTTCATGACGACTCTTCTCGACAACACTGGCCTGCCACTATGGGTGTACATTGTCCTCATAGTCGTGGGTTCAATGTTGTTGCTGGCCACACTGGCGATTCTCCTGAGATGCTGGTTTGTCCGGAGAAAACCAAAGCAGAGCTACATCGAAGGCCTCACAGGTCCCACTCGCCGAGTGACCCTGAGAAGGGGACGGCTGGTGCCGACTTCTCAGCATTTATCTTTGACCGGATCCAAGTTTGGGACGCGGCAGTTTGGAATGCTTGCGGACAACGAGTCCACCATGACAGGACGGCGGAGCCCCTTTGAGTGGTGGAATACCATCATGGACAGATCACAATCTCGTCAAGACCAGATGTCTCAAGTGGAGACGGGATCTATATCGGCATCAACACGTCCGACATCCAGGGCGACGACAACAGCTGGCCGACGGGAAGTCCTTACAGCGACTCCTACCTTGACTCCGGAGAAGTACAAAGAGCCGGTTTCGAGAACTTGGGAAGTGACTTTGCCTTCACAATCACCATCACCACCACCGTCTCCATCGCCCAGCCCGTACGGCCAAAAGACGGTCAACTTTTCAAGATCCTTCGTTTCTCGCACACCTTCCTCTCCGCTTGCACAACGCTCTCAGCACACCCTGTCACGGATCTCAGAAAAATCTTTGCACTACTCCATGATCAGCACAAACGGCGCGAACGGCACAAACCAGCTTAGTCCCTCTTCCTACCATGCAACAGTCGGATCCATTAGTGGCCGCTCTCCTCTCTTCGAACAGCCTCTGCGGAATTCCCCCACCCCCGCCAATTCGATGTCACTTGCTATTCCTGTTAGCCCTGCGAAACCATCGCCAACGCTCGCCGGGGAACAGTTCAACCATTCGGCCGTCATGAAGCCAAGGCCCTGGGCCTCCGACCGGCTAAGTGCCTCGGCCACAAGCTTACCCCAACCCGCGCCTTCCCCTACCGTTCCGTCTAGGCCCTTCACTGCAGATGCATCACTTTCCCGAGACCACCCCTATCTAATAGCGCCTTCGGCGGTACCGACTCTCACAGTGCCCAAGCCTGTGGTATACGGCACGTCGAAGCCAGGAACTAGCGAAACCTACTCCCACTATAATCAACCCAACCTCTCGCAGCTCGATTTGTCTCGAGAGTCTATTGTTCTGTCCGGCAGGGACAGCATCTCTGCAGCAATATCCGATTCACATTTGGCCAAGCAGCCTCCAGCCAACATCAGCGTTGAACCTAACTTAATCGTCTATGATACTCAGCTGCCGGAATACTGGTCCCAGCGGCCTGGCATGCCAGATTTGGCTTCTTCCTTGAATATCAATGGCAGCACAGCCATGCACTCTCGTGAACATGCCGGTTTGTCAGAGGGTATCAGAAATGAAGACGGAGAAGAGCAGAACAGATTGGGCATCATGACCGTCCCGGGGAAGAAGAAATCAAAAGTCCTCCGAAAGAAATCACTTCGACGGATGCAGACACAGGCGACCACATGAGGGGGCGTCTGATGTAGTGATTCGTTGGACCCTCATTTGGACCGTGAGTTGGACCTTGAAACTGGCCTGTGATCTGGTTAGACAAGATTGCCTGCTTTCAAGATGATCGAAGGTGGCTGGCCTGCCGGGATGATTGAGTATGCATGCTACTCTGGGGCAGAATGCTGTGCATCATCTGCGCCTGCAAGAGAAGCTAAGCGACGCGAGGCAATGCTGTGCATGATCCTGATACAAGGGTGGCGCGCTGGACGCAGGTTATGTTCTGCTCTACTTTCTACTTTTTGCTTTTTCTCTTCGATTTCCTCCCAGCAATACATTCAGCGGCAACGATGACGAACGACCCTCCAACACCAAGACTACGCTACACTACCTTATATAGTATCGAGCAGATGGCTTGGAAGAGACTGTGGCGTCTCCAACATTGTTATTGTCATTGTTATTGTCATGGTCATGGTCATTATCGACGGGACAGCCCCTGGTATCCTCGAGATGTTTCTGGGGAGTCTCGTGTCGGGACAGCCCCTGGTATCCTCGAGATGTTTCTAGGGAGTCTCGCGTCAGGTCGGACCTTGTACTCTAGCATACATAGCGCATATTACAAGGGCTCAAGCTCTGCCTTTGCCATTCAATATTTCTACTGCTCTACTGCTCTGTACTCTACTGCTCTGGTGCTCTGGTGCTCTGGTGCTCCGCACTCTACTGCTCTGCACTCTGTACTTTACTGCTCTGCACTCTATACTCTACTGCTCTGTACTTGCTCTGTACTCTACTGCTCTACTGCTCCGCACGGCGGTGGGCATGAATGAGTATGGCGAGTAAGGTTCAGTTTCAGTTTCTTTTCCAGCCTCGTGGACTACCTACAGTACCTAGTATAACATGATACAACGCCGTAGCTATGCTGGTGACAAGACAGCGATATAAGAGTCTCCCTTCTTCCCTCTTCCGTCACCTTTCTCTCTCTCTCTCCCTATTTCCGCTCGCTCGTTCCTGCGTCACAGCGTCAGCTTAGTCGCGCATCCTTGAGCGGCACGCACTGCAGTCGTGACCAGCAGTTGATTTCCTTTTCGCTTCGTTAGATGAGCGTAGCGCAGCCAGCTCACTGCATGGGTACCAATGCCAGACATGCACCTGCATCTGGACCTGCATGAAACAGTGACGCTGGCTTTGATTTTGACATTGTCCTGATTTCGATCCTGGCGGGTGCCTACTTCGCCCGTGCTGTGCTGTGCTGTGCTTTGATTATTCCAACTCCGCTTACTCGACACTTTCGATCCTCTGGACGACGATGGCCGTGGCAGCCCCGCCGCCGTTACAGATGGCGGCGACACCGTACTCGCCCGGTTTCAGCTGGTGCAGGAGAGTGGTCAGAATGCGGGAGCCGGAGCTGCCAAGGGCATGGCCCAGGGAGATGGCGCCGCCGAGAAGATTGACTTTGGCGTCTTGGAGACCGAGGATCTGTGCAGATAATGTAGTCAGTAAAGGACGTAATGAAAACTAAAACGAAGACGAAAACAATCGTTGCGCATCAACCCTTACGACGTAATGAAAACAAACACGATCGTTGTGCATCAACCTTACAACTCGCAGTGCAGAAGAGAGAGGAAATGGATCGACGAATCAGGTCGAGTCCAGGGTCTATCATGTCCCGGGGGGCAACTTACTTGTTCATTGGCCTTGATGACGGCGGCAAAGGCCTCGTTAAACTCCCAGATGGCCACGTCGTCCTTGGTGATGCCTGCTCGCTCGAGGGCCAGAGGGACAGCCTTGGACGGGGCAATGGGGAAATCGACGGGGTCCAGTGCGGCGTCTGCGGAACTGACGATGCGTGCAAGCACTCGGCTTCCCTTGCCGTATTCCTGTGCGATGGCCTTGTTTCCCAGCACCAAGGCACTGGCTCCATCGTTGAAGGTGGACGAATTGGCGGCGGTGACGGTACCGGAAGAGTCACGCACGAATGCAGGCTTCAACGTGGCAACCTTGTCTTTTTTCAGGTTCTTGTAGCCTTCGTCCTCAGTGACAACGGTGTCGCCTTTCTTGCCCGGGACGGTCACTGGCACGACTTCGTCGTTGAACTTGCCCTCGGCCCAGGCCTTCTGCGCGCGTTCGAAGCTGCGGATAGCATACTCATCCTGCTGCTCACGGGTGACCTCGTACTTCTTGGCCGTGTTCTCGGCGCAGTTGCCCATGTGGAACTGGTTGTATACATCCCAGAGACCGTCCTCGATCAAGCCGTCTTTCAGGCCAAAGTGGCCAAACGCCGGGTTGTGCGCTGCCCGCGGCAGATAGTACGGCACTCGCGACATGTTCTCCATACCGCCGGCAACTTGGGCCTCAGCGAGACCGAGCTGGATGTTCTGGGCGGCCAGCACCACAGCCTTCAAGCCCGAGGCGCACACCTTGTTCACGGTCACGGCTTCGACCGAGGTTGGGAGGCCGGCGAAGATGCTGGCTTGTCGAGCGGGCGATTGGCCCACACCGGCGGAGAGCACGTTGCCCATGTACACGTCGGTGATTTTCGAGATGGGGACCTTGGATTTCTCAATGGCCGACTTGATGGCGACGGCGCCCAGCCGAGGAGCCGACAAGCTGGCGAAGGAACCGTTGAACTTGGCAGTAGGTGTTCTCGCGGCACTGAGGATATATGCATCTTGGATTTCTTGTCTCGCGGCACTGGAGCTGCTGAAATGACTGCGCATCTGGGACAGACGGGCGCCGGCGGTGGCAGATGAGGAGGCTCGCGAAGCTGCGCGAGCAGCCGTGGATGTCAAAGGGGCCATGGCGACAGAATGTAGCACTTCTTCTGGTATCACTTCACTCGATGAAGGGCCAAAGTATCGCTGCCTCTGCACTAGGTATTCGAGGGGAGGTTGGAGGAGGAGGCGGCGGCGAGGGGACTCGGCGAACAAGAGGCGAGAGAAGCGAGCTTTACGACGGCAGACAGTAGACGGTACACAGATAGAGAGCGTCTTCAGCAGGAGACAAGACGAAAGGAAATGTTACAAGGTAAGGAATAGTATTAGTATACCTTGGTGTCAGGTGGGCACGGAAGCATTGCCATGATTACTGACCGTACCGTCGAAGATATACCGGCGAAATGCTGGCTTGGGTGCTGCTGGGTGCTGTCCTGGAGTATGGTAAGGACCGAGTGCGGATACAAACGAGGGTATCCTCGGCATCTCCCCAGCGCCCACAGTCCACAGTGCTACTAAGTGAATCCCGCCATTCTCTCCAGCCTGCGTCTCGGGCCAATTCCGGAGCGATTCCTCAGGGCCTAGGCCGCGACGATCACATGACCTGGACTTCCGCAGGCACTAGGCACGTGCTAGGTAAGGTACCTAGCACCTAGTCTGTAGTCTGCTGCCCGATTACTTATCGTGGACGTTATCGTGGACGAGTTGTAAAGCGGCATGATTTACCTCAACTTTAGGTATCACGTACTCCGTACTACGGAGTACTCGTCCGCTTCACGTCAGTTCTGTAAAGTTCCAAACGCCGCAGTCGACGACTCGACGGAGTACACGCCACACCCACACGCTATACGCCATACGCCACACACCACAGGCTCTGAGATAGGCGGGTGAATCGACTTCCATCTCGCCTCTCGTGATCCCCGCCAACCCTACCATCACCATTTCTCCAGATCCCAATCCCACATCCAACCTTGCAGTCGAGTCGACTCACCCTTCTTGACCCGTCCCAGTCCAGGAAACACAGACCCTTCAAACTCCCGTCCCGACATGTCGACCTCCGCACGACGCCGCTTGATGCGAGATTTCAAGGTACGCAACCAACACCAGGCCAATTTGTCTCGATGGCGCCTCCACAGCCTCGTTCTCCGGAACAGTATCTGTTCTCAGTGTACCCATTAGGACCATGCTAACTCAAAGACCAGCGTATGCAAACCGATCCTCCTGCTGGCGTCTCTGCCTCTCCGATCGCCGACAATGTCATGACCTGGTATGACGACCGTCCCGAGTCCCGAGTCCCTACCCATCCTATTCCGTTCCATTACCAGTGCCGTTTCAATTCGCTTTTCTATTCCCTGAATTAGCGCTTGTCTTTGTCATTCCCTAAATTAACGCTTTGTCTTTTCCCATTCTAGGAACGCCGTCATCATCGGTCCCGCGGACACGCCGTTCGAAGATGGAACATTCCGCCTCGTCATGCAGTTCGAGGAAGCCTATCCCAACAAACCGCCGGGTGTCAAGTTCGTGTCTCAAATGTTCCACCCTAACGTCTACGGCACGGGCGAGCTGTGCCTAGATATTCTACAGAACCGATGGTCACCTACCTACGATGTGGCCGCCATCCTCACCAGCATCCAGTCTCTGCTCAACGACCCCAACACTTCTTCGCCCGCCAATGTCGAAGCCTCCAATCTGTACAAGGACAACCGGAAAGAGTATACCAAGCGAGTACGGGAGACGGTGGAGAAAAGCTGGGAAGATTGAACATACCATAACTGATGTCTATGGGAGGATTGACCTCACCATAACTGAGGACTATTGGTTTCCAAACCTATCCACCACCCAGCGACATACTACTTTTTGTCAGGTCTTTGAGCGATTGCATCATGGCGCTGGAATGGACGGACGGACAGACCGGATGGCGTTTAGCTATCATACGGCTCGTATAGGAGTTTTGGATCGGATCGAGCGTTGGCAGCTACACACAATTAGTGGCCGTCGAGCGTTGATTAGCTACACACAATTCAGTGGTCATCGAAGGATGGTATTCTGCAGTGCCAGTGGCAGTCTTTGGCCTGGTCGAGGTGGACTTCTGGAAGTCAGGAGTGACTTTCTTGAATTAGTGGCCATCAGCATGGTATTGCTATTGCCATCCATTGCCATTACCATTACCATTGCCATTGCTTCGGACATTGCTTCGGACATTTTCAGGATTTCGGTTTCGCATTGGGCTTGTGTTTGTGTTTGCGAGGGAGGCATCTATCTATGGGCGCCTGCTGCAGACCACTAGGAAACCGTCAAACAGGACCCCATGCCTATCCCCATTCCCATCCCCAGGTACATCACATCGCATTACCTTGCATCACATAGCATCGTATCTCATCTCATCATGTCGGCAGTTTTCGGTTTTCGGTTTTCGCTGCTCGTATGACATGATGATAGCGAAGATAGAAGATATTGGCCGGCCTCATGCCTCTCTTGCAAGCTACTCGTACTTACTGGATGCCGTCTCACTTGTGAACCAATATCCTAATATGCTTTCTGCTGCCTCACTTGGGACCAATATCCTAATTTGCCTTCTGATAGCCGATCCCTGCTGGGACTTTATGAAAATGATTGGATCGAGTGAATGTCCTTCTAGGATACCTTGAAAATAAATCGAGTTAATATCCTCCTAGGATGGTGTAAATGAATCTGATTGAGTTGATGTCCTCCCAGGATGCTTTGCAGGTTTCCTTTTTTCCTGGTTCCCTGGTTCCCTGGTTCCCTGCTCTGCTGGATAATGTAATGTGCCAATACCTCCGAGTGCTTGTCATGTCTCTTCTCTTCTCTGGTCAAGTCAGATCGATCTCGTGGGGGAATACTATAGACGGAAGACGGTCTCGTCTGTCGATAGGCTGGCTGGCTGGCATCGTATAGATGGAAAACGGACCGGTCTCGTCCTGTCTTGTCCTTAGGCTGGCTGGCATCACATAGTGTATAGGATATGGTGTATAGTGTACGGAGTATAGTGTAATCAGCATGACTGCAACTTTCATGAGATATTGATCTGTTGATCTATGGATATATGTATGTGCATATGTAACATGTCTGCGTTATGTTTGCAATGAGATAGCTTCCCCTGGAATATTTAAAAAGAACTCGCTCCCGTCGCTGTCTTGGAAAAATTGTCAATCATCACGTCACATCACCTCTCACCTCTCACATCTCACATTTCACATCACCTCTCACATCACATCTCACATCTCACCTCCGGCGGTCATTAGCTAAGTCAGCGCTAAGCCAGCGCCCCCATAGGATCCCATAGCGGAAGAACCAGTGGCTCGGTCTGGAGCAGGTCCTTGATCTCCTTGGACACGAAGCCAGGATCCACGACGACCTGATAGACAAACTCGTCCATCCACTTGTCGGTCATGACAAAGTAACCCTTGTCGCCGGCGGCCTCGCCCCACGAGTTCATGACGCGCCAGCGGACGGGCTTACCACCCTCAACCTGCACGGCGGTGAGGACCATGGCGTGGGTCATGGCCGACTCGCGCACCTTCAGGCGCTGGCTCTTGCTCAGGTTCAGGCTGATGTTGAACGCCAGCCCGTAGTCGTACAAAGCCGGGTCCATGATGCCCGAGGTCGAGTTGGAGAACTTGCCCACGTCGCTGCCGAAGAAGACGGGCAGGCCGGCGCGCAGCATGGCGATGCTGGCCTTCTTGATCGTCGCCATGTCGACGTTGACGTAGGTGATGGGTCGACCCCCGATCACGTTGCCCAGCCGCTCCACCGTCAGGAGTTGGTTGTATGTGTTGCGCGGGTCGTTGACCAGACTGAACAGTTCGCTCACGTTGGCATTCAAGGCGCGCACCACGCTGGGGCTGGAGAGCTCGGCCGCGAACTCGAGTGGCGTCTTGACCACTTTGTTGTACTTGTCGTTGGCGTCGTAGTGTTCCCACGTGAATTTCTCGTCGGGTTTGGGCGGAGGTCCCAGCATCAGAGTCAGGATGCAGTGGACCTCTTGCATCATCTTGGCCTTTGCGCCGACGATGGACGATTTCTTGATCGACGCCGTGTTCACCATCGATCGCAGAACGACCGCATCTTCACGTAGCTTGGTGGTCAAGATCGAACTCATGGCCGATGAGTTCATGGCGTTGTATGAATCCGGGTAGAGTTTTTGAGGAACCTGAACATCACATCTCTGGTCAGGACACATGCTTCCCAATATTCTGTAATAGGTGCTGCCCCCAATATTCTGTAACAGGCGCTACCCGTCCAGAATAGACCTGACCTCGGGCTTGTGCTGTCACACCGGCACCGGCAATGCTACCTAAACATCTGGATGAGGGGGTGTGTACTCACCAATCCGTACTTGGCCACCAGGTTAGCCGCCATATCCCATTGACCGCCGTCGCTGACCGGGGCGCCGAGCAACTCTTGCACCAAACGGCTGTCCAAGTCCTGGTTGGCCGTGTCGATGATCTGCTCCAGGAACCAATTGGCCTTCTCGAGCTTGTCCCAGAAGAACAGGTATGCCTGGCTCAACTCGAACTCTTTCAAGTTGTGTTTCTTCATCACCGCCACGCGAAGCACATTGGTCGTGGCGAACAGCCAGCATCTGCCTGACGACCGTTGGTTCGTGACCGGGGTGCCCTCGAACGGGATCTTGACGTTGAACGTCTGTGTGTCCGTCAGGGTGGCCACTTTGTTCGACACCACCGAGCGGATGTCATTGGAGAGCAGGGCATTCAATGCCAGTCGGTTCTTCGGGTCGGCCAGCAGTTCTTTCTCCCATTCCTCCGCCGTCTTGACTGAGAGCGTAGGGTCCGCAGAGTATGCTTGCGGGATGCCCTTCTCCGCGTCGACGTGGATGTATTCCCTCTCCACCTCCAGCTGTCGGATCTTATCGCGCGTCCGGAGGTTCTGGAGTTGTTGCACGAGCATCTTCTCGACCGCGGCCGACTCGTTGGCCGCGCTGGAGGATTGTGAGTTGCCCATGCTGCGTGCACGCTGCTGATGGGATCTAGGGACCTAGGGACACTCCGATGATACCGATACCGATTCCGATGCTGCTACTGTCAACTACGACAGAGGCGATGCAGAGGACGAGATGACTGACTTGACTGCTTGCTCAGGGAGCCACGGCGGCTACAGGCGGGGGAGAGGAGAGGGAGATAACAACTGATAAGACAGACTCGGGGACCTGCCCCAGACCTGCCGACTCCGACTCCGATTCCGGATCGGGGCTTAGTGGCTTAGGAGCCTTGGGGTTTCAGCTCAGCCTTGGCCGTAGGATTAGGGGACGCCCCTAAGCCTTATCCTAGGCCTGAGGCCCCAATTTCCGCCGGTTCTCGGAGGTTGGTACAGAGGACACAGGAGAACCAGTAGGAGTAATGAAATCAATATCATTAAATGCCATGCCATGCATTATTGCTCTCTGCCATTCTAAGCTGGCTAACTGATCTGTCGCATTCCACCTGCAGCCAAAATCAAAGCATCCTGGCCTTCAAAATCAAACCAAATCAGATCAAAACATTGTGCTTTTGCTTGCTCAGAAGCCTTGGCCCCTCAAGTGCTTCCAAAGCCCGGGCTCGAGATCCTGTTGTTCGTTGCCGATTTGCATCTAGACCCCCCAGCCCCATGCCTGACTGGGAGGAGCCGGTTTCCCATCTGCCCAGAAAGCGTTGCCATTTTCATGGTCTTCAGGAGTCATTTCTCTGCCCCAGCCCTCATAGTCCTCGTCATCGTAGCATCCATCATAATCCCCCTCCCATCCAGCATACCCGTCATTGTCAATGTTTGCATCTCCGTGATCGTATCCGTAATCATCAGGTTTTCCTTGCATGCCATTTGCGTCCAGAGTCCTCCTAGTAGACTCGAGTGTGACCAGAATGGATTTCAGGGCCGACAAGATGCTGCTGGATTTGTAGATGACCTGATCGGAGGACCTTTCCACACCTTTCCCGCTGGCTGTTCCTGTTTTGCCGAACGTTTCCCACGACACTGGCTCTGGTGGTTGGGTGAGTGGCACGTCAAAGTCCGGTTGAGGTGGTACTGCTGGCCAGAGGATTGCTGGGTCTGATCTGAAAGTTGGGCCGGGCGAAGAGCATGGTTCCTTGAACGTCGGTGTGGGAGGCGGACACGGCAATGGGTCATCCCAGCCTAATTCCGCCGAAGCAAGATCAGTCTCATATTCCCAGCCTGATGTGACATTAGTCTGGTATTGTTGGACTCCCTCGGTCGTGGCTGGCTCGCGGGAAACGTGGTGTTGGTCAAGGTCGCTGATCGGGCAAGTCTGGAGAGGTTTCTCAAGAGCTTCGTTGGACAAGAAGGGACTTTTGAACACCGCCGCTGAATCATCGGCCAAAAAAGCTGCAAGATCCGCAGGAGGCATGATTCCATGCGAAGGGTCGAGAGGATGCACCACCAGATTCCGGCGGATGTTCTTCATCATGGCGTAGGCCAAGTTGGTGCCGAACCTCTCGTGTGCCTCAGGCAGAGGAGACCAAACCGGATTGGCCTTGGAGCGGAGCAACCAGTAGGCAACATGGCCCACGACGACTTCTTCCAGTAGCGGGCTGAGGCCACTGGTGAACAAGCTTGCAATGAATTCTGTGCTGGGGATCAGTGCAGATGTGGTGGAGAACAAGCCCTGGAGCTTTTCGACTGCGAGAATCTTGATTCTGCTCATGTCCAGTCGCTGTCCCATGCCATACACATTCCACCAGAACTCGTCCGTATGGCTGCTCGTCTCGTTGTTCATGTAGCAAGAGACACTCTCCGGCACACGGCCTGAATAAAGCCAGTCTTGCACAAGATGAAAGAGGCCAGGATCATCGTGTGGTAGAGTATACTGCTGGTCTCCAACTTGGACGAAGTCGGAGTTAAAGACATCATTGAAGAAGCCCGAGGAGGCGCAGAGTAGATTCTTGTGGATTAGAAACTTTTGCTTTTGTTTCCCAAGGATGAGGATGACAAACTCTGTGCCATAAGGAACCTGAGGTGGTTGAACAGCAGTCACTATGCCTCTATCCATGTTGAGCAAGGGGCGAGATCGACTGTCGATGAAAGAGGAGGAATGATCCGCGAGAAAATGCGAGGACAGGGGGGGTATATTTATACCACTTGTAGGCCCAAGGTCTGGAGTGAATGAACATGGGTGATGCGCGCAGACCGTAGTGACAATGATCGTTCTACCCCTGCACTGACAGGTGCACTGAGTTGGACATTGAAGTCACAATCATGTGAATAGAGCCGTGCTAGAATACAGCCTCTTGTCTCAGTTATGTAGTGAGTGAGGCTGTCATGTCACTGATCGGAATGCCCTGCCAACAGGCCAATGTCTAGAAATATGGTCAGCATTTGATATGATTGTTACTTCTGAATACGTACTTCACGTTGCCTTCCTTTGGGCTTAGAAAGAATGGCTGCACAGGTGAAGAAAAGATACCTTCACCCAATGTTGGGCTTACACATCACCAGCGCATGTCCACCTGGCTTGGGCCGCAAACCATTACTTTGACACATTTGTTCCTTCACGTCCTGACCAGACTTGACGAGGCTGGGCCTGACTCCGAGCCTGAGCCTTACTTGGTCAGGAGATTTAATGGACTGGAAGCGCTTATAGCGACTTTGTTGCCTCCCTGTTCTCCTATTGGTCTCGCTAAAGCTCTTCGTTGTCATTGCAGTGATACTCCTAATCGGTTTCGTCCACAGCTTGAAGATTTGAATTTCAAATGGCTGGGCTCCCATAGTTGACGATCAAACCAATGCCCCTGTTTCCGTTGCCTTCGTTTAGCTTGTAGAGGAGAAGGGAGACCCAGCGAAGCTAGGAGGCTACCATCTCCGAGTAGATCCCCCAAAGAGTTGCACATGCTAGTCACGCAGTCAGTTGCAAGGTGTCTAACGAATGCTGGAGTCAGACTTAGCGTACATAACTTCTTGGTGGTCCCGGACGAAAAAGCCTGGTCAGAAAGCCGGGCCTCCTTCTCCAATGCTTCCAAGTTGAATCCACCGCACTCGCAGAAATCCGGCACTGCGGAAGGATGAAGATACAATGGGTTGTCGGCACTGCGGATCTTTGCCAGGGCCATTTCGGTGCCAAACCGGTCGTAAATTGTGAAAAGAGCCGCCCACTCGTCCTTGGATGACTTGAAAAACCAATATGCGGCATGCTCCAACACGTGCATTTGTAATGCTAACGGCACCCCTTCACTGAACAAAGAATGTAAGAAGTCGCGGCTGGGGAGTGTGGCAGCTTTGTCTCCGAAGATCTCTCGGATTCGTTGAAAGCTGAGGAGCTGCAAGCCCGGAACCATCAGGCGATCGGCCATCAGGTAGACTTTGAGATAGTAGTCGTCCTTGAAATCTCGTTGCCGGCTGCGGACGAGCGAAGGGTATGTTGTATCAAGGTATCCACCAATGTAGAGCCACTCGACAAGAAAGGTAAACACATGCGCCAGTTCTTCTGGTAACCTGACCTCCTGCGTCTGGCCTTCAATGAATGGTCCTGCCAACGCGCGGTCGAAGAATTTGGACGCAGCACACAACAGGTCTCTGTGGACGGTGAACTCCTCCTGCTCAGATCCGACCAGGACTTTGACGATCTTGGTGCCTCGAGGGACCTGAGGGGGGTCGGTGAATCTACCTTTTAGTGGAGGATACATTGCTGCGAGAACTGAGGCCGAGGATGGGGGTTGCTGGAGGAGCGAGTAGTGTTTTCTGGAGAGAAGTAAAACAAGGGAATAATGCACCATGAACAGAGGAAGGGGGGTGTTTCGGAAGAGAAAAAGAGAAGACAGGCGAGAGTGAAGACCAGAAATGGGGGCCAAACAACCAGTCGCGCAGGCTCGCTTAAACACACTTTTATGGTGGTCTGTAGTGTGGCAAGCACTTCACATGAAAGGCGCCACCAAGGTCGACCTGCTTGATTCTCTCATATCACCACCCTTGCAGTTGAAGCAAGCACAGTGCACCTGGTGCCTAAACACTTTCAGTTATACCCTTTCGCCAATCCTTTTGAAATCCCGTCCGCGCATGAGTTGGAGAGGTGCCAGCTCGTCCTCCTAGTCGATGGCCGTCACCTGCGACCACAGTCCTCTCCTATACCAAACCGTCCGCCATCACATCAAGGATAGACCATCTGGTCAGGCGATGCGTAGGCTTGCTTCGTCTTAGGGTTTACGCCGGTGACCCTGACGATGGATTCCTTGTCTTCTTGGATCAACTGACAGCAAGCGCAACAGCAGGCTCCGCAGAAATCGCCACAGGTGCTGCCTTCAATCCCATACTTCTCCCGCATGTTTCGTCGATTGAGGCATTGCAGGATGCAGCTGCCGCCTATGCACATCAAGGCGTACCATGCGCAACACTTGGTGCGACTGTCAGAACCAATACGCGAGAGAGGGCGGTTCAGAGAAGTAGGCGAGGCACGAACAGCCATTGACATACCATTGCATTGCACCCACTGGAATCAAATTCACCGCGTTCACGTGCGTGTGTCTTGCCAAAGAGGACGCAGGGGCACCATGTTGCCATGCAGCCTTGCCCCCAGATTAGCGACCCTGTGGAATATTCTTGCCCGCTTCCTTCGACTTACAGGTGCTGCATGGTGAGCAGCAGTCGAAAAGGCCAAATGACCACTTTCCGACAGCTCCATGAGTCTGTCCTTGTGCATATGCATGTGCATTTACATATGGAGCAGCTCCATGAGGCTGTCCTTGTGCATGTCCTTGTGCATATGCATTTACATACGGAGCAGCTCCGTATTCCTGCTTCTCCGCCACCGCTGAATGTGGCATCATCTGTTGTTGCTGTGCCATAGCGACCCAACTGCAATGCAAGAAAGAAGGCAAGTTTGAAGGAGCAATAGACGATAGTGGAAAGAGTGAGACAGACAAAGTCTGAAGTACGGGCGAAATGGTGGGGTCTGTGGAGAATAACAAACGCTGAAGATCATATATGGAGCATGATCCTTTTATTCAGGAGAACACATGTTGGCCTGAGCTGAAATTATCGAGTCGGCTCCTTTCGTCATCGCCATGGAGTGAACCAAACTATCAACAGGATCAACAGGTTTATATCAGCGTTCTTACCTCGAAGCTCACAATGCAGTTCTTCGAGCACAAATATGTCCTTTGTTGATCCTAGAGCATGACACGGACCTACTCCTGTGTGGCGGGTCTAAGGCCACCCCCCAAGTAATGGGGCTAAAAGACCTTGGGGGCTGAAAGGATGACCTTGACTTCTCATAATAGAATTTCCTTTTCTGACCATGCAAAAGGGCGTTTGGGGATGCCCATGTTGCAGCGCCCTTTTGCAACGACTCTGGACATGTCTGATAACATATCCTAGCTCCTTAGTGGTAGTGTGGCAGGTGACCTCTGTCTTATGCCTTTCTTGAGCATCCCATCCAAGGTGGATGGGACCATCTACCAAGACCCAATAGGACGCGTGCAAGACCACTTGTTCGGATAATGGCCGCGTGCCCCGAGGAGGACGTGTCGCTTCATCAGAGATTATGCAGGTGTCTAAGACAGTGGACAGAGCAGGATATGGCGAGGTGTTCGCCGACCCGAATTGCTGCTGACCGGAATGATCAACCTTGATATCATGATCTTGTTTGTTGGGCCGAGCAGAATTCCGGGTCTGCGTTTCTCGCTTCTGGTAGCGATAAATTCGGCGCCGCCAGTCCATGTCGTCTTCGGCAAAGGAGACGTAAATGTTGCGCAAGTCGTTCGGCATTGGATGGCTTCAAGCAGCTTCGGTTCCGTTCTTTGCGTTCGCATTTGCCTTTTCACTTGCAACGGCCTGGGCGCGATCGAATTCAGTCCGCATTGTCTCTAATATCTTTTCAACCTTGGCTTCGCCCTCCTCACCCGGGAATCTGTCTTCTAGTTCTTCTATCACGATTGACAAGAGTTGCCGGTCATCGGGTTCTTGTACTTCATCGGCGGCATCCTCTTCATCGGCCTCAGCAGCTTCGCCGTTCTCTGCGTCTGCGCCAGGCCGTGAAATCTGATTCCGAGGAAGGCCCACTCCAAGGTTTATGAGCATGAATACTTCGGTTTTAGTCAGGCCAAATGCGCGCAATTTGGGGACTACCGCCTTGACGAAGTTTTCTGGTGGAGGAAAGTCTTCGATGTAGGGAACCGTTGTGGTGACATAGTGTTGGAACTAGATCACTAGGTCAGTCGGACTCCAATCAATCATAGAGAGAATATTTCAGACGTACATCTTCTCGCACACTCTGGTAATTCTTCAGATTCACGGGCTTGTACGATCCTATCTTCTTGGAAGGTTGCCGAGGAGGGTTGTTGGCAAGGAATCGGTGCACCTCGCTCGTTGTGAGAAGAGCCGACTGGGGGTCAAGGACCTGCAGAGTGCGTAGCATTAGCTTGTGCTCGTAAAGGCACTGGTGTGTCGGAATTGGCTGCGCGATCACTGACCTTCATGTTGAAGTTGGCTACTTCGGCGGGAGGGTGCGGTCGAGAAGCTGACGGGGGTAGCCTTTGTGACCATGAACAGTTGATCAAAAGGTCATACGACTAACCTAGCCATTGTAACGACCAAGAAGATATCAGGCACTGGGTGTTGAATGCTATTCACGTTGCGGGAGAAAATGACGAGAAGACAAGTTGAGAGAAATTCTGCCGGCAGAATCTGGCTCCGGGCGGTGTTGCGGGAGGTTGTGTCTGCTCCGTACAATCTTTAGGTACGACAGAACACTTTTTGTTGAACGAGCTGACGGTGTCGAGAGGGCTCACTGTTCAAGATAGCCGCTGCCTCGTACTCCATCAATATATATTACGTTATGTTGCAAGAACCGAGCATCAAGTTTATTACTGAGACGTCTAGTATTTGATTCAGCAATATGCTGCTCATATGTGACAGTGAGACTAGGCCAACACCATCATGCCATCCCACACCCTCCGTCGTCTGCGCAAGTACAGTACATTTTCTCGTGGACAACTGCTAGTCCAACAACGCCCGTCCCGACGCCATGCAGCAAAAAGAAACGCAAACCCCCCTGGGCTAAAGACGAAACGCCAACCAGTAACGTCGTAGCGCCTAAGCCTTTTCTTTCCGCTTCTTTTTCTTGTCTGGTTTGGACTGCTCGACGACCTCTTCTTCTGCCCGCTTTCGCTTCTTGCTGCCATCGACGTCGCCATTCGTGTTGGCTGCGGCAGCTTTCTCCGCCTTCTTCTTCGCCTTCTTGATCTCTTTCTTGGAGATGGCTACCGGCGTGCCGTCTTCTTGAAACTGAATCTCTCCCCGCTCAAGCTTTCTCTGATACCTCTCAACACTCAGGCCACATTTCGCCGCCAGGGCCTCAAGGCTGGCATCTTTCCCTCCTTCCTTAGCAAGCTTGCGTGCTTCTTTCTCCGCCCGTTTTCTCTGCTTCTCGGCCTTTTTGTCGGCACCGTCGGCTGTGCCACTGACGCCATTGGGTTTGGAGGGGGTGATAGCCGCAGCTTCATCTGAGTCTATCGGCTCATCGGGTTGGGACTCGGCCTCTTCGTCACCGTCTCCCATCTTGGCGTCTTCAGAGATCTCCTGGATGAGTTTCTTCTCCTTCTTCGACTTCTTCTCTTTCTTGGCTGGGGCCTCATTGCCGTCGAGGCCATCGGCGTCCGCATTGTACTTCCGGGCTTCTTTGATCTCCCATTTCTGTGGTTGCGCCGTCGTGGACACACCGTTAGGAGCAATGGCAATCCCTCGAGGTTTGAGCGGTTTGCCCTCCAAAGCTGCCAATTTGCGCTCGAGGTTGGCTCGCGCTTCCAGTCCAAGGGCGGCTTTCTCGTCCTCGGGAAGATTTGCCTCGTCATCACCCCAGTCTTGCAGCGCGTCAACCCTCAGTCCGAGCGCGGCCTTGGCAGCGAGTACTCTTGCCATTTTGCCCTTGTTCTTGCCAGACGCCTGGCCGATCAAAGAAGCATGATAGATTAGACCATACTTGGGAGTGTCGTGTTTTGTCTTGAGAGCTCGGAAAAGAGCCTTTTCGGCGCCCAGAATTTGGATGGTACTGGCGGGGCTTTTGGACAGATTCATCAAACTTCCGGCATGTGCAATTAGCCGAGCACCAACCAAGTCCCCAACCAGAGTGGTGAGGTTAGGAGCGATCGCCCGCATTCGTGCCGTCAGATAGCTAGCTAGTTGCGTCCTGTATTCTGTGAACTGGACAACCTGGTCGGCCAGACTCTGGATGTTTTCAAGATCTTCCTCCGTAATCTCCGTTCCCATAGACCTATCAGCGGCAGTCTTGACCGCAGCCTCGATCTCTTCTGGGAGGATTTCTGACAGATCGCTTTGTTCAAAGTTTGTACGCATTCCCATCTTGAGGACCACTTTGGCGTAGGCCAGATTGTCGTTCAAGATCTTTGCCAGTTCTGGAAAATGCCACCCGTACCATTCCTTCACTCTCATGGCATATGTGTTGAGTTCTTTGTCGAGGTCATCGAGGAGGCCGATCGCCTGCACAATCATAACATCGATCTTGTCGGGGGAGAACTTGAGCTTATGTCTTGCCAGTGAGTGCGAGAGACCTAACGACATTGTCTTGACATCTGCGGGCAGTAATCCTGGGATGAGGGACGGGAGGTGTTCTCGAATGGCTCGATAGAGGTCGGCGGTCGTGGAGTCGGCGATGGCTTTGATCTCAAGGCCCGGGATCTTGCCGATCGCGTTTCCTAGTTTCGGGTCTGCGACTGCGAGCGAGATTTTTTTCTCGTCCTTGAGGGTATTGAGCAGGGACGAGAGTTTCGGGGTGACTTTCCCCTCCACAATGGCAGCCGCCTCCTCGAGAGCTGCTGCGGCACTGTCGAATTTCTGGAACTCCTTCAGCTTGAGTATGGAGGTGACATTTTCCACGCTGCTCAGTTCAGAGGCTAGGTCGTCCCGCTTGAGGAGCTTCTTGTCCTTCGCCTTGAGCAGCGCATAGCCGGCGGACGTCTCGGTAAGGATAAGGAGCGTCATATTGATATTTGCGCCGAGCGCGCAGTAAGTGGGCGAACGTAAAGAATACTGATACTGGCCCAGGTATGGGAGGAACAATGTGCACTTTGCGTTCTCCAAAATTTCGAGCAGTTCACCTTTTTTCGGCCCACCGGCGCCAAGCCTGAAATGGGTAGCCTCTGCCAAGAGCCCATTCCCTTTGGAGGGGCTGGGTGTCGCTGCTTTTAAACGATGCCAGTGCTATCAAGATAAATCCCTACTCAAGGCGGACGGATATACTTACCATCCTTCCATTCTCTCCGAACCTAGGTACATGTCGGTACATGTCGGTACCTAGGCCAGGTTTCATGCCCGCAGTACATCGTACACATGACGGAATAGGCACTCTCCTTTGCCTGTCAGTGGGATCAAGTCGAAGTTGACCGGATTTTCTATCGTATGCTGTGAGTACTCTATCCAGTAGGCACTCATCACCCTTCCTCTAACGCCTATATACATAAAGTCATCCTATCCTACAATGTTTGCAGTCTCTACACAATTTTGCCTCAATCCATGCGCTCACCTCATTTGGCAGATATCCTGCTGCCAGAGTTATGCAAGATGCACCAATCTCTCCAATGACTTTCACAGCCATTGCTCTTGACCGATGACCGGTCCCTTGCCCGTGTCATGCTCGACGTTGATATGGAGGCCTTCAAGCAATTCGATCTCCACAGCTGGTGTCATTTCCGGCCCGAAGCTTTTAGTCAGTGCAACTATCGCCGTGCCGGCTCCTCCCCAGGCCAAAGTCGAAAAGAAGATGATGCGGTATGTGTGAACAGCAGCCCATTTGGCTCCATTCACGGCGGTCGAGAGTTGTTCCGAAGACAGTTCGCCCAGGACGGTTTTGTCCGAGGTAGAGGAAGTCAGAGCCGCGATTACCTTTGGGATGAGGACCGGGTTGACCCCAAGCGCCATCAATGGCATGGCAACGTGGCGAACAAGGTACCGGGGAATGGTGTTCTTCAGCATGGTAGGGAATATCAGCGCTCCGCCGGCATGGATGCACACCCGCAACCGGGCGTAGGTTGTGGTTGATGTTCCCAGGTAACGGTGAGGGACAAGCATGAAGACGGCAGCAAAGCCCACCAGCAGCCCTGTCCATGCCACATTGACCAAACATGCGAGCAGCGTTGAAGCTACCTTTGAATGAGGAGCTGGGAGAGGTGTCATGGTCAGCCAATGTCGCTTGTAGAGATTCCCAAGACCAAGGCAGGGCGATATGAGGTGGACTTACTGACCACCGCCTGCAGGGCGGTAAACGTGGTCAGCAGAGCTGACAGGCATGTTATGATCCAGTTGGACTGGTAGGCAAACCTCTGGAATATCCAGCCAAAGACTGGAGCCAGAAACACTCCGGCGATCATTGGTGCAGCGACCAACCAGCTCGCCTTGACAGGATCTCGTTCAAACAGCGTCTGCACCAGCACAGGCCACATGAACGCCCCTGTGGAGGCTATTAAGGTGACGGCGGCAGTTGGGATCAGGTTCAGGGTGTATCCCCGAAAGTTGCTCAATGCGGTGCTTGGGTACATTGGGTAATGAAGACGGTGGCGCATGAAATATTCCCACGGTCCCACGCCGCCGACCAGCAATACGGCCCCGGCGACTACGCACCCGAGGGCTCTTGAATCACGCCTGCACGCATGAGTCAATCACAGTCCGACCGCGGCAGAAGCTCACATACCATCCGAGGGTGTATTCGGCAAGTGACACACCGATGAGGGCCAGTGCGGTGCCGAAGCCTACCAAGGCACCCGAGACATAGTCGAGAGAAGCCAGTTGTTGCCAGGCAGTCTTGCCGACCTCGCGGACGTGCTGATCCAAAGGATGGTAAAAGAGATAGACGAGGATGAAGGAGAGGAAGTTCAAGGCCACTGGAATCCAGTACATCAGCCGCCAAGAACGGTAGGCGATGATGGTCGCACCTAATCAGGAAAGCTGTCAGCTATTGAACCAACCACGGTCGACTTGAAGGCCACGGCTCATCCGAACTGACCTATTACCGGTGCGAATCCTTCTGAAGGGGCCAGGGATGCCCAGAAACAACCAAACACGAGAGGTCGCCAGTTGCGAGGGAAGATTTCGGCCACCGCGGCCACCGACACTTGTTTGAACAAGATTCCAAATCCTGTGATGATTTCGGTGCCGTAGATTTGAGGAATCGAGTTCGCGTAGGTTGACGCGAGGTTTCCAAAGGTGCCGAAGACTGGCCCCAGCAAGAGGAACTGACGTCGACCGAAGATGTCGCTGACATAGCCGACGAACGGTGCAAAGGCAGTCCCCACCAGTTCAAGCATACACGCGATCCAGACGGCGTATGCATCGGGCCCTGCGTCTTGGGTCAGCGCGGTTCCCAGCAGAAGCGATGCTCACGGCTGGCCGAACCTAGCTTTTTATCAAGGTCGGTGTAGGTAGACCCGGTGAGTTGAGTGTTGAAAGAGTCTGCCAGATATCCCACGATGATTCCCTAGATGTCACATGGCTTCAGCTGGTCTGGTCCCTGACGCCTGCCATGCATGATCTGGACGCACCGAGATGGCCAGGAGTTTGTACCCGTTGAGGCGATACGGCTTCGCATCCACCGGCTTGAGCTCGTCCAGGCTCAGGGAGTCCGAGTCACTGCAGTCCTCGATATGTTCGGCAACCACGATTCTAGTCTTGGTCTGGGTCTGGGTCTGGGGCTTTTTCAGGCCCTCCAGTTGGAGCTCTTTCTCTAGGGCTTCTGACATTGTGCTTGGTGGTTCAACTCAGTGAAAGAATGATCAAGTCGGGCCAGCCTATTGGATCTTGAATCCTGAAAAGAAGGAGTACCGGGAGAGTCCGGGGGGAACTATGGTAACACCAGTATTGGGAGAATACGGGGATCAATGTGTATCACCTGAGGAGGCAGAGATTCTTATATGGTGGAATACTCCCTCCCAAGATCCAGTACCCCAGATCATGACCCGGGGTGCTGCTGTGGTGTTCGGAATCTAATTCTAGAGGAGGGTCGTGATGAGCAAGGAACAAGGCGACAGAAGTGTGAGAGAATGAGACGGGGCATCCGCTGTCGATCTCTACGTCTACATTGATGCAAAGCCAAAGCGGTAGGGAAGATGTGACTCCGTGGAGGATAGGTATTAGGAGGTACCCTCATTGAATGAGTATGAGTTGACATTGGTCGAGTGGATTGGGCAGTCTCCATACTGGGATGTGCACTGCAGGTACACTGCTGGTACACGGCTTTCCGCTCCCCTATGTCTTGCATCTTGACGGTCTCGGTTTGGTTAGCCTGCCGGAAACAAGGTGAGACGAAAGGCTCGACCTGGACAGGATATGCTGTTAAGCTTGGAGGATGGTGCTATGCTAGCTAGCTACATACCTGTCTAAAGGGCTAAGGGCTCAGGGCTTGGGGCTCAAGCTCAAGCTCAGGCTCAGGCTCAAGCTCAGGCTCAGGCTCAGGATCTCCTGGTGTAGCCGTAGCCGTAGCCAACCAGCGGCGGGCGTACCTGTCTATTCAGGCCCACTGGATTGCCGGATGCGGACGCGAGGCCCTGAATCTTGAATGGTGGAACAAATCCGGTCTTGAGAGGCTAGGAAGAGCACACCTGGTGACATGTCCTTCTGCACCTGCCTGGCTGGGCTACTGAGCAGGTGTACCACTACTCCTTTCTTTTCCGAACACCCGGACATGGGGCATGTTTCTCTGTCGACTTCCGGACCAGGGAGAACCCACTGTCGTATTCGACAAGTGGTCACGCGCCCTCCAGATCATAGGCGCGCTGATCTTCCGACTGGCTGAGATGTCGCCTTCGCCTGTAGGGGGGAGATGGAGGTGGGAGGGAGGAGGGGGGGAGGAAAGAGGAGACGAGGGGAGACCAGGATGTTCGGCTGGCTGGGTGAATCGAAAGTTCGGCCAGCTCGTTCCGCTCCGAATTGGGCAGTGCCGGTGCAGTGTCAGTGGATGCTGCGGCCGGAACGGCTTTGCCAGCGGCGAGGCCTGATCTACCGCCTGGCAGTGGGCGCTGGTGGCTGTAGCTCAGCATTGCTTCCTCTTCTGGGCCATGGCCACGTCTCTTGGTCCACGATGGAGGAGGCTGGCTCAATGGCGACAATGCTGCCCCGGGCGGCTTTACCCTGATCCATGCCCAGGTGCCTCTCGGCAGCTCAGCCGGCTTAGGCACTGGGAGCCGGACCTGCATTAAATCCCGGTTGTGTAGTTAAAAGTAGTGCGAGGGAGTGTCAGAAACAGAGACAAGCCTCTTCAGCTACACCTACAACCCCGTCGAACCCGTCTAACCAGTCTAGAGCCCTGCACGGCTGTGACATCAAAGCAGGCTTCGTGCCTCTGGATCCTGTCATCCTTCGGAAACTTGTGGTTCTCTGTCGACATCTTGCTTTTTTTGTTTTCTTCTTCTGACCATGGGCTCCATTCCTGAGCTACGAAAGCCAGCCGATCCGGGGAATCGAGCTATCGACGACTACCGCCCAATCAAGGTGATTTGCATTGGAGCCGGCATGAGCGGTATAACCGCGGGTTGCATGATTCCACATCAAGTCCCCAACGTGGAATTCGTCATCTACGAGAAAAATGAAGACGTCGGTGGAGGGTGGTACGAGAACCAGTGAGTGCTGAGCCTGCTGTGGCCCTGGTAGGATTCCCTGTTGGGGCTGACCCGATCCTCATTCAGCTATCCCGGATTGCAGCCTGGTAAGAGCAACCGCGGCCGCCGCCACCGTTCGGATGAATGGTGATGTTGATGGTGACTGTGACTGTGACTGATGCAACCCAGACTTGACGCCGCACACGTACCAGTACACGTTTGCCAGCAACCCTCGCTGGAGCCGGTTCTACCCTCCTGGCCCGGAATTTGAGAACTACCTGAAGGTGGTGGCCAAGAAATTCGGGGTCTACGATCGCACCAAGTTCCGCCACCAGCTGTTGACCGCGAGATGGATCGAGGATGACGGGCAGTGGGAGGTGGAGCTTCTCCGCCTGGACGACAACGTCGTAAGTCAAGTCAAGTTGTTTCACCTTGAGCATTCCATCCCCGGCCTTTCCCTCTACCGAGGATTAATCTCCGAGCAGGTTGTCAGAGACCGGGGTGAGGTTCTGATCAGATGCATGGGCCTGGTCAATGACTGGAAGTGGCCGGACATTCCAGGGCGACAAGACTACGAGGGCAAGATGATTCACACCGCCAGGTGGGACGACTCGTACGATGTGACGGGCAAGCGGGTGGCCGTCATCGGCTACGGTGCCACAGGCGTCCAGATCATGCCCGCCATCCAGCCCTTGGTGAAGTCGGTCGACCATTACGTGCGCGGTCCACTGTGGGTGGCCCCGGCTGGCGGAACTGCCATGGAGGAGATCATCGAACGGGGAGAGAGGCTGAACTGTACGTTTAATGTTCCGACGCACACGCACGCCATTGACCAGATCCAGTCGATCATCCGGCCGAGGAAATCGAGAAGTTCTCCCAGGAGCCACTCACCTACTTGCGTTACCGGAAAAGGATCGAACAGCTGTGCAACGGGTACCAGGCCGGGCTGCTGAAGGACACCGAAGCCAACGCACAGCTCCAAGCGCTGATCGAGGCCAACATGAAGGCTACGCTGGCGCCCAAACAGGGGTTCTTTGAACAGCTCAGACCTCCGTACCCAGCCGGCTGTCGCCGCTTGGTCATGGGCCAACGATGGATGGAAGCCCTGGTCAAGCCCAATGCTAATCTCATCCCAGGGGAGATCCGACGGTTTACAAAGGAGGGCATTGAGGACGCCGATGGCAACATCCGCAAGTACGATGCCATCATCTGTGCGACGGGGTTTGACACGTAAGTGAGCCCAGCCCCGAGACCCAAGGCTTGAGGATTGAGGATCCCGACGTGGCTGGCACTGGTACTGACATGTTCAAGGAAACTCGACAATGCAAAGACACCCATTCTCGGCCAAGGCGGCATCACTCTGGCCGAAGTTTGGGATCCAGAACCGGTGGCATACCTGTCTCTGGGACTGGCGAAAATGCCCAACATGTTCCAGATCTTCGGGCCCAACTCGGCCCCGGTGGCAGGATCGATTTGCCATACCATGGAGGGTGCTTGTGGCTACATTGTCAAGTGTATCACGAAGCTCCAGCAAGAGTACCTCAAGTCGATGGTAGTTAGGTGAGTTTGCTTGTGGCTGTGGTTGTGGTTGTGGTTGTCCTGGTGGTTGTGCTTTCGCCTGGAAACATGAAGGAGTTTCGGGAACCCTCCTTACCTTGTCCTTGTCTTGGACCTAGACCCTTACTGATGACTGCCATCACAGCCCACGCGCACTACAAGATTGGATGAACCATGTCGACTATTGGACCAGTAAGACGGTGCTGTCGGGAACGGTGAGTTTGTTTCTGTTGTGTTTCGGTTTTCGGATTCGGATTCGGATTCGGATTCTGTTTTCGGATTGGCAATCATCATCATCATCACCATCACCATCAATCATCCTGTTCTAACCCGACCAATCCATCCTGGATGATCATTCCCATTCTTTTCTGACCCAACCATCCTGGATGATCATTCCCATTCCTTTCTGACCCTCCATACTGGATAATAGTGCCGGACGTGGTTCAAGCGAAACATCGAGAACGGCCGGTCCATCATCAATTGGCCCGGGTCGGCCATGAACGCCTACCATGCATGGCGCAATCCTCGCTGGGAGGACTGGGAGTACGAGTCGTGGCTGCCCGAAGGCCAATCCCTTCGCTGGATAGGCAACGGCATGACCCACGCTGAACAGCACGGAACCGACACTACCGACTACATGTCCTTTGCTGACCCCAAGACCGTTCTTACCGATGAGGACTTCAAGGCGGTCGAGGGTGAGTGTAAGGGTGTTCCAATCAGTTCAACAGTGGTTTAGGCAGGGCTATTCCATTGGTGCAAGGGATTAGTTAGGGCTATTCCATCAGTACAAGGCTATTCCAATCAGCTCAAGAGTAGTTGACTACGAATGCCAAACACATATAGCTATAGATGAAGATATGGTATGATATGATATAGGATATAGGATGGAATGGGATATAATGGAATGATTGACTTGTGCTGCGTATTCTAAGAGGCCCACCTCCTCGACTGAGTCTGAAAGTCGATCATGATAGCTAATTACTTATTCTCTTGTGTATAGAGGGATGGAAGGATGCGGATATACTACTACTGCTGCTGCTGATGTTACTATTACTGCTACTACTACTACTGGTGCTGGTGCTATTACTGCTGCTGCTACTGTCACGGTTGACCTAAACCGAACCGTTATACCACGATGGTCTCCAAAAAGGACAAAGTAACTAATTCACTCGTGAAGTAGCCACTTCGTGTATATAACTGTCACAGAGCTACTGCTACTGCTGCTGCTGTCCCGGGTAATGAATGGTTGATTGATTGACATAGACAATTGGAATTAGAATTTGAATTGTCGGTCTTTGCCTATTACCGCTAGATCTCTAGATATTTTTCCTATCCTCTATTATATATGTATACAGTACAAATACATACAGTATATATATACTGGTATAGCTGATACTAGATGGATGGATATATCATGCTGTTCCTATATATATGGCTATTATGTTGCGTTGCGTTGCGTTGCGTTGCGTTGCGTTGCGTTGCGTTGCGTTGCGTTGCGTTGCGTTGTGCAGTGTAGTATAGTATAGTATAGTACGTTGAGTTTCGATATATTGCGAGGATATTTGCCGGCCAGTTCTAGTTCTACTATTGTTAAGTGAAGCTCGTGTCTATTTGTCTTGCCGGTTCTATTATAGTCAAGTAAATCTCGTGTCTGTTTGCCTTGCCGTTCTACTACAGTTAAGTAAAGCTCGTGTCGACGTCCTGAAAACAGTAGAAATAGAGAGTTACCCAGCTACCTGCATATGCAGTTGTGAATCCTCTCTGTCGAGAAGACAGAAGCTAAAGTAGAATCAATCTCGGGATGGGTGTATGAACATGAAAGAACTAGCAGCAGCAGGGGCAGGACATTACATTACAAGAGGAGTCTGCTCTGTGTGTGCGTTGATTGAATTGAATATCTATTCATCATACGTACTGTCAGGACACAGAACCGGATACGGATGCTATTTCCGCCAAAATCATAGCCCATGCATGATTGATCGATCAAATATTCACTCACTGTCCCTCCTGCAGTGCTCTGATGAGCGGGCCGGAGTCCTGAGTTGCGATGCGTGTTAGCGGTCTCTCACAAACACATAAACAGAGGGAGGGAGAGAGGGAGAAGGGGGAAGAGAGAGAGAGAGAGAGGTCCAAAGCTAAAGAAGCTTAAGAAACACAATAGAAACCTTCTCTCACTCTGTGGAGGCTTAAGAAGTACAACACAACCCTCTCTCTGTGGAGGCAAGAAACACCATACACAAGTCTGCATGCAATAATAGTAACTTGACGCAAAATACAACATATAAAGTAACAGTAATAGACTTGCGAAACAACATATAACGAATACATACCCCCCAGGCCTGAAAGAGCTTCATTCTCAGCTCCCCATACGGCGCATTCACATCCTCGAAGACGATTCGACTGATGAAATTCCCTTGTAGGGTTTTGCCGTTGATGAGGCCCATGTCAGCCAGTCCGATCGTCAAGAGATCCGAAGCGTCTTCTTTGCAGGTGTAGACTTTGAGGTATCGGTGGGCTCTGGATGTCACCACTTTCCACGCTGCGATGCGGGAGATTTTGATTTCTGGGGAAGAAGCATAGATCAAGTCAGCACAGTATCACACTTTTGTCGTCCTAGTACCAGTATGACACTTTTCTCGTCCAGCTACTTCTCTTGTCTTTAGTACCGGTATCACACTTCTTTTGTCACGCCTCTAGTACAATACCATCCTGTTCCATCCTGATCTAATATCACAATCACACCTTGATCAAAAAGACCCACGCCTACCTTCGGTGCCCACATATGTTCCACCTGTTATGGTAAAGCTTGCAGTGGGCGTGAAGAAGTCGGCTGCCAGCCTCTCGCCCGCGTCCGGGGTGTTGTTGTCCATGACGATGAAAAACTCGTCGATGAACTTCTTGACTGCGTCGGGCACGGGAGTCGTCGGCCACTCGGTCTGTGAGGTGGCAAGGTCAAGGCCGGACATGGTTGAGATGGAGATGGAGATGGAGGTGGAAATGTGGGATTCGGATTCGAAATGGATGGACAGTCGGTAGCTGTATCCGTGCAGAGAGAGACCCTGGAATGGATGGATGTCGATGGGAGATGGAATCTGTACAAAGAGATGCACAAGCTGGATATGGACTCCGTCTGCACTGACGGCTGCGGCTGCGGCTGCTTGGAAGTGGAAGGGGAAGGGCTGTGAGTTACAGTGTGTTGTGTGCGATGTGCGGTGTGCGGTGTGCGGTGTGTTGTCGCTTGAGGCTACAGTATTTATGCCTGCCGATGCCGACTGACAAAAGTCTTGTACAGATGGTAGATGGATGGACGTCCCCCGGGTAAGCTTGGTGCAAGCCTAACTCAGGTCCAGGTCCGAGTGTGAGATCATCTTAGCATCGACCCTAACTCTAACTCTGAAAACACTTCCCATTTGAGAATGTATAGTGGTATTATTGTAGACACTGTAGCCACTACTGCCCTGGAATCCCGTACTTACTGTACAGTGTGGCTTGAACTTGCAACCCAGACCGACAGTACGCAGTGCAGCCCTGGATGCGTCTGGCCGGGCCGTTCACTATACTTTGCTGCACTATACCACACTGCACACACTGCACTACACTAGACCAGACCATACCACACCACACCACGGACCACACTCAATCGAGTACATACCATAGTGCATACTGTACACTGAACATAAGTGGTCGGCTGTTACCTCATCAATGACTGGCCCGCATCGGCATCACGGGCGGCCTGGAGGACAAGGATCGGGATCGGGACGGAACTCTCGACGCGTGGAAAGATGCGAGAGACAAGGACGAGCACGAGGGAAAAGTCGAGGACGAGTGACAACGGACGCACTGGAAGGGCAAGGACAGTCCCAGTCCGGATAAACTCCCTGCATAATATGCCGCAGGAATCTCACGAGGCTGCGGCCTAACGGCATCGGCTGTGGCAGTGGGCACTTTCCCCGCCTCCAGTCCCTCCACCTACTGTACCTCCACAACACTACCTAGCTAAGTATGGAGTATGAAGTATGGAGTATGGAGTATGGAGTACTACTAACTACACTGAGATACTACTGCACCAGACACTAGACGGCACGACTTCCCTGAATCTAGCCTGGCCTATGTACCGTGGCTGTCTCGACCCTCAGAAGGCCTCACTTGACCGCGTGTCTCGGTGATCCGGGTTCGTTTTGTTTCCAGACTTCACACTTCAACCCGCTCGCCGTCTTCCTCTCCCTCCGCCCCTGCCACTGCCGCGCTCAAGGAAAGAAGTTCTACGTTGACCATGCACACCTTGAACGAGAAAGGTTGATGCCGGGGAGTTCATTCCGCTCCGAATTTGGACTGGGAGCATATCCATGCCCAACTTCACACCCACATCCACATCCCCATCCACCGTGCTTGTCGTTGTCCTTATCCACACCCCCAACCAACACAGTCATACAGGAAAAGGACGGTTTCGAAACAATTGCAATGGCAGCCACAGGCGCAGCCACAGAATCCCAATCCAAATACGACGGTGAGTACGATGTCATCGTTGCCGGGTCCGGAGTGGGCGGACTCGCGGCCGCCATCACGGCCGCTGAGCGAGGGGCACGCGTGCTCGTACTGGAGAAGCTCGATCAACTGGGCGGCGTAACCGCACTGTCATCAGGCGTGTTGTGGCCAGGACCCAATCCGGTTTCGGAGAACGCGGGCTTCCACGACACAGCGGACGAGGCTCAAGCATACATGGACACGCTCTCGCGCGGCTTGGCCAAGGACGACCTGAGGCTGAGCTATCTCGCCGGCGGCCGCGAGGCCATCCAGTACTTCACGGACAAGATTGGGGTGGAATTGCAGGTCATCGCCGGCGTGCCCGACTATTACTACCCGTCCGTCCAGGGGTCGAAGCCAGACGGCCGCTTCCTCGAAGGCAAGCCTTTTGCTGCCAGCCGCCTGGGAGACTGGGCGAGCAAGGTGCTCACCTCGCCGCACGGGCCCTCGTTCAGCTACGTGACGGGTAGCGAGTGGGCGGCGTCGCAGACGGGCCAGGAGAACTTTAACATCGTGCAAGTCGTCACCCAGCACGTCCAGCAAGATGAACGCTGTGGTGGCGCCGGGCTGTCGGCAGCCTTTGTCTACGCCGCGCTCCAGCACCACGTCGAGTTTCGAACCTCGACCGCCCTGGCCGACTTGATCGTCGAAGACGGAAGAGTGGTGGGAGTGGTGGCCGAGCCACAGGGACAGGAAAGCAACGGCGACAGCGACAACAAAGCAACCAACCCACTCCCACTTCGGTTGCGAGCGCGTCGCGGCGTGATTCTGGCCGTGGGCGGGTACGACTGGCGAAAAGACCTGATGCAGGCATTCGACGGACTCAAGGAGCAGGACATGACGACCATGACGCCGCCCAGCATCACGGCCGACCACCTGGTGGTGGCGGCCAAGGTGGGAGCGATCCCGATCCCGGCCCGTCTCCCCGGCCAATCGCCCATCTTTGTCGGCTACCGCGTGCCGGGCGAGGTGGTGTTCGGCCACGCGTCGTCGCGGCTGTTGCTGGCGGGCTCGCCGCATAGCATCATCGTGAACCGCCACGGCCGGCGCTTTGCCAACGACGCCTTCTACGCCGACGTGGTGCAGCAGGTGACGCGCTACGACGGTGGTGGCGGCGTCGACGGCGGCGGGCTGGGCTCCAGCGGCGATTCCAAGGCCAAGCCCAAGTCCAACTCCCTGCTCCACTGGCCCGCCTGGCTCGTCTTCGACCAGCGCATGCTCGACAAGTATGGCCTGGCTCCCAGCGCGCCGGGCCAGCCGCTGCCTGCCGGCCTGGCCATCCAAGCCGACAGCCTGGCGGAGCTAGCCGAGCGCGCCGGCATCGATCCCGCCGGTCTGACGGCCACGGTGCAGCGCTACAACGGGTTCTGCGAGAACGGCACCGACCCCGACTTTGGCCGCGGCACCTACCCGTGGTCGGCGCTCATGGTGGGCGACTACCGGCTGAAGAACGCCAACATGGCCGACCTGGCCCAGGCTCCCTTCTACGCCGTCCCGTTGGTGCACGTGTCGCTCGGAATCGGCACCGCCGGCCTGCCCATCGATCGCGACGGCCGCGTCTTGACCCCGGTCAGTAAGCCGGTTCCGGGGCTGTATGCCACAGGGAACTCGACCGCCTGGCAGGACTGGGGGGGCGGCTATACGAGTGGCGTGGCTGCCATGCGTGGAATGATCTATGGTCATCGAGCGGCGTTGCAGATGACAAAGGATAAGGATGCGGATGTCTCGTCGAAGCTATAGCTACAGCTACAGCTACAGTATGAGAAGTGATTAGTACTAGCTAGCCAGCTGGGTGACCCTAGGCTGAGCCTGTGTGTGTCAGTAATGTACGTACAGTATGTACCATCAAATACTTGCTGTCAAAGTGCATTCAGGTTGAACGTATGTACTATTAAATACTTACTGTCAAGGTGTATTTGTCAAAAGTTGAAATGTTCCATGTTCGCTATCAACGGGGTATGGGGGGAGCCCAGACTATATAGGTGTGTCCATACCAGCCTTCTGGTTAAAGGACAAGGCTGGGAATGCCTAAGTCAGTGCCTGAGCTTCACATAAATACTTACTGTCAAAGTATATTTAGGGTGAACACACCATGTGTACTATTAAACACTATCAGGGTGTATTTATTGAACCGCGTCCGTTGGAGGTTAGGAACGAGCCAATATATTAACTCAACTGTCCTGTTCGGCCTTACAGTATCATGCTACAACTTATAAGGGGTTCCGGCAGCAGTATAAGGAAGTCATTTAGGCGGAGGGAGAGGGGGAGGGAGAGGGAGGGAGATGATCCAGCATAGGCTACTATAGCTACCTACCTATATTCAGTAGTATATCCATGACCATGACCATGATAATTCAGTATAGGCTACCTTGGCAATTGTAGCTACCTGCCTATATTCAGCCATGACCATGACCAGCATAGTATAGCATACCATAGCACTCTGACCTTGGTAGCATGTACTCCAACCCCTATGGCTTATAGGAAGTGGACCTTGTTTGCAATCTTGCCAATCTTCTCAAACTCCACCTCGCATACCGACCCGTCAGGCACGCCATGTGTCTTGCCCTGGTCGGTGAACCACTGGCCACCGCCACAAGTTCCCGTGAATGCTACTGTGCCAGGTTGAACGGTGGTTCCTGTGATGAGAAGGAAGGTTAGTCTTGGTTGCTCACACTACATGACACAATGGCACGAGGAGAAGGAGAACAGAGGAAGAGGAAGAGGAAGAGGAAGAGAAAGACATGGCTGGTGCTCACACCACATAACACAATGACAGGAGGAGGAGGGAACAGAAGAAGAAGAAGAAGAAGAAGAAAGAAAAAACTCACCCGTTGCCATGGACGCCACCAGCTCCGCCACATTGAAAGTCATGTTCTTAGTATTGTCCTGCTGAACCACTTTGCCATCCACCCTCGTGTACAATTCAATCTGGGGCGGCACTCCCAGCACGTCGGCACTGACCAAGACCGGACCGATCGGGGTGAACTTGTCGAACCCTTTGGACCAGATGTAATTCATGGCGCCGAGCTTGGGACCCGGACGAGGCGACAGGTCGTTGCCCACGGTGTATCCGATGATCTGCTTCTTGGCCTCCTCGACCGTCACATCTTTGAAGGGCTCGTACCCCACCAGGATGATCAGTTCGCCTTCATAGTCCAGCGAGTCTTGCTGTACAGGGTGGACGTCGATGGTGGCGTAGGGGCCGGCCAGACAGCCGGCGGGTCGCCAGAAGAGATATGGGCGAGGAGGGGGGAGATTCTGTCAATCATTAATCAGTAAATTAGTCAATTTGTGAATCAATCAATCACGACGGTCCAAGACTGAACAAGACTTGAACTTAAATCTGAACAAGGACTAAACAAGAACTTGAACAAGACTTGAACAAGAACAGAACAAGGACTTGAACTTGAACCTGAGCAAGCCCCTAAACAAAACAAAAAACAAAAACAGGAACCTGAACAAAACCAAGACCAAGATCAAAATCAAGACCAAGATCAAGAACTGGACCTGAACCTGTACTTGAACCTGAACAAACCCTGAACAAAAAGAGACAAGAACATGAACAAGAACATGAACAAGAACATGAACAAGAACAAGAATTGAACAAGAACTGAACAAGAACCGAAACAAACCCTGAACAAAACATGAACATAAAATCTTACCCACCTTATATCCAACCTCGGTAGCCTCCTCCACGTGAGCCTTATAGTTCAAGCCAGTCTGATAAACAATCGGCACATCAGCCACGGGCGGCAACAAGTCCTTCTTGTCCACAGTCACAATCTCGTCGGTCAACTTGATGTCGCGACGGACCGGATTCCCCGTGGCGATGTTGACTTTGATCTGGTCGTCGAGTTCTCCGTTCTCTTTGGGCTCGACCAGCTGGGCGAAAGTGGGCGAGCCTTTGTGGTCGAAACGGACGAGGTGAGTCCAGGACATGATTGCAATAGAACCAACGTTGATCTAGAAGAAGGTAGGATGAGGATGGACGACTTTGAAGATGAGGATGAAGGTAAAATGAGGATGATTGGCCAATTGAATCAACGTTGGATCCCGAGGAAGATGAGGATGACTATGAGGATGTCTGATGTCTCAGGATAACTGAACTGTAACCCTAACCTTTCAGTGGTGTGATGTAGTCAAGTATATATAAATATACTCGGCGGGTGTGTGTGTTGTAATTAGGTCGACTCCTAGACCGTAGACTAGAACACAGTACGTTTTTATTCCTCGAGTCTTCCTCACGATCATCCGTGGGTACTCGTACTCGGGTAAACACTTGACCTGGCATCCCGACTCGCTATGTAAATATGTATGTACATATGTATGTACACAGTCTAGACTCTGTATGTTCTGACCCCTCCCCTTTCCCCTCACTCACGTCAGTGCAAGTGTACTATGATTTGATTTGCTGTAATTGTGATTGCGGAGAGGATAACTCTGTGATGGTATGAGGGCGGGTATAATTCTAGTGATAGTATGAGAGCAGGTATAATTCTGGGATAGTATAAGAGCAGGTATTATGTACTCATAAATTCATAGTGCTTCGACATTGCAAGCATGAACATAACAACATGTGGGGACACAGCCGTTGTCTTGTTCGGTAAGTAATTGAATGTCTTGGTCCGGCCGCGGATGTGCAGAGGAGAGGGAGGGGTGAATGTATGTAGATGTATGTAGATGCCACCCTTTCGGATCACAACATATCGTCTTCTGTATCGCTCTCGGATCATGACATATCATGTTCTGTATTGCGCTTTCGGACCATGACATATCATGTTCTGCATTGTTGCTCTCGGATCATGATATGTCATCTTCTGTATTGTCTCTCGGGCGACGGAAGAGAAGGGAGGGCGGCAAAATCATGGGTCATATGTTCCAGATGGACCAGAAGCAGGCTCTAGGCTCTCAGCTCTCCGAGCCACATCCACGCCCACACTTCCTGATCAGTGAGCTCTGGTACTGGATTCCCCATAATGGTGTACCATATGTCGATTCCCCTACCTGCTGTACCATATGTCGATGTAGTGACCACAAAAGTACCCATCCGTCGTTGGTGGTGACTTGGGGTGGAATCATGGATCGTGGAGCTGAATGGTTATTCATTCTTCAGAATCGAGATATAACAAGGACGTGCGGTTGACTCTATCTCTGTCTCTGGGCAAGACCGGCTGACCTGGTGAGATAGCATGTAGTCATGTAGTCATGTAGTCACTCAGCACAGTATGTACATGTCCTTGGATTGATGTCATTCAGTACGTGTACATGTCCTTGGATTGACGTCTCATTGCTGTCCATCGTCAACTAGCTTCAGTATCCCCCAAAATCGAGATCGAGATCGAGACCGAAAAACCTCAGTAATGTGTACGCCTAGCCCTACACCCTAAACTGAAATGAAATGTCGCACCATCAAACCCAGATGTACGAGGAGCTGATGGTATTGAACATCTCCCACTCTCCCAACTTCCTGCCCGGATCGTAACCACCAGCCGCGGCAGTGACCAGAAACGGGGTGAAGTGTTCGTCATTTCCAATGGGCTGCACGGCCTCAGAGTCAGGAAACGACCGCCACTTGCTCAGGCCGTCGAGTCGCTTGTTGAGGTCCTGCTGCGTGGCCACCTCCTCCAGCTTAGACTCGAAGGCTCGATTGTTCGGCGGCAGCTTGGCTCCCTTGACGTTCATGATGGGCTCGATGATGGCCGGGAAGTTGTGGTAGGTGTGGCCGCTGCCGAGGATGGCCCAGCCTTCGTCGCGGAAGGGCTCGAGCGCCTTGCCCAGGGCGAAGGATTTGGAAATCACCGTCTCAGGATCGCCGCGTGGGATCGAGACTTGAATCACGGGGAGGTCGGCCTGCGGTCGGGTCAGCATCAGTGGTGTCCAGACGCCGTGGTCCCAGCCGCGTTCCTCGTCCAACTCGGCCTCCAGGCCCTGCTTCTCCGCACTCTCCTTGATGCGACGTGCCAGCTCTGGGTCGCCGGGGGCGTCGTAGACGATCTCCCACGCTTCCTTGGGCAGTGGCTCGCCCGGAACGGGGAAGTAGTCGCAGTAGATAGGTGGCTTGGCCGCCGATGAGATGTATGTCTTTTCCGCCTCCCAGTGTGCCGTCACCACAATCACCCCTTTGCAGCCGTCCAGCACCCAAGCCGTCTCCTTGCAGAGGTCAATCAGGGGCTGTTGATGGGGCACGCGCAAAATCGCCAGAGGTCCCGCTCCATGAGACACAAAGAAGCAAGGAGCACGTTTTGATTTGGGGGTTTCTTTAATTGCCATGGTGGTGGTGTAGAATCCGATGTCGATGTCAGTGTCGGTATTGAATCCGATATCGATGGATGTCAGCGTCAATGTCAATGCCTGTAGCCTCTCACTGATGGACGTGGTGGACGTGATGAAAAATGAGGAGAGGAGGGGAGTTGAGCGTACAAGAAATCCCTCCACTTGCCGGGTCATGTTTATACTGTCGCAGGTCTCGTCTAAACGGCGAATCCTTCCGATCCAGATCAGCTCGTACTGCCAGTGTAACATGTCTGGTGACTCTGGTCTTGATTTTGGTCTTGTCGGATCGCTGGTTTAACCGACGAGCCTGGCCCTGCCTTCCGGGTTACAACAAAACGAGACTTCTCCGGGACGGCGACCCCGCAAAGTGCGTCTGGGCCCATGATGATGAGGGACTGTGTGATACGACACTTTGCATGAGGGACTGTACTGTGTGTTACGAGACTTCACTTCCCGAATCTAGACCTGAGCTCTGGTGGTCTGATGGCATATGGCAATATATGGACCGGTCAATATTGGGGCCTGCGTACTGTCTTTGACCCTAGGGTGCCTACATAGGTAGGTACCTACCTGTACTGTACCTCAATCCTAAGTTTCTGTGGATCATACAGCATCTCGATCTTGGTGACTGTGACGGTTGGGGTGCTTGCCCTTGTACATATGTTGTGCCTGGTTCAATGGTGGAGGCTTAGGTTCCTGAACCGAGCATCAGCCTAAGGGTGGGTGTCAAAATACCGGGCGGGTTGTCTCCAACCTTAGCCTTTCCCTCCAGGCTTATGCCCCAAGGGGCTCCGGCTCCCCATCTTGGGGAACTTGCACGATCTACCATCCCCGGAGCCAGAGAAGGGGAGTTCTGTGCCAAGCATAAGACATTCCAGTATTGCCTAAGGCTACCAGGCTGGTCTGTCAAACTTACAGTAGCACTAACTTGGGCATTCCCAGCCTTGCCCTTTAACCAGAAGACTGGTGTAGGGACGCCTATATTGACTGGCTCCCCTAAACCACTTTGATAGGGAACATGGAACATTTCACCATTTGACATGGTCAGTGCCACACCACTCACTACATCACTGGTTCTGCCCCACGCTCCTCAATCCACAGTATATATGTAGATCTTACTGCCACTACCATAGCCTATTCTGCTCGAGTGAGTGAGTGAGTCAGTGGGTTGGAGACCACTATTATATTTGTATTGTAGGCTACATACAGTACAATCATGGTGCCCACAGTCCAGCCCAGCTGTCAGTCCCATCAATAACATTGAAAGTAAAAGTCATAGTCATAGTCGCCTTCGCCGTCGCCCTCATTCGCCCTCTTTCTCGCTCTTGCTTCCTCTCTGGCTTTCGCTCTTGCTTCCTCTCTGGCTTTCGCTCTTGCTTCCGCTCTGGCTTCCGCTCGTCCATACTCATTCCGACCAAGGCCAAACCTGTCCAGCAAAGTCTTCCAGGTCCTGCAGAAAAACATCCGGCCGTTCCAACGCGGCAAAGTGGCCTCCTTCGGTGTGGATTCTACTCCAAACCAAATTGCCCGTGGTTCGCACCCACGAGATGGGCGCGGGTAGAATCTCGTACGGGAAGAACGAGAAGCCCAGCGGCTTGGGGACGAAGTACTCTGGCAGGTCGTGGTACAGGACCTGTAGCGTGTCGCGGTATGGGTAGATACAGCGGGCGATGGTCTTGGTGAACCAGTAGACTGAGGCGGCATCGAGGATCACCGAGAGGGAGGGGGTTTGGTCGCTCCAACTCAAGTACTTTTCACCTATCCTGTCGCCCCAAGGGGTTGGGTTAGTCAGTGTGTATTTAGTCTGGCCATGGTATATATCTAGCCAAGCTGTGTGTGTGTGTGTGTGTGTGAGAGAGAGAGAGAGAGAGAGAGAGAGTGAGGGGAGGGGGGAGTGTGTGTGCCACCATAGCGTATGTCTACGTAGGCCATATATACATGACACATGGAGCAGGGTAGGAGTGCATATATAACACATAGAGTAAGGTGGAGGAAGATGGGGTATCATGGTGAGATGGAAGAAGAGGAAAGAGTATCGTGGTATTGGGAAAGAAAAGAGAAACACTGCCGCTGCACTGTCGCGCCATGGACATAGACATGTTTCCTGTACTCGACACAAAACAACTCACCAACTCAGTAATGCGACGGGGTTGGTAGACAGTACGAACCCAATCGTGGCCGGCCGGGTGGCTTGTTCCAGCGCGTACGCAAAGTTAGTCATACTGAACAAGCCGGTTCGGTCCAGCGCGGCCTGTTCGATCTCACTCAGACTCAGACTCGGAGGGTCATTCGATGTTTCTGGGCTTGCCGGTGTCGGGTTCGAGTTGGGCCGGGGATTCTGCGGTTGCGGCTGTTGCATGCCACAAAAGTTCACTGGCGCAGTGATTCAAAAGTGTCAGCTGAACATCGGAGATCAAATGCACAGTAGGCAAATTGGTGCTGGGAATGGTGGGTGTCGTGCCATTGTATCCTAGTCATGTATGGCATGGCGTAGCCCCAGGCCTTATGGAAACTGGACTTACAGTGCACGGCCTTGCATGCTTCATACTTGGACCCCAGGATTCTCGCCAGGTAACTCCCAATGTCACCGCCTTGAGCAAGATAGCCAGCGCCAAAGCCGAGACTGATCATGACCTCGTTGATGGCCCAGGCGACATCGAGAAGCGTGGTATTGGATGTGGTTGACGGGCCGCTCGAAAAACAATAGCCGACTATGCTAGGCACAATGATGTGGTAGGGCAGAGTGGACGGGGTGTAGCGCCTCCTCAGGATGTCGAGAGCCGGCAGAAATTCCATAAAGCTCCCTGGGGATCGATCAACCCAACTACGGTCAGTCCGTCATAATATCAAACAAGGAACGAAAGCAATTCTGCAGTATAAAGCAAGGAACGAAACCAATTCTGCATCTGCAGGTACAGGTACAGGTACATACCAGGCCAGCCATGTAGCAGCACGATGGGGATGGCGTCTGGCTTCTCTGAGAACAGAGCCACAAAGTGAATGTTGTAATCCCTTCCGGCCTCGTCGGTCACTGCAGTCTGGTAGTTGGGGAAGGAGTTGATACGAGTCTCGGTTTGACGCCTAATAGACAGCAAAGGAATGGTGAGCTGATCCTAGTCTCGGTTTGACGCCTAGTCGACAGCAAAAGAATGGCTTAGAGCCCCAGGTTTTCACAGCAAAAGAATGACTTAGAGCCCCAAGTTGGAAGTGAAGTCCTCTGAGAGGTCTGGTCCCATGGGAGGAACAAAACATACCAGTCATATTGAGTCTTCCATGTGTGGACGGCATTGGAAAGCCAGGCGTGAGAGATGCCCAGGCTTAGGCTTTCATCTTCTTGCAGACTTTCATACGTTGCGGGCGCCAATTCGGCGAGGGCGAGCTGCTGTTGGAACCGGGCCAGCTGTGAGTCGGGGATCGACACTTGGAACGGGGTTGGCTGGGACGAAGCCCCTGGAGGGATCTGGGCGTATTGCATGGTTCTGGAGGTGTAGCAGTGATGGTGATGGTGATGGTTCTGGAGGTGTAGCAGTGATGGTGATGATGATGGGTCTGGCCTCAGAAAGTAGATTCAAGTCAAATTCAGATTCAGAGCGCCTGAGCCTTGCCGTGTTCGTTGACTAACTGTACGATGCACAGTATTCGTAGGTGTAGGTACAGTACAGTATGTGTTTGTTGGCCAGAAGTCGGGGCTGAGGCTAAGGGTGGGTGTCAGCCCAATTCAATCCCGGTGGGCGGAATCACGGCTTGTAGTATTGTAGTATTGTAGTACTGTACATACATGCGGTATGCGGGTATGGTTGGGACCAAGATACCAGACATGTGGCATGTACCATGTACCATGTACAGTATGCGGGAAAACCTCCACACACATGCCGCTTCGTCTGGTTACTTACTGCCCGCCCCTGATATTCTCGCTACCGCACACAGGACACAGGATGGCACTGCAACGGGCTGAGTTCCGAACGTTTTCAGGGGTTGGCCAGCGACCGGGAAAACCCTGCTACCTTCTATTGCGCGCCAGGATGGAGAATGAACAGATTGACGACACATGGTTGACCGTCTTCTCGGTCGTAGTGACCCTTTACCCTTGGCCCTTTGGCCTTTCTACTATCCATTTTGACATCACCTCAATACTCTGTTTCCGGTTCCCTTTCCATTCCTGCCGCAGACCTGTTACGACGTTGACGCCAAAATGGCAGACTTGCCAGCGGTGTTCAGCATCGCGAACATCGCCTTCCTGGTAAGTGGTAAGGAGTAAGAAGACTCACTTGAAGTGGTGGTGGTGGTGGTATTGGACACTACTCATACTGTACCCATATTGTACACCCACCAACTAAGACTTGCCAACCAGACCGTGTTCTACTACCTCGCCAGAAGCGTGTATCGGCTCTTCCTGCATCCGCTCAGCAAAGCCCCTGGGCCGTGGTACCTGGCCATTTCGACCATCCCGGGCACATACTACATCTGCATCAGCGGCCGCTATAACCAGCTGAACCGGAGGCTGCACGAGCACTATGGGCCGATTGTGCGCGTCGGCCCCAACAAGCTCAGCGTCAGGGGCGAGATCGGCTGGCAGGCCATCTACGGCCACAAGCCGCGCGAGGCGGAAGAATGGTCCAAATGGCCCGCCTTCTTCGTCAACATCCCGCCCGACATCACCACCGCACCCACGGCCGAACACCGCCGGCTGCGCAGGGAGATCATTCGGGCCTTTTCCGACAAGGCGATCCAGGAGCAGCAGTCCATCTTCCACCACTACGCCAATCTGTTGATCCAGCGCTGGCGCGAGCGAGACCAGACCGTCATCGACCTGGCCAAGTGGTTCAACTTCTTCACCTTCGACACCTTCGGCGACCTGGCGTTCGGCGAGCCGTTTGGCTCGCTGCAGGGCGGCGAGTCACATCCGTGGGTGAACCTGATCTTCGACAGCATCAAAATCAACAAGATGTCGGGCTTTCTGGAAGAGTTCCCCTTGATCAAGAGACTCGCCATCCTGCTGACCCCGCCCGACCTCAAGCGCCGCGCCACCGAGCACTTTGAGCTCAGCGAGCAGAAGATCCGACAGAGGCTGACACGCGACCGGGGCGACCGCAAAGACTTTGTCTCGTATATCTGGAAATCTGACGGCACGGGCTTGACCCAGCAGGAACTGGAGCGGAATGCCTCCACCTTGATCGTGGCCGGCAGTGAGACCACCGCCACCACGTTGTCAGCCCTGATCTCCTACCTCCTGAGGAATCCGGACAAGTATGACCGGATTGCGCACGAGATCCGCTCGACGTACAAGGGCGGCGACGAGGAGGTGACTCTGCTGGATGCCGCCAATGTTCCCTACGTCCACGCGTGCATCGAAGAGACATTGCGCCTCTTTCCCGCCGTGCCCATCGGCGCTCCCAGGCAGGTCGGCGCCAGTGGAGGATTTATTGAGCAATACCGTCTGCCTCCGAAGGTGAGTGAAGTCCTTCCTAGCAATTTTCTGGTATCTTTTCTAGTGTTGTTCTCTTCTCAGTAGAAACCAATTGTCATGTCTTGAGCAAGGCTACAAGGCTGTCCGGCAGACCAAACGGACACGGTTGATACTGACACGGCATTGCTTGGGCCAGACTTTACTCGAAGTGCCCCAATGGGCCACGCACCGAGCCAGCGTCAACTTCCGAGACCCAGACGACTTTATTCCAGAACGATGGCTGCCCGCCAGCCACGCGTGGTATGACGAGAAGTATGCCAATGACAACAGAGGGGTGGTGCAGTCCTTTTCCTATGGACCGCGTGCCTGTCTGGGAAGAACGTGAGTGAAATTCGATTTCTCCTCTCTGCGTTCTGCGTTCTGCGCTCTGACCAAAGAACTCACCACACTAGCCTCGCTTATCACGAGATGAGATTCATCCTCTCGCTTATCCTGAAAAACTTCGACTTCGAGCCCACGCCCGAAGGGGCAAACTGGGTGGAGAGGTGTGAGCACTATTTCTTCTGGGTCAAGCCACCCTTGCCTGTGAAGTTGAGGGGGCTGAAGTGATGGTCTTGATCTTGATTGTTGGTCATGGGAGTGACAGATCGGATCACATTGAAGTGATGTTATATTGGATCGCGAAGAGATGTTATGTTGGTCATGGAGTTGACGATTGGGTCCAAGTGATGTTGAAGGGTCAAGTGAGTACACTGTATACACCGTCCAGTTGATGCGAGCACATGAATTGAAGTGATGCCCATCTCATCTTTGATCTGCTCTGCACTGCAGAGACGTCCAGTACAGTAACTGATTTGTCTCCTGTATTCCGCTCGGTCCTGGAACAACAAGCCGCTGGCACGGGCAGAATGGCGAACATGGCTTGAGAGGATATGGACTGGACTGGACTGGACTAGCAAATACAATTAGCTTGAGATAATACTGTACAGTGTACGGATACAATACATCCATGGCTGCCATGGAGGTATTTGGAAGGTAGGTAGGTAGTTCTAGTGGCCTGCGGTACGGATACGGATACGACGTACCAGGTACCAGGTACCTGAGGTACATACCTAGGTAGGTAGGAACGGATACAGACCAAGGTACATAGGCACGGATGGGATACAAATCCATCCCGGGTCGGACACCAGTTGGCGTCGAGTTGTGTTGAGTCGGCTCGGTCGTCAGATATATCTGATACAATTACTCAGAGAATCCAGGTCTACCGTCCATCCATTCCAGTCCATTCCCTTCGCCCGTCCCGATTCGACTCGAATCGAACCCGACGCGACATTGGCAACCACACCTAAGTACCACCACCACCACCACCACCACACCCCCTCTCGACATTCACTAACATATCCTGTACAATATCTGTCCCCTCACTTGACGCGACATCCTCGGTAGACTAGTACTTCGTTTCCTCGACGGTCGGGCCCCAGCCTATACTGTACCTCGGACGTCGTACCTCGATGTGATTGCTGAGAGCGTAATCTACCCCAACAGCGATACCGTGCTACACCACCAACGCCACAAGAATACCGTCTTACACCACCAACACCACACGATACCATACACACCACCAACGCCACAAGATACCATACACAGGCGGTAACTAAACACCAACATGTCTACAGCCACAGCCGCACCTCCAGCCACGGACAAGACCAAGACCAAGACCAAGAGGAAGAGAATCGAAATCATCATCGGCGGACCAATACTAGGGCCTCAGAGCGAGTACGCGACGGCGTCGAAGCTCGAAGCTCTAGTATCGCTCTGCCAGTCGCACTCGATCACAGCGATTGACGAAGCCAAGATCTACGCGGCCAGCGAGGCGTTCGTGGGGGCGACGCGGCTCGGAGCGCAAGGGTTCCGAATCGACACCAAAACGCCCGGCGGGTGGGAGCCAGGGTCGTCGACGCGGGCCGGCGTGGTCTCCAACCTGCGCTCGAGCCTGCAGCGGCTGGGGGTCGAGCAGGCGCACGTGTTCTACCTGCACGCGCCGGACGCGGCGGTGGCGCTGGACGAGACGCTGGCGGGCGTCAACGACGCACACCAGGCCGGGCTGTTCTCGCGGTTCGGGCTGTCGAACTTTCCGCCGCGCGAGGTCGAGCGCGTCTACGAGACGGCCAGGGCCAACGGCTACGTGCTGCCCACCGTCTATCAGGGCTGCTATAGCCCCGTGACCAGGAAGCCCGAGGACGTGCTGCTGCCGCTGCTGCGCAGGCTGGGCTTCAGCTTCTACGCCTACAGTCCGCTGGCGGGCGGGTTCTTGACCAAGACCAAAGACCAGATCCTCGCCGGCGTCGGGCGATTCAACCCCAACGACATGTATGGCGCCATGTATCGCCAGATGTTTGGGAAGCCCAACTATCTCGACTCGCTGGCTGCTTGGGCCGAAATCGCCGACCAGGAGGGCGTGTCCAGAGCCGAGCTGGCCTATCGCTGGGTCGCCTGGTCGAGTGCCCTGAACGAGGAGTGCGGAGATGCCTTGATCTTGGGCTGCAGCTCGCTCGATCAGATGACCCAGGCTGTCTGCGGCATCGAGAAGGGTCCACTCTCCGACCAGGCTCAAAGTGCCATCGATGCCCTCTGGGCTAAGGTCCAGCATGAGGCCCTGATGGACAATTTCGAGGCTGCCCAGCTGGGGAGACTAGATGGTCCAACAGCTAGCTAACAAACAACAAACAAACAAGCAGAAACCCTGTGGTGGGCGGGCCATTAACTAGCTAACCAACCAAACAGACAAACAAACAAACAAATACCCCGTGGTGCGGGTGGTGTTGGTGCACACTGGATACAAAACGACCAAGCAAACAAACACCCGGTGGCGGAGGTGGTGTTGGTAGACACTGGATTCAAGACGACCAATCATATATACTGGACATACATAGACCCAACCCGGCATATCATGGCAGACTCAGCCTCAGCCTCAGAGCTCATCAGGAAACTCATATCAAAGCTAACAGACCTCCCTGTTCCTGGGGAAATGGACATGTTCAATATTCGCAACGCCTCCAGTAGATTATAGATCACAAGTGCCTTACTTAGGATGACGGTCAGAGTGCCCGACGTTCCAAGTACCGTACCTGACGTTCCGCATGCCTCATGGTCCGTGTCCATGTCCACGTGATTCCGAGTCGGAGGCTATTTGGAGTCGGAGGCCATCGACTCTTCTCCACCTCCATCTCCTATCGATTATAGCATCGGAATGGCGTGTGGATGGAGAAATCAGATCAATTATAGCACCGGAAAGGCGTGTGGATGGAAAAATCATCCGTTTCTGGAAACGCATCCGAAGTCCACAGCGGCAGCGAATTGGTAAAGTCGACCTGGGGGTCCAGGAACGTCGTCGGCATGCAATTCATGAACCCTGGTCCCGAGCCGGAGAGCGGGAGAGGGAGAGGGAATCCACCGCCGGAGAGACCGTCCTATTTTGATGTCTGATGTCAGATTGTGCACGAGACAGAATGCAAGAGGGTCCGTCATGCATGCTGAACACACGAGAATCCATCACGCCAAACACACGAGGTTGAGCAAAGCAAAATGACCACGGCAGTACGTACCGGCAGACCATCGGTTTGGATTCCAGACCCAATGCTCGAAGAGCCATCTGGGTCCTTTCCGGGAACCACTAGACAGATATATATGAGTCAGTCCAAGGTCGAAATAGAATAGGCCTCCTGAACTTGTGACAAACAAAACATGTACGTACCTGTGCATTTGTTTCCCTTGGAAGTGCTCTGGGCCTGGTTGACCACCTCGCGGCTCAATCGCTCCAGCTCCAACAGGAGTCGCCGAATCTGGCCGACACTGCCACTGTCATGATCTTTCATCTTGGACAAGAGACTCGTCCATGAGCCCAGGAGCGCGGCATCAGTCAGAGCCCGAGGTGCCGTGGGGTCTTCTCGAATGCCGACGAACAAGGCCATCGACGCCAGAATGGGGTAGCACAGTATACGCCTGCAGAAGAGAGGCAGGACGAGAGAGTCAGAACCAGTCCGGGAATAGCCCCACAGAAGGGAATGGAATGGAATGGGGGGAAACATTGTGGAATGGGGGAAATCTTGTATACTGTACGTACCAGACAAATGCCGGAATGTCCACCGCAACGTTTCGAGTCATGCGAACCATGGCTCGCGCGCACGACGAGTATATGGCGCGAGATGAAATGATCTGATTCTGGCAGGAAGTGTCGCCGGTCGACCGCCTCAGAGTCAGAGCGGCGAAATGGATATTGCTCAAGCACGTATAGTACTGGAAGTGCAGGACGAGGATGTAGTGACGAAGGTACGGATCCGCCGTGTTGATCTCGTACTCGGGTTGGAAGTCGATGTCAATGGCGGCTTTCCATTCCTCCAGCTGCTGTTCCAAATCCAGCATCGTCTTCACTATCTCGGTCTCGGGCCGCTGGCGCACGTTGGGCGCGTACAGGGCCTGGAACGCCTTCGCTGCGATGACTGAAAGCTCAGACATGGCTCGAAATAGGTTGAACTGCCCGGTGCCATCTTCCAGCGGGATCGTGCCCAGTCCGTCGGGCGATTCTTCCGCGGGGAGTTCAATATTCAGGGTGCTGGGATCTTGGAGCAAGGGCAGGTTCGAAACCATGGTGTTCTCAGTGTCCAACATGTAGGCAAACCAGAAGGTCCGGTTGCTTTGCCGCGCGATGACTGGGTCGCGTTCCGTGCTGGGTTTCCCCTGTCGAAGACCCATGATTTGCAGCAGTCGTAAGGCAGACGAGACCAACATGGCACTGGACGGAGGCTCGCCGTTGCCTCGGGTAAAGACTGCCATGCACAACAGGGCCTGCGCGCTCAGGAGATCGTCGCTCCTCATCGTCAGCTCCGGCAACACACTGAGTGCATTGTGCATGTAGCCCCAGGCCTGTGCGCTTGATTCTCGGCTCGTGTCTGCCGGGTTCTGCAGGCGGATTCCCACCGCGAGCGCCGCATTTAGGCTGGCCCACCAGCCCACTCGCTTGTCTGGCTGACCGGCAAACTCCTGCTGTGCCAGAAGCATAAAGGATGGATAGTCGTAGAGAGGGAAGAATCGGTTGTGGGCAGAGAAGAAGACCTCCAGCAGTCGCATCGCCTCGTCCTGCGGTGGGAGTGGCGCATGCACCGGGGGCTTCATCCTGACGGACAAGAAGTTCATCCACTTCCCCGGGGTCGCGGGGTTGGATAGAACATCGACCGCGAACCCGCCCTGGAACGCCTGTTTCTCATCTGCCTTGTCCATGATCCATTGCACCGACGGCGAAAACTCCGCGTCCGGGACACATGTGATGGTGCTTTGCGTGTCAGAGCCTTGCATGTCGGGCAACGACTGGCTTGGCTTGAATGGATGCGCCACCTCGGAGGATATGAGTGTGAGCTGGAGATCTTCCGACGCGCCTTGTTGGGTTTCAGCTTTGCCATTTTCGCCAGGCACTTCCTCAGCATATGGTGCAGCCTGAGCCCTGGCCGTTGTAGAGACGGCGTCGGTGGACACTTCCACCGTTGGACCGTCGGAGTCAGTTGGTGACGGGTTTGCCCTTGGGCCACCACTTGCCAGGAGGCCCTCCATCCGGAGTATTCGCTGCTCCAACCTGCTGAGATGGTTTGCGCCAGGGTTTTCTCTAGGTGGACATTAGACACCGGCACTGGAAGAGGTGAGAGGGCGGGTTGTAGTCCTCACCGTTTGGGGGGACCTCTTTTCTTCTCGGAATCGACATAAGTGCATTCTACGCCGCGATCCCAGCAATTGCTACAGGCAGGTTGCTTGCCGTCGCATCTGATTTTCTTTGCCTGACAGGTGCAGCACGCCTGAACCTTGTCAATCGGGCTCTATGGGGCACTTTTTTCAGTTTACAGTACCTTGACCACTCGTTGCCGCTTGGCTGCTCGTTCCATTGTCATTGAGAGTAGAAGGAAGACCCTCAACTAGGATGGGCGACTCAATCTCGTAAAGTGCCGCAACACGCTTCAGTGCCGTGTTTGGGTATGAGGACGGCGAGTTGTTGGACAGACATTTGTACTCTGAAAAACAGCGCGGCTCCCCCACCCCTCGTTTTCGCATTGCGCCGCTCTGGCGCGTAGTGGCAGCTGGACCCAGCATGAAAGCTACATCTGCGATGTGATTTGATCCTTGGAGGTGCATCTCCCCCGCGAAGCAGGGCAGCTGGAGCTCATGCGGGCAGGGGAGGCCGCAGCCCGGGGTGTCAGCTGTCCTTAGCGTCTTCCCCAGAATCCGGGGGTGTTTTCCCAGATTTCCGGGGGGCTAGGTGGCGTAAGGAGCCTAGCCTCTCGGGCTAGGACCCCGTTTAGCCGTAGTCTCCTGGGCCCTGGAGAGACATATGGCGCCCAACCCAGGCATAACCCCTCCCTATGCCTGAATGAATAAGGCCCTAGGAGCTACAAAAGCTCCGGAACCCGAAAAAGTTACGCCCGTGGGGTCTGCTGATCCTGGTCAATGGGCCTGGATAAACCACGTCCCGTTGACCCGGGAAATTGAGCCAGTAGCAATGAACTGGAATCGCTTCTTGAGGATCCTGACCCTGTTGATTTCTGCTACAGCCTGCTTGGGGAATTCCGAGTAATTCCTGTGCGAGGTGTTGTTGGCCGAAGTGGGCAGAGGGGCATACGGCCATTCTGGCTCTTCATGGATATCAGGAGGCGATCGACGGCTCGGTGCGTCACACGTAGACATTTGGTCTGAGAACTATTCTCCAGCAACTCGAGATCTTCCCTGATCTGGCGGCAGAATGGTCAGGGAAACACTCGACATATCAAAAGAAGCCAAGGCAATCTTGAAGCAACTAGAACGGGAGTAGGAACATAGGACAGGTGGTCTATGCCAAAGACAAGCAAGGAGGTCGATAGCTGGCCAATAAGAGGCACCCTAGCCAGAGCCCGAGTCATGGACCAACCAGAATGGCTGGCTCCGAGTCATGTGTTTGATATCTTCATCTTCACTTCAAGTTCACTGTGCACTGCACTTCACTGTTCGAATAATTCAAGCTCATATATTTGAACTGGGCAAATTCCTTCCGCAATTGGCAGACTGAAGCTGTATAGATGGCATGACTGCTACAACAAGTCATGTTATCCCTCCATCAAATGAGTAGGTCGCATTGCAGTGGGTTGGCGGGAGGGGCCTTCGATCAGGTGTCAGAGGGATGCATCTCGATCAACAACCAGAAGGTACGAGCGGGCTCCTCCCATTGCTAGCTTTTTGCCTTTTTGGACGGTGAACTCGGCCTTTATTTTTGGTGGTGGTGGTTGTGTGCCCTAAGGTTCAGGGTGCGGCAGAAAAGCAAAGTAAAGTGCACACATATTGAATTGAGTGAAGTACACACATATTGACTTGCTACCTAGTCTACCTGCCTAGGACAAATCCCTGGATACAGCAAGGCAAGCCACCTGCTTCGACAGAGGCTAGCATCTTCTTCATCTACCCATCACACTGCAGGAAGTCGTTCCCGCTCGCTCCTGTATGGGTGATGACGCCGGCCAAATCGCCGTCTGTGTTGAAGATGACTCTGTCCGGGCCCGGACTTCCACCATCATATGTTTTGAAATCACGCAGGATTGGAAACTCATAGTAGGGTCCCGCGACTTGGAAGCTAAACCCTTCATAGTCGTTGTACACGTGCGGGTACTTGTCTGTACCCTCGGTCTGACCAGCCTGGTACAGCGAGTATCCCTCCTCGACTGCGCTGTCAATGGTGGACTGGTAATAGCAGATGGTGCCGCATGTTTCGGCACAGCTCTGGCTCTGCCTCTTGGAGAGGTGCGGGTTGAATTCGATGGGGAAAAGGGAAGGTGATGGGACGTCTCTGTGCAGAACCCCCGGTGGCAGGGCGCCCACTTGGGCCACGGCGAGGATGAAGCTGAGCGCGACCTTGGCTCAATTAGACGAGGGGTCTGACAGCTGAATTCTAAGGGGACACACCGAGGGGAGATACATCGCGGCCTGTTCGGGTTGGTAGTCTCGCCAGGCTGGGTAGATTATATGTAGGGAGAGAGAGCGCCCAGGTACTTGACTTCTAGCTTCTCGTCGAACGATTGTTTCGTTCCAGCTGTTTGAAGTCAACTCGGCATAACAGGGTCATGATGGATAGAAAGGAATGATGGGCATCTGCATCTTATTAAGTCATCCCCAGAGCCCCCAAACTATCCCTGCTACAATGCGACGATGGGAACCCGGCTTCAAATCCACAGTGCTGCAGGTTACAACGAAACACAGTCCTTCGGGGTTACATGTGCACCGAATTCGACCCACGTTGCTAGATTTTCTGGAGTCCAAGCACACACATCAAGGTGAAATCTTCGTCTTGAATGGTTTGCCACTGGAAGAGCTCTCCCGGCTGCCTCTTGTGGAGCGTGCAGGTTAAGTTGATGGAAGCAGGCAGGCGAACGTTAAGACAAACTCGAAACTCGAGATATCTGACAAGATGACCTATCGATCAGACGAAGCAGGGGATGGTGCCAAAGGAAGCCCGCGGGGGATGATGATCGCTGGTTCCACTTTCTGAAACGGACCTTGTATACAGCCTGATTGGTTCAGCATGCCATCAAGCAATCTGTCCCAGCGTGCATCATGTAACCTGAGGCGGGCCACGAACCTTGTGTCTGGTCCCAGTTAGCCTTGACGCAGCACGGTCTCATCTTTCATATCTGTCATGTTGGTATCGCCGGGTTTCGTTCCCTGAGCGCCTATGAAGCCATCCTCCTCGTAACCCAATAGCATTCCAAGCACTTATACAATCGTCGCGTTGGTCTCATTGATGCATGAATGATCGTACATCCCATACGCAGACTCGTTCGTCCCATCCACAACTCGCCGCCCACCCTTCACTGCCGAAAAGGCACCAATCAACTCCAGTCGCAAACTCGGTATGTCGACCCATGCTACCAAGCTCTCTGGCCTGGCCACCATGGTCACCGCCATCTGTCCAGACCCTACATGTCATGTCATAACTGGCGCTCAGCAATAAATCTGGAAGGTGTGGGCTCCACGCGACCTTCCGCACGGCATACCCGTGTCCTTGTAGCATCTGAAGAGGTCCTTTGGGCTGCCGTATGTCAAATGTTCGGATAATGCGATCCACTCCAGCCGTAGCCACGATTGTGCTCCGGTATTTATTCCAGTCATGCGTGAGTGCTTCTGACGGCGGGAAGGTGGGTTGCAGTTTGCCAACTCCCCCCGAGAATGGTGCTGAATGGATCGGAATCTGCATGGTAAGATGATTGCTTGCGCTGGCCGGGGTTCTCAGATCCCAGACTCTCAAGTGACTGTCAGAACAGACTGCGCTGAGCATGCCGTCTGTATGTGGATTCCACTGGGTGCTGTAGGTACATGAATGTGTAGGCAACGTCAACAGACTTTGTTGTCGTTCCGGATTCCATATCTTGACAGATCCATCCCACGATGAGGACGCAAATGTGGCTTTTGAGGTCAAGTTCCAACTGCAAGAGAAGGCTTCGCGCGAGTGCTCTTGGAATGTCGCGATGGGGAATTCAGGTGCCAGCGAGGAATCATAAAGGCGTAGTGACCCATCACCGGAAGAAGTGAGGACGTGGAAGGAATGCGCTTCGGAGTGGGTGACATCGTAGAGGGCGTCTTGTGTAGGATAACTAGGGGAACCGGTCAGTTGTCTTCGGTGATCGATGGTGATGGTTCTGGTCACTCTACCTTTTCAGAGCTTGGATACCTTGTGGTGTCAACTCCAAGATGTAGAGACGACCATTTCCCACCAGCCCATAGTTCGCCGACGCCGCAACGGCTATTCGGTTATCGAAGAAGGGTGAGTATTTGACCGCATAGCCTTGATAGCCTCGAGTTCGAAATTCTAGCATGGCGTCTCCGGCAATATAGGAAAGGGCCTGGTCGGCATCGCCATTACAAACTGTAGAGAATCAGCTTGGAACATCAGGTACGTCAGAAAGCCATGAATTTCAGCCTGTTGACGAGCCGAGGATGAAGGTTGACAGTGGCCCGCGCCTACAGTAGTACGTGTTAGGGGCGCAAGAATACGCTAGAATGGGCTAATCAGCCTCTGGCCTTCAAGTTTGCCATTTCTTGCGCCTATGCCCTAGTTAAAGCGGCACCCTATTTTGGTACTTTAGGCCCCTGAGCCTCCCTAGGCAGCGATTAGTTGGGTGTGTGCCTAGGCTCCCCGCGCACTCCGTACCGACCTGAGCCATCAATGACTCGCCAGTTCCAGAGCAACACATCTCAACCCACACTACAAGTGGCAGCTCAACTGTCCTATCTACCTAATGATGGCTCCAAGTAGAGGGTATTGGAAGGTCCGATACACTCAGCTTCATTATGGACGCGTTCATATGTCGCAAGAGGCGACGGATTTCACCCCCGCAGGCCGGCTATGCTTCTGTCAAGAACCCGACGACGACACTATCAAATAATGAAGACGAGGGCAACGATGAGCAAGAATCTACTGATGTCAAGCTAGCAATCCTCTCGTCCCTCCACCCAGAGCGACCTCCAGAAGATCTCCTCGAAATCCTCTTGAGCTGCGAAGGCTCCGTCGACGATGCAGTCGAGACACTGTCGAGGGGCACAAATACGAGCACAAGTACATCACCAGCGACAAAACAGCGTCGACTCACCATACCTGGCTTGCAGAGCGCTCTTCCGTTTGCTTCCGCGGAGAAGAGATGGCCGGGCCCGTCGTCAAAGACCTTGACAAAGAAAGGAAAGACGTTACATCTGTATGCGCCAGAGGACATTGCACAGCACACGCCGTGCTCGGTCATCCACAATTTCCTTCCAACGGATCTATCCAACGCTCTCCTCGATGAGTTACTCGTCGAAGTACCCAGTTACGAGAGCATCAGTTTCAAGATCTTCGACAACGTCGTCAAATCGCCCCACACGGCATGCTTCTACGTTGACAGCCTCGCCGACATACAACGCCAGAGGAGCGAGTATTACTACAACGGCAATGACTTGGGAGATATCCGGCAGATCCTGCCTGTGATGCGCCAAGTGAGCGACCTCGTCGGTGATGCTGTCAATGAGGAGATCGCCATCCGCATCCGTGACTTCTACCCTGGCGGTAAGAAGCTGCAATACCAGACGTCGAGACCGTGGCAACCAAACGCCGCGTTTGTCAATTGCTACGACGGCGGCTCCCAACACGTCGGTTACCACTCGGACCAGCTGTCATATCTAGGCCCACGTGCCGTGATCGGGAGCCTGAGTCTTGGAGTGGCACGGGAATTTCGGGTGCGCAAGATCGTGCCCAAGAACGACGAAGAAATGCCGGCATCAGAATCTGCCAAGTCGTCGTCCACCGACGTGTCGGGTCAAATCGCCATCCACCTGCCTCACAACTCGTTGTTGGTCATGCATGCCGAGATGCAGGAGGAATGGAAACACAGCATCGCCCCAGCTCCAACTGTCACACCGCACCCCCGCGCGGGTAACAAACGCATCAACATCACTTACCGCTGGTACCGAGAAGAATTCCGGCCCAAGTATACGCCGAAATGTCGCTGCGGGGTGCCGTGTGTGCTGAAGACGGTGCAGAAGCAGAAGGCCACACGTGGACGCTATATGTGGACGTGCCAAGTAGGCAACAAGCCAGGAGGTGTAGGTTGCGGATGGTTTGAGTGGGCGAGGTTTACGGATGATGGAGTTCCAGTTAGTTGGAGGGGTGGTGGTGATGGTACTTATGACGGCGGTGAGGGTGGTGAGGGTGATGAGGGTGATGAGGGTGACGGTGGTAGGAATACAGGTTTTGTTGGTGGTGATGGTACTTATGACGGCCGTGACGTGGATGAAGGTAGTGGAGGCGGTAAGGGAGATGCTGGAGATGATGGTGATGACGGTAATGACGGCCACGACTCTCATCATGAAACTCGCCTGCACAATCCTCAATCCATTGCGCAATGGGCTCTTTATGAGCAAGGGAACGATTCTAGTTGATGTAGAAGATGTTGATAGTATCACGACAGTTGGTTTCTGCATGGTGATGTTGGATGCAATCAGCAGCTTAATCCTAGCTTGCCGTCAGGTCCAGACGTGTGACGAACAACAGAACAGAATTCATGAGCATGCAGCGATTATCGTCTATCGTCTACAGTAAGAAAGATAGCGGGTATAGATACTATAATCATCTACAGTGAGATAGGTAGTGGACACAGACACTACAAGTACGGGTACGGATACTGTATTGCGATTACTGTATTCGTGGAAGCTGTGATGTTCATTGACTGCGGTGGCCATTGAGGCCGTGATATACATACATAGACTGCGATGGCCATCGAGGCCGTGATGTACGGCTAGAATACGGAGTACGGATACATGACTGCTTTTGAACTTTGAACATGGGTGAACACTGCCTCGTCCATGGATACAATGAGTGCCACCTCTGCCGACGGATACCTCAATGAACTGTATGTATGTATGTATGTACTGTACGGATATGCTGTATGTACTGTATGTCTTGATATCTATCTGCGTACCCACTCGAAGCTTCTGGTCGCAGATGTGTTCAATCTTGATTTCCGAGTCCCTACTCGAGCCCGAGCCCAGGTCTCGACTGGTATCGGTATCACTATCAACTATCAACACCTCTTGATCTTCACGATTGGGATCTGCTCAGGCTTCCACTGGTCGCAGATTTGTTCAGTCTTGATTTTCAAGTCCCTATCCTTGCGCGAGCCCGAGCCCGAGGCCTCAACCTCAACCGATGTCAATGTTGATGTCGATGTCGATGTAGATGTCGTGTCGTTTCGATGCCGATGTCGATGTGATGTCGTGTGGTGTACACACAAGCCAACGCAACACACGCTGACTTCTGAGGTGTCGCCTTTCAGCGCAGGACGCAGATCCACTAGGTATGCCATGCCAAATACCACCACGATGAGACGACACTGGATATGGATATGAATATGAAGATGAATATGAAGCGGGTCGGCCGGTTCATCTCTTAGCCCAGCTTCTCTTCGAGTCGAATGTCGCCAGTAAGAAGTAAGACGAGATTCCATGTCTCGGTAGATCGGCCTTAGGAAGTAAAACAAGAACCCATGTCTTGGTAGATCGGCCTTAGGATTGGGATGAGAACGAGAACCATGTCTGGAACGAACGCATGACTTTTCCTTGTCCTGCCATAGCATGTCGTTGCATGGGACAAGACTTCTGGCTTCTGACTTCTCCTTCACCTTCATCTCATTCTGACCTACCGCAACCCGTAGGCCAGGTTGGATCTTCGAGACAGAAAAAGAAGAGTCGAGGATCATCTGACCATGGCAGGTAAGATGCGCCCATAGACTTCGGTTTCGCTTGTGTGCAGATTGCGCCCATGAACCTCGGCTTTGCCTGTGTGCAGACATTCTGGGTTGACTTCCTTCCTCTTCCTGACTCGTCGGATGAACCTCGCTGGAGTTGGCGTTGGCTTGCATAAGTGTAAATGTAAAATCGAGAAAGCTAAAACTTTCCCTACAGCCTCAGCCTCAGACTCAGCCTAGCCTCGGCCTCATTTCGATTCCTCCACTCTAAATGCTTCATGACCAGCCTCAGCCTAGCCTCGCCTCCGCCTCATTTCGATTCCTCCACTCGACATACTTCATGACCACCAGACGTGACACCGACCTTTGTATCAATCTCTCCCGGCAATGGAGGAACGGCCGACGAGATTGACATGGACATAGACATGGACATAGACATGGACAGAGTAGTAGAAGTCCGGGCCGACATGCCCGCAGGAGGCGTGCGGCTCCCTAGAGTGGTTTCGCCACTGGCATAGCGCGACCGCGACCGCGACCGTTTGGTACTCGTACTCGCACTCAGACTTGGACTTGGGTTCATCGGGGAGACCGAGGCAAAGTATCCGCCCATATTGGGCAGCGAGTGCCTGGAGCTGGTGAGGAAGGTGGTGGCCGAAACGATGGGCACAGGCACATGCGCAGAGGGCGACAATGGCGTCAAGTCGGTGGACGAAGTATTTTGAGAACTAGAACTGGGCATGGTAAAGGACAGATCTTGGGCCAGCACGTCGGCCAGCAGCGGGGCAGATCTGCGTCTCTGGGATTGGGATTGGGATCGTGACCGGGATCGGGATCGCGTGGGCATTCGCGTTTGAGACTTGATGCTCGTAGAGGAATCGTAGCGTCGAGATTTCGGTCTGGAGGGAGCCGCACTGGTAATGCTGTCGGGCACATCGAGAATGAGGTTATATGTAGAGCTGCGCGCGTCAGTTTGAAGGAGGCCCGGCTCCGAGTATAATGACGTGCGGAGGTCCGCCATGCCTCGCGTCTGAGGGCGAGGTCGACTCTGTGAGCGGGAGTGTGAGCCAGAGCGTGACCGCGACCGAGAATGCTCTCCGGCCTGGGACGAATGGTTGTCTCTGTCTCTGTTTCTGTCCTTGTCTCCGTCTCTATCTTTGTATTTCTCCTTGTCCATCTCCTTGTCCTTACCACTGGACGAGGCCGGGGCCGAAAACGGAAAGGAGAAGGAAGGAGGTCTAGAATAGTCCAGCGCATGCGTCGAGTACCGAGTGTTCTTCAGGTCGTAGTCGGAGATGTCGTTCCGCGGCTCCTGGAAGAGCAACCGTGGCGTGCCATAGAGAGATCGGGTCAATTCGGACCGCCGGTTCTTGAGATCAGGCTGGGTGGTGTTAGGAGGGAGCGTCGTCGTCGGCACAGGCCTGGACCGGGGGTGTCGTAGGTATGGCATCAGGTGGGCGTAGACGGCCCAAACGGCGAAGATGATGAAGAGCAGTGCAATGGCGGCAAGGACGATGGTCACGCCAGGACTGACTGAGACCATGGTGTGCGCGTGGTCCAGGTTAAGTAGGGCCTGAGATCAGCTCATGGCGACGGCGGACATCTTGCTGAGCAGAGGGGGGCGGGGCGCGGATCGGATCAGAGAACAGCGACAGAAACAACACAGGAACAGAACAGAACGCCGGAGCAGAAGACAACCGCCAAAGAATAGACAGACCGACAGCCAGACAGACGAGACGACTTGGGGAGAAAACGAAGACGGACATTACTTCGAGACGCTCAAGTAGGGAATACACGTACACTTACAGTCCACTGCCCGGCTCTGGATGCGCCGCAGTCGCAACTAGTAACCAACAAACCTGATCTGCATGGTCTGGTCGGCCGGAAATGCTGTAGGGAGTACGGTTTCAACCCGTCGGCCGCAATCTAGATAGTAGATACCAATGTGCAGGGATGCGACGCAGCGGCGACAACATGGGCATGTGGTACGCAGGCAGACACGGCTCATAGCACGCATTCATGCATGCAGGAGACGGGATAGGAAAGGGAAAGAGACGAGGGACGGAAAGGAGAAGTCGAGCGAGGGTCGGACTTTAGGAGAGATTCAGCCTCAGGAGCTTAGCCACCATTGGCTGGATCCGGCCACAGACCCGCACGAGGCTGTTGTCAGCGCCGCCACAGGGGCAGCCGACTGGGATGCCACGCAGGGGGCACTTCAAGAATAGCACCGCCCTTGCTACTTGAGTCTCCTCTCCCGGCCTCCGACGATATCTACCCGCACGGAGGCTGGCGGTTATGGAGGCACTACGGAGTATACATACTAGTCCAATACTTGCCGTCCTGGGGCCACGAAAGAGGACAGAACATACCACATACAGATAGATACTCCTCAGATACACTTTCCCGACAGAAGGTAGAGGTAGGAATTATGCCTACAGCTTACAGTTCACAGTTTACAGTTCACAGTTCACAGTTCACAGTTTACAGCGTGTTCCTCGTGGCCCGGAGCTATCTACCGCCGAGTATGTGACTTGGGCAAGAAGCACGCCGTTGACCCATGTTCAGGGATACAGCGCCATCTATCCGTACTCCCTACAGCGGTCACCTACGTCACGTCAAATGAAACAAAACACTCTTGGGAATGCATTAAGCTATGCTCTCTACAGCCATGGCGGCCCCCAGAAGCCTGCCTCATGGAGGCTTTTCTCCTCGTCACTTAGCCCAGATGATTGCCGTATTTTCAGCCAGACCAGGGCAGCCTGGTCGCCGCTATGCCCTCTTTCACTCTTACACTCGCTTCCTCTCTCAAGCTCCTGGGCACCTTTCTCCTGTTCACCGGGGCCATCAAGTATGTTCTACAATGGGAGATCAGGGCGGGGGGTGCCAGGTTGGCCCTCGATGATTTGGGCGTAGAAATCTTCTCCCTCCTCCCAGATGGTTCTCTGGCGGACCACAGCCCTGCCACTTGCACTACCACTTCCAACTCCAGTTCCTGATTCATGTCCTGCCACATCTTCTCGTGGTTCATTACGGGCGACCTGAGGAGCGGCAGAAGCTGTAACAGATGCAGTCGGTGCAGTAGGTGCAGTAGGTGCAGGAGCCGCAGAAGCCGCTGTAGATGGGGTGGGTACACAAGACACAGAAGGTTTCTTCGCCAGCTTTTGTGGCGACAACTTCTTGACCATGGTCTGAGCATGACGGCGAACAGAGCGAGCGATGGCAGTTGCCTCAGTAGTGTGAGTTTCTTTTGTCAGGGTGTCTTGATAGTAGTTTTGGAGTGCAACGAGATCGATATTGATCAAGTGATCATGGCCATATCCGAAAGACTCACGGACCTCCTGGAGAAGTCTCAATGCATCAACTGCACGGACGGCCGGCTGACTGGGACCAACAACGCCTCTGAGGCTGTGTAGTCTGAGGCTGTCATCGCCTGGATCGAGAACACGAACGACCATGCCGGCGAGAAGAGTACGCTGCAAAGGATCACCATTAAGGACCATGTAGGGGGGTGGATCTGCCGAGTCGTGCGCTTTGGCCTTGCCTTTCCGAGCCGTTCTTATCTCAGCCTCTGCAATGTTCTTGCCAGTCATGTCGGGGGTGCAGGATGTGCGCGTTTTGAGCCAGGTGTCTGCAGGCATGAAAGCATGACGATATTTGATGACGGCCGTCACAACAACCGGCTCATTCTTCTTGCGATTGTCCATTTTAAGAACATCAAGCCATTGGTCGATGAGCGACATTGATGCAGACTTCTCCATTGATCTTGCCGCGCTCGAGTTTCCTTTGGATCGCACAGAAATGGACAGTCGGGAAGCCAAGCTAGTCTCTTTGACTCCAAGATGGACAACCGTGACCCAGCTATCACCCAGATGCAGTGATTCGCGTGTTGGTGGTCCCATTTCAACGAGCTTGGTGCCCGGACCAGAGATGAATGTCTGGAATTCGAGGTCGGTCAAGTATCCAGGATAGTTGTCCATGAGACGGTAGGGCGGGAGGGGGAGGTTGGAACTGGCGTCAGATTCATCGGCCATGCAGGCATTTTGGGGGACAGCAGTCACGTTGAAGATTGCATGCGCCGTGGCGCTGAACTTCGGATTCTGACCGAAGGAAGTGGTAGTGAAGGTGTCGATCTTGACCGCCGCGATGGCTGGCAGCGGCGTTTCCTCTGTTGAGGGCGAAGTTTGGCGGCTGAGAACGCTCGCCAGCGACGGCTGTGGCGCTCGTAGGGGGTTTGGGCTTCCTACCGGATGGTAGGCAATCGGGCCCACCCGACTGGCCAGGACCTCGTCAAAGGACGTTGCCGCCGTGTCGCCACTGTTGCGACTGGTTCGGCCCGAGGAGACATCGTGCTGTCTGGCTGAGAGGCGGCTCAGCACACGGTTCAGGTAGTCGCCGTTGGGAAAGACACTGGTGCCCGCGACGTCGTTGGCAGCCGTCTCAGCTCCAAATGAGCCTCTGGTCCCGTTGTTGCCCGCCGGCCCCCCATTCACAGACTCGTCGCCACTCGAGCTGCTCATGGTTGAGCTGCTGGTGCTCGCCATGACGTTCGACCGGATCTGTGTCAAGAGGCCGAGGTGGGTTCTGGAGGCTTTGAGGCGTGTGGGAGGTGTGGCTGGAGGCTTCTGTGAAGACAGTGTCAGCATGAGTCTTGGGATGAGTCTTGGGATGAGTCTTGGGATGAGTCTAGAGATGAGGTATTGTTGGATTAGAGGAGGCATCACGGTTTACTGACCTTGAACTGTCTCTTCTGTATTGTCGGTCGACGAGGGTTCGGAGTGCAGGGAGGAGGTTTGGCGGCGGAAACGCAGCGAAGAGCTGGCAAAGGCTAGATGACAGTGAGTAGAAGCCTCAGGAAGAATGAGACTATGATCTAGAAGCATGCTTACCGTGTTCTCGGACTTGATAAGGAGATCTCGTTGTGCTCGCTGCGAAATTGCGTGGTGGGTTGTGAGGAAAGTTGAAAAGGAGCTGCAACCGTGTGAAGCCTGGTCTTGGCTCAAACCGCTGCGAGTGCGAGACGTGCTGTCTCTGCTCCAAATCGAGGACAACGACCCTGAAATTGACCGCAGTCCAAATCTCCTAGCCTTATCCGAGGACCTGTGTGAAGAGACACTTTCGATTCCGTCCAAGCCCACGTTGATCACCCTGAGAACCCTCGGCGTGGCATCGGGGTCTCGAATGTCCATGATGTCGGGTACAATTGCGTACTTCGAGGTCGCTGCACTTGTCCACAAGGCCCCGGTAGCCTTGCCCTGTCCTTACTCCTGACCCCGTCCTCGTCGTCCTCCTCCCAGTCCACCGTGCTTACTGACACCGACGCAGGCCCTTCAGGCTGATCAAGATGCTCTCTCTCGCCCAAGTCTCCCTGAATCGTCAGGGAGACCTTGCCGCCTCCTTCCCTCGGCGAACTCTGCTGGCTAGGACTCCAGATGTCCAAGTCTTGCACAGGTTCTGGCTGCACGAGGTGTCTCTGGATAGGCCACTTCAGGTGCAGACACAGTGTTCGAAAACACCCCGCGACCCAACGGAAAAATGTTGATATCCGGGCACCAACTCTCAATCTCTGCCACCATAGGTTCACCGGTCTGATCCTGGACATCCAGTTTCCAATTCTCCTTTCAATTGACCGCCTGAACCACCGGCACAGGAACACAGCGAGACCAAGGGAAAGAATGCAAAGTACTATAATGCCCCAAAAAAGTTGTGTCTGCAGCGCTTCACCGGCCTTGGTCATCTGGAAAGGCGATACATGCCGTACAGATGCGTGCCGTAACAAAGACAAGAGCGAGATGCATGCTCTGCAGCGTAGGGTCGTGATACTCGGGACTTACAGGGCAATGAGCAGCAGAAAGCGGATGTCTCGCGCCCACGCCTGTTTCAAAGCTGCAGGAGCGTCTCTGAAGCTTTGCTTTCTGAACCATTGGCGGTAGCAAGAGCGGCCCAACAGCATGCCCGGGATGGTTGCATAGCTTGACCGTTCCCAGGGTGACTCGCAAGCTACCGCATCAGTCTCTGGAGCACCAACCCGGACATAAGGCCTTAGGATATCACGGTCGATTCATATGTCGCGAGCGCACCTTTGACAGCTTCGAACTGTTCCTCATCGAGTTTTGCAAAGCGGATTTGTCGGTCAGCGGTGACGAGCATTCTCTGATGGGGGTCCAGGTTTCGCATGTCGGTAGTAACGTTTCCACTTCGTCCGCCGCCACTGCTGCCAAACAAGACGGCTTCACTGACACTTGCGTCAATGCCGTTATTCACCCTTGACTCCCAGACACCATCCCACTTCCACTCGCCGGGATGTTTGGGTGAAGAGGGTCCCTCTCTGTGATTTCCTGCAGCGGGACTGTCCGAATGCAAGTCTCTTTTCGCCAGACCTCGGTGGGCGCGCCAGGCATGCCACGCACTCGGATCGCCAGCGGCGTCAAGTGGCACATTGTCGAGCACAGTTTCATCCTGGAACGCATCTTGAAGGTGCTGCAACACGCCTAAAATTATGCTTCTTCGATCCCTGTGGGTATGATCAGACCGAGTAGCTGAAGGCTCATTTCTGCCATCTGCAGCCGAGTCGTGGCGTATTCGATCTTGCTCTATCACATCGCCAACCTCATTCACTTCCACGTTTGCGTTCCCAGGTCGAAACCACCCCGGAAATCCATAGCGGAGGCTAAATGCTCCGGGAGGAAGGCGGTCCGTATCAGAGGCACTCACAGTGCCTGACGCATCGCCAGCATTGGCGGTGAAGGTGTAGGTCGTCAAAGGGACCACCAAGGGGTGGAAGATATCGCTTGAAAAGGTCACACGCGGAGGTAGGTCGGGGTACGTGTCTGGAAAAGAGATCTGGAACCGGAGAACTGCCCCGGTATACGGGCCTACGGTTTGCACGTTAGTTTCGGCCTGGAGACCGAGTGATGGTGTTGTGATGGCCGTACCCTTGCGAACAAACAGCGCGCCCGCCCAAAGCGAAGGGTTGCCTGGAGTGAGAGAAAGATAAACGCCCGCAGGACAGCTGTGCCTGAGAGAGGAGCTTGTGATGGTGGTCAGCACAGACAGCGGGCGGGCAGACAGGTCACTCACAAGTCCAAGACAAGCTGTTGTCGACGAAAAGAAGGAAGCAAAGGCGTGGACATTGTTGTGGAAGAGAACAAGGAGTCGGAGAAGGAGTTGACAGGAGGGCGGAGCTTGAAATGCCCGCCTTAGGGCCCCCACGTCCTTAGGTCCGCCCAGAAACCAAAGCTAAGTGCCCGGGCTCCGCTACGCCAAACCGCGCCCTGGAACTGTCGCGCCATTGACCGCAATGGAATCACCATCGCCGTGAAGCAGCACGACAGGACGAAAGGCAGCGTTGAACAACGGTTGTCAAGCAGTACAAGTCATCAGATTGGGTATCAAGCAGTCGCTCTGTTCTCTGTTCATGCCACGAAAAGACCAAGACCAAGACCGAGACCACGACCAAGCACAAAATAGCCAGACTCAAAGCGTCTTTCTTCTACTCTGAGACGCCGCATCAATGCCGTCGTTCACACCTCCAAGGATGCTCTCGGCAAACCATGAGCCAGCGTCGAGACAAACGGCTCCCACCCGACCATCCTTGAAGCGACGCAGTGCGTTGTGCAAGTCCAACCCACGTTCACCGAGACTGGAAGTCATGTCGAGACTATTGGTGATGATTCTCTCGGTAACCTGATGCTGCCGCTCGAATTGCAGCACACGAGTGAGCAATGTCATCAGCACCGGAATCAACAACAGGAAAGTGGCAACAAGCCAGCATATCGCTTGGGCCACGGTTTGCCTCAGGAGGTTGGGCCGTCGCTGACCATCTAGCTCTCGGATCTCGGCCGATGAAAAGATCAGTTGAGGAGACATGCTGGCACGTAACGATTCCATTTCCAGAGGGGTCAAGTCTGGAGGCAATGCCATGTGCATGTATCTTAACGCGTCGACATGCATGCTCCGAAGGGCAGCCGGGTCACCACCTTCATCAGCCTGTGCTTTGGCCGATATCCATAATCTCACTCCGGTAGCAGCAATATCCCAATCCACGCCAGACCTCGCCTCCGGTTGAGAAAGCAATTTGAGACCCAGTTCTCCCGAACAGGGGTTCTCTTCGGGACTCTCTGGTCTCATCATGGGGGTGCTGGCACCACTGGATGGGACTGTGGAAGCAAAGCCACAACTCTCCTTCTCTTTGCCAGCATCAACGCAGGACAGTGTATATGCCATTCTTCGGACTTGGGAAGCATGGAGGACGACGGAGTGGCGAAGCGACGGCAAGACCGGTATTCGCGAGCGGACGACGGAAGGGATCATGGTATAGAGGCTAGACTTTTCCACCTCCTCGCAAGAAATGGTGTTCGCGCCCATCAGGCCGGGGTTTAGTCGGCTCACCGTCATGGCTGAGCGAGCCGCGGTGATGCGAGTTCTGACGAGTTGCAGTCGATTCACGAGGAGGAATCAATCAAGGCGAGAGACTGCGAGCGTAGGAAGCCTCAAGTCCAGCCATGGAAGACACGGAATGGGAAGGGAGGGGGCGGGAATGGAGCATCCAAGCGTTGCTTGCCATTGCCGTGGGATGTTTCACATGCAGATGCACGACATACACAGGAAGGTGGCCATGTCGACTGATAGCGGCGCATGGGTCGTTGGCACGGGCTCTGCTTGCTGAGGAAGAGTGGGATGGTGCGGGTCAGTCAGGACTAGCAGAGCAGTAGCAGAGCAGGAGGTCTAGAAGAGTTCTACGCGGTGGTACGTACTACGCAGTATGGAGTAGTCTATCTGTATCTCTTTCACATGCTAAATCTGCCAATAATGCCAATAATGCCAATCATGGGTGTCAGCTCAACGTCCAGCTAATAACATTGGCCTTGTCTCTCACGTGGACGCTCACCCAAGCCACGCCGCTTTAAAAACCACTCACCGGCGACTCACCTCCCACACTATTCTGTACAGATGACCAGATCTTTCATTCAAGTAGATGCGGTCTGCTGAGACCGTCGTCAGAAGCAGTGTCAGTAGCAGTAGTGGCATCAGCAGCAGTAGGAGTAGCAGTAACGGCATCAGTGTGACTCCTTCAAGGGGGTCGGTCGATTGTCGCCTGGCCAAAGAATAATAATCATCTCATCCAGATCATCTAATCACATCACATCTCATCACTCATCTGGTGAAACACGCCCTTCACTGCGCCCTGCGCCTGACCAGCTCAGTACCTAAATGGACTGCGCTGCTAAAATACCAGGTAAGGTGTATCTTAGACCCATGAAAATACAGTACTGAGTCTACTGGGGTAGTGGTACTGGTACGCCCTGTGGCATTATGTCAAGGTAATCAATTACTCAAGATGACTGGATTAGTTCTTTGCTGACATTTAATCATTTATATAAGTAAGGGATGACCCGACCGTCGCGTCGTCGTTAGATAGATGAATAGATGAGATGGTTGACATTCACATTCACATTCACATTCAGGTTCACTCATAACTCGGCTCTTGGCCTGCCTGCTGCGTTCATTCAATATTTCTTTCCTGGTTCCTGTTTTGGTATGTTTCGCTCGTTCGGTCAAAATGTCGGCATATATCCTGTTCCTGTTCCTGCCCCCGTTCCCGTCCCTTGCGCGGTCAATCGGTTCAAGTCATGCTCTATCATGAAGTCGTTAGGGTCGGCCTGCTGCTCTGTCTGTGGCAATGCAGACATGGCTGTGTGGGAAGCCATGTTCAACCCCGTCATAGGGGGACCCATGCTGTATGACCCGAAAAGTGCGTCTGCCGACGACAGGTTCGTCGTCATCGGAGCCATGGCGCTGGTGGTCACGGTGGCTGATTTGATGTCGACCGTGCTTCCTACCTGGACGTTGTTCAGTCCCAGGTCGAAGCTCATGTCATCCATCATGCCGAGGTCGAGATTGCTGAAGTCGATACTGTCAAAGTCCAAGTCCATGGTCGGATCGAACGAGCCCGCTGGTGTCGTCACAGAGTTGGGCAGGCTGCCACTGTCCAGGCCGGTGGTGGCTAACGAGGAGCTGAATTCAGCAGACAACAGACCCGGCCGTGTGATGGGCTTGGGGCTCGTCGACTTGGACTTTAAGCCGCCGGGGATCACATAGGGCGCCATGATGGGCACCTCGGCGAGAGTATGCGCACTCATGGCCTCGGTGACCCCATTGAGTCCTTGTTGGTACTTGAACGTGTCGAGCCATTGCTGATTGTCGGCACAGGTCCAGTTCCACGGATCATCGTCCTCGTAGATGATCCTGCGAGCTTCACACTGGAGATCCTTGTCCAACGGGATTCTCCCAGCCGCCCGCTGCTGCAATACGAACTTGGTCAGCTCCTGCTCCAGTCGGCCCCAGCAGTTGGAGTCTCTCGTGAGCTGGTCAATTTCCACGCTGTCTGCAGACATGCCGTTGGTCAGGCCTGCGTCGGTGTTGGAGCACGACGACGAGGGTAGCGCCCTGGCCACATAGGGCTCCATGGTCAGCCTCTCGTGGCCGATGAGGTAGGGAGGGATGGCGTTTTCCACCAGCTTTTCCACATAAGGCTCAAACCCCCATCCGTTGGTCCACATGCTCATGTCTGTACCGTTGCGGAAATGGGCTGCAAGATGGTCTGCCCGTTGCTGCCAGGTGGTGAACTTGGACGGACAGAAGCCACACGACGACTTGATCTCGTTGGTCGTCGCCTTCCATGCACTCATGTGTGACTGCACCTTGGCATTGTGCATCAGTTTGAGATGCTGGCTGAGGTGGTCCTTCCGGTAGAAGGTGCGTTCTTGCAACGTCTTCTCTTGACACGCCGTGAAGTTGTGCATCTCCAGATGGTCGGCGCTTGGATTTGCCTCGCGACAGAAAACGCAGATTTCGGTCCCGGTCAAGGCGTCAACTGTAGTGCCGCCGTTAGGACAACACGTCCAGCGCTCCAGCGCCAAGTGTAGTGATTTCTCATGCCGTTGCCAGTCATACTTGGCCGGGAAAGAGTCCGTGCAGAATGTGCACTGGAATATCCTCGCACCTCGAGTCTTGGCCTGTTGTGTAGTTGTACGTTGGGCCATGGGTGCCCTCCTGCGCCTCCGCCGATCTTGTGATGACGCGAATGATCCCTTGGATCGATTGGATCGTGAAGAGGCAAAGGTGAGGTCACTGTTACTGGATTCGCGGGTGCCGAAACTGCTCACAGACGGAGCGATGAACATGGAGAAGGACGAATCGTCCTCGCTCGAGGCTTTCTTGGAGCTAGGCCGAGAGCCGGGCCGGGAACCTTGCAGGCTAGACTCAGATGGCTTCCTCACAGGCAACGGTGTTGCAGTGACGGCTCTGGCGATGGCAGTCATGGAAGCAGGCTCGTTTTCGGGTGGCGATGCCTTCCAACGGTCAAGCGGGTTCAAGTTTGCAATGTCGGGATTCTCATGTCTCTGAGGGATATCAATGGCACCAATGGCGCCCAACATCGGCGACGACGGGCCGGAAGCAGGCCTGACTTTGCCTCTTCGCCGCGCGTTGGCCAGCCAGTTCGAGATCTGGCTTCTCTTCAGACCGGTCACTTGTTTGAGCTCGTCCTTTTCCCGTTCGTTGGGGTATGGATGGTCTGCATGTTCCGAGAGCCACTGCTTCAGGATCTTGATGGCGTCTCTTGGGAATCGAGCGCCGGTCTTCCGGCCACGCCCTTCTTCTAAAGACTTCATGGCCTTCCGGCGTTCAGTCAAGGTGCCATAACAGACTTGCTGGTCTTCTTCAATCCCTGGGAAAGTGCTGACGAACCCCTTGGGGATCTTGGGGTGGACGAAGCTGCATTCTCGATACAGCGAAATGCAGCAGGTGCATCCAGTGATTAGTGTCCCTCTCGAGGCCAGAAAGCAGTCCAAGCCCATTCTCGCACATAGTTCACACGACTCTTTCGCACGAAACATCGGATAGTCGGTGCTCAGATCCGAGGTTTGCGGGATGGCCTCGATTTCCACGTTGTTAATTAGCTTCATCTTGATGACTCCCGAGGCTGCAGGTCGGACCGCTGGAAGCGCATTGGACTTGTCGAAGAAGAGTGACTCGTAACATTCCGTGGCCTCTTGTTCGTTGGCCTCGCCTCGGAGAGAAGAGGAGTCGTCCAGATCCAATGCCGGGAAGGCGTTGGACGCGTCTTCGAAATCAAAGTATTCCATCTTCGGCCCCTCTGAATCTTCAACGATTCGAGGATTATAGCCACTCTGTAGGAGACCCTTTTCTTCAGGATTGATGGAAGAGAACGAGAAGGTAGGACTGTTAATTCTGAGATATTCAGCCTTTCCCGTCGGAGAGGCGTGGAAGTCCGACTTCGGTGGGGATGGATGTGACTCCTCAGGCACGCCCTTCGCTCGACAATTGACAAGGGTGGCTTGCATTTGGGGGCCCCGATGGTGGACACTATTGAGCACGCTACCAAGCACGCACCTTTCTAGAACGATACCACCCTGCTACAGCCAATTGCCGGGCTACTCAGGCGTCCACCATCCTGATGTCAGCTTTTGATCGCGCATAGACCTGCCTGAGAGGTTTTCCCGTTGCCAACCGCGGGGTCTCCTGCCACGTCAGTGCAACATTGGCATTGGTTACTGCGTTCAGGATCATGCCAATCCTGCCGTCAATTCTTCAAGACGGCTGACAAACTGTGCTCGAAGATCTGTGAACTGGCAACAGCATATTTGACTGCTTTTCGTCACCTGCATGATGGACTGGTAATCTGGTAGAATCCGCGTGTCAATGTGATCTGTCGAGAATTCCGCCGGAGATATTTGCCATCTTCCATCTTCCATTGAACAGCTATGCAGAGTCGTGAGATACGGAGGCATTGCCGGGCCCTCCTGTGGCTTGCGAGCGAAACTTCAATCCTAGACAAGGAATTGGGCTGATTGCCTATCGAAAACACCTTCGGCTCTGTGCATTTCACAGCTGACAACTTGTCTACAGGGCTGCATCAGGTGCACCTGACAGTCCCCTGGTAAACGCAGGGAGGATTATTCGCTCGACCAAGTTGTGTGCAGGTCGCCTCGATGATTAAATACGCTGAGGGCTATACGCAGGCTGCGGTTTACCAATTCCAATTCCTCGCCTCTTACGTATTCATGATGACAAAATGGTCTGGAGAAATGTGCTCCTACTCTGTACAGGTGAATGTTGCCTTGTTTCGCCCGTGGGGAGGGTTTCCGGGGGAGGCAACAGCAGGGGTATTCGATAGCTAATTCATCAGGTCCACACTCCTCACTGCTCATCGCAGTCTTTGGCAGCCAACCTAGTCTGCATGCAAGGAGAGTCTTGAATGTGGCTGCTGGCCTTTGCTAGACATATGAACCAACGACGAAAAGTACTTTGGCGGGAACTGTTCGAGGCCGTATGTTTCACCGGGCCTACTCGGTGAAAGTGTCATCGTGTAATCGACGGGTTGAATATCTGAGAATATCGGTATCCAGTGGAGGGAGGTACTTGTTTCAGCAACGAGAGGGCATTTGGGTTGCCAGACAGAGATCAGGTCGTCAATCGGTGTTGGGCTGACAGCCGCAGGAGGTGTGAGGAAGATGTAGAGCAACAGGTAGTGATGCATGCACATCTTTGGGGTGTTAACGACATGTTACGTAGTATTTCATGCTTCACAACCGCAGTGATCAAACCACATTGAGTCCTTCACTTCTAGGTCTCATTTCGTGAATACGTAAGCACGTGATATGGTCACGTGTCAGGGGGTGAGATTGTATGAGGCTTTCGTATTTTTCGCCATGCAACGACAACGTCAAGCTTGTTTGAAGAATGAAGGTCATGGCAATGATCTCTGGGCCAGGGCCGACATGTCTGAGGGTTTTCTGGTGCGGAAACCCCGTGTGATCTCAGGATATTCCTTGTCACGTGTTTGGTGTATTTTCTTTGAACAGTCCTAGACAACCAAGGACGGCAGCGACATGGATCAAAATATGATTCCTAGGTTGCCTAGGCCTCGGCAAAGCTCGGGACATATGCTGAAAACTTGGCGACAGGTGGTTGTCGCACAGTTTTAGGTTTTGTCCCACCACCCACCAAAAACTTCACAACATCACAACACCATCAAAACCTATCCAAAAACATCCAAAAAAAGGCCAAAATTTATCTCCGGGGCGGGGAATCGAACCCCGAGCTAGCCGGTTCACTGGAACCCTTAGGGTGTCCGTGAGAGCGGCTGATGTTAACCATTACACCACCTCGGATGAGGGAGAAGAAGTGAAAGGAAACCTGGAAGAGAACCTCTCAGAAGTGATTGTTGGAAGGAATTTGACCAGAATAAATAATAAACTGTGTTTGCAAGTCGAAAATTGATGGAGAACGCGCCCAAGTGGACCTGAGACCAGCAAAGCGGTATATGGGTGAATGCCGAGGGAAGTCGGGAGAAAGACGGTGACTGGACCAGTCAGCAGCATTCTCCGATCTCCCGCGATTCTGGAGATACCATTTTGTGTCTTTTGGGCACCTGGTGGCTGTGGTGGCCCTTGATTTGTTTGGTGAGTCTGAGTGGCCTGTGGGCCGACTTTGGCGGCCGAGCGAACTCCGTGAAGGCTTTGTCCCACCCCAAATAAAGCCAGACTCATTGCAATTCAATATCATCCATTCTGCTGCTGCAGAGGTGCACAGTGCTGTGTTGTTTGTGCTGGTGTGGCCTTCTCACAAATAAATCCCCCCCTGACCGCAGGGGATCACTTGCTCAAACCTGGAATGTCACCGCTGAGAGATTTTGACTTACATTGCTCACTAAAAATGCTGATTCGACCTCGAAGATTGTCCTCGACACCATAGAGAGACCGGGCAGAAGGATTTGATGGATTCGCATATTTTCGAGATGGATTGACGTTGGTTGACTTCCTGATTGGGAATACTTCGCTCAGGAGCATAATTCTACTGCGGGCCACCTTGGAGTGTTCCAGGCCCCCATACTGTATTGTACGACAAACACTAACCCTTGCGACTGACTACATATGCCCATGATCAAGTACTGACTATCTATTCTTTCTGATCTGAATCGGCCTGGAAGCAGTCAAATTACTTCTAGCCCTAGGACAGCGGAAGTGCAAATTCAAGGCGGACTAGGCCACTCCCAGATTATAGTCTCTGGGTCACTAGATCAGTAGGTCGCTTATTAGGTGGACTTAGGGAGGATTTGGGCCCTATAGTATATTTCAATCTCTATACAACAATACTTAGCTGGTCCCATCAGACTTTGCTGTGTAAACCATCTACCAATGGCCGCGTTAGGGGGTCAGCAACCTGATAGTAGCACTCCTAAACAGGAAACCCTTCTCCCGGTGCACGCACACGGCGATCATAGAATGAGGACACGCGAGGACACCCAGGAAGGGGGCCACCGAGCAAGGACAGGGACAGACAGAGATGAGGACGCGAAGAGGGTTAAGGACGGAGGCGAGGGCGGGGACGGCGACAGGAAGCAAAGCGAAGGGAGGAGAGTGCTCAACATCAAGAGTTGTAAAGAGTTCCGCTAATTAACGAAGCGGCATAGTGATATCACCGCCACCAGCTTGGCCATTGCCATTGCCACCGGCGCCATCGTTGCCACACACGCTACCAGCAGAGGCCGCCGCGACTTGCAAGCCTATATAGTTGTTAGAGATAATAAAACAAGAGAAATCGTAAGAGACAAAAAGGGGAGGGGAGAGAGGAGAAGAGAGGAATAGAGGAGAAGAGAGGAATAAAGGAGAAGAGAGGAATAAAGGAGAAGAGAGGAATAAAGGAGAAGAGAGG